TAAATTTAACTTTATAAGTTAAAGAACGAAGCAGATAACCCAAGGAACTGCAACAAGATGATTCAATCGTTCGAAGAAATTGTCACAAGGCTAAACTTATTCAATAGTTATTATTGGAGTTAAATGTTTTACTGATAACTTGAAGTATCTTTCTCTTTCTTTTTATATGTTTTTTTTTCATTCAAGCTGAATAAACTTATCGTCTTTTTATCATCCATCATGAACATATATTGAAACTACCAATTTTCTATTTGTTTCTCATGTTTACTGAACGTGGCTAACCCTGTGGCTTTCTTCTCATTAAATGAAAAATAATAAATTTGTTAATCAAATAATCCACCTTTTTTACCCTCTCCACCTGGATCATCACAATTAAATCAAAAGGAAAAGGAAATGAAAAAAATAAGTATTTAATAAACTACACAAGTTGAATAAATAATGCATTTAAGTCGTACCTGCTTTTAAGGGGTACACTTACATACTACTATTAAAATTTAATGGAAATTGAATTACATGGAAAAAGCTCGATTATCCAAAGAATTAACTTTTGAGGTGAAAATGCAAATTTTCACGTTATAGCACAGGACTTCGACGAATCGATTAAAAACATCTAAAAAATAATAATCGAGAAGGTTATCAATCGAGTCGGTGACATTTAACGAAATAAACTGAAGATAAACGGATTTAAATGCCCAATGAATTCAACAAACCGAATGAGTTGAACACCACAAGAAATTCCCCTCTCTTAGTCTTCTAACCTTTTTATTAATTAATTACTCCAATATAATCCGTAGATTAGGAAGTTCCGGATCTCTCCTTTTCCTACTCTTCATATCTATCCTCCCTTCTTTGTCTCTCACTTATCCTTCTATTGATCTTTCTTTTTAATCGTAATTAACCTTTAAGGGGTTGAACTTGAGAAACTGTAGTATAAAAAGAAAAAATTTAATAAACAATCAGATTCAGAAGGCAAGTCATCAGTCATTTTTTTCGAAAATCATAATTAAGATCAGCCGTTGGATATCATATGTTAATTTATTGATGACTATATCAATAATTATTTCCTCAGGTGTTTTGATACCTAGAGAATGCAACATTATTGGAAGTTTGATAGTCAAAGTTTTGTGTGCACAAGTGGGAAGAAGTACCTTAAATCTGGACCGGATGAAGGTTCATTATCCACTTTTGATAAGTTTACCAGACTTGTTGCAATTTTTTGCTTATCTTCACCCATTTAATGTGAAATTTTTGCTTCATTTTGAAAAATGCGTAGTATTTTCGAAGCATCTAAGGCTTCACCATCTCATGATTTTTAATGCAAGAATTGGTTTCAATTACATATTTTTGTGGATAGTTCTAGATTGAAACAAAAAATCTAATTTAACTTGTTCAAATGCATTTTGAATTAATTTTTAGATATTTGAGTGATCGCTCAATGAGTTAAGCTTTTTCAAGAGATAATCATTGCATCGGTCGAAGGTTACAATCAGTTCTTTCAAATTTCTCACGGCTATTCTCGAAGGAAAATTGAGCTGGATTAACCATTTTCTCACGAATTGATTTGCCGGCGGGTGATATTCTCGCATTCTTTCAAACAAACCTCTGTGGTGTCAACGTTATAGCGGACTCGTAAATCCAACATGTCCCGTTTTTCATTGATGAATTTTTCATCCTTAACAAAGATGGTGAGAATAGAGCTCATGCTCATCACTGATTGTCTCAATTTGATTATGAACAGATGAATCTGTAAAAATGAAAAGATCACTTACTACTTAGAAACTTTCAAGACAGTTTTATAAATATTATTTTATGATAGCGAATATCCTATTTTTTATTTCTTTCCAGTTTAGAAATTTGTTTTTATCCATTTTATTACAGGGTGTAGGAAAAAGAATCTATTCCCAATGTGACCATTTAGCAGTAAATTGTTATCCGTGATGAATTTCTGTAGACTATAATCTAGAATCAATTCGTAGTGTTGATGTTTGAGTGTAAAAATAGTAAAATGAACAAATAATATTCAAATTTATTGTTCATTTTTTTCTTACTTTTCACCATAACTCCCAGTTGGTGATTCATAATAAATATACATGTTATCATGGTTGAAACAGTTTTCCAGATACATTGTTATCCATTTACATGGTGACATAAATTTGAATGTTTTTCTTCACTACAATTAATTGAACTTGTCCAATGTTCCCAATGAAAGATAAAGTTTTACATACTTGAAAATTCAAACTGAATCAACATCTTAATTCAACTATTACATTTTATTGGATTATTTTTATGTAACATCATCAACCTTATTTACAGATTATCTTGAGATGATTTATTCAGTTTCATTTCACATTGACAATTGTATCAATTGTAGGGCAAAGGTTATGTTCATGAGATGTTTGTGTGTATAATATTATACATGTATATGGAAATGAATAAAAGTCGTATATTAGTTCAGGTAAGAGTCGAATAGCTTAAAGATTAAAAGAATGTTAAGAATTACCTTTATCATTATAATCTAATCACAATCAAGTATTTGGACAAGTATTCAGGTCATTTTGATAATATTGATGATCATTCGTGATAATATTAATATATTAGTGATATTATGAGATATGAGTTGTAATGAGTCTCGATTGAAATTGAATGGACTAAGAATCTTATCTTTGTCATGTTTATAGACTGTTGAAAGTCATGGTGGTATTGGTAATACATTTAGATTGATGTTATCCAGGGAATCAGAATCATCTGAGTAGGATGAGGAAAATATCAGCAACGATTCTTATCATGAAGACGATAAATATATTATCTTATCTCCCTTCGTGAGTTAATTCCTCAATGATAATACAGGTAATCAGATGGATGGATAATCTCGATAAGGTGAATAGAAAAGAAGAAGGAAAAAATTCATTACAACTTTACCTTTCTTCTTTTTATTCTCAATGTCACAATTCCAAGGTGAAAAGACTTAGAGAAACAAGATGATCATGGAATCATGGATTTTAATATATTGAATTTAAATTCTTGAAACATGAAGATTGTTCAACTTTTTATATGGAAACTTAATTTATTAAATTCTAGTGAGAGAGAGAAAAAAAGTTCTGACAGAATATTATCTTTTACTCTTCGTTATTCAGTTTATCTCTTTCTGAACTCACTGTTGTCATGGTTTTCTCAAAAGCAACATGATAACTTTCTTACTAATGATTACATGTAATTCCTTCATCAGGTATTCAAAATCAGCTCAGAATAAGATGTTTTGTCTTTTCTGCTATTGTTACCAAAGAAACATAAATGATTCAAACTGATTCCACTTAAATAAATGAACTTTTCATAATAAAAAAACAGTATTTCATATAATCTTAGAATTATTTTCATGATAATTCAATTTCACCCTCAATGCCGGAGATATGAAATACTTTACTCAAGGTAAAAGGAAAACATATTCAATAATCATCAACTCACAAATCTATCATATTTCATCCTCATGATACTGACCAAATCAATCTACTCATTAGATAAACAATTTCTCTCCCTCGTCATGATCTTCATGCTCATCATGCTTATTCTCAGGTTTCATATAACCATGATTTAGAGGGTGAAAAGTCAATAGCTGAGAATTCATCTTATTCTGAGATTCTTTTTCCTACTCTTTTATCCTTGAAAGAACAAATAAAATTTCAAAATTCTTTTTTTAGTATTTATTTATTCATATATTAACCATATTCTCTCATTAAGTTGATTATTAAGTTCATCTATCATCATTAAGTTAATTTCCATGATAATTAATTGTTGATGGAAAACTTTTTCATCCTTAAATAATAATTTCCTCATATTAATATTTAATCACTTCCTCAAATCAAATATTTTGCACAAAATTTTTGGTAAATTCAGTGAAAATATATAATTACAGTCTCATTCTCATTCTCATGATAATATTGATCATGATGGTGAAAAAGTGTAATTTTCAATCAATTAAAAGAAAAGAACTCGAGAATTGAAAGTGAAAATAATTAAATCACTTGTTTTCCCTTTCGCTCTAATTAAGAATAAAATAAAACCGAGGATACAAAAGTTAAGAAATTAATCAAATTTAATTATGATGAATAATCTTCTCAGTTCTTGGATGAATCTAATGAAGTATTATCATTACTTCATTGATTTAATTGGTTCCATTTGTATGAATCGAGATGATAAAGATTGAAGTTATCGAAGATGAATTTGGACATTGAGAAAGTTTCGAAAAGTGATCTGAAGGTATTCCAGGTCATTTGATATCTTTTATTTGTCGACATTTGATTAATTGACCTGACATTCAATTCCCAAAGATAATTTGATTATCAATGGTTATAATTTTGACTAATGACCTGTGACCTCTTTCCAAGTAATCATTTACCATTTTAATCATCACAATTCAATTGTTAGTCTATCATTATTATCATCAAACATTGTAATCAGTTGAGTTAATTGTTGGGATTACAAATTCTTGTGTCACTTGATTATGATTATATTTAGATGACCTTAGGGTATTATAATTACTGTTGACATAACCAATGAATGTTGATGGAAATCGTTATTAATCATAATTGATGATGGTGATAATGTTATTATCTAATACAATTAATGATGCAATTCTTGACCACTGATAACAATTAACTTTGATTATGGGTTAAATGTTTGGTTAATGATTTCAACTATTAACTTTTTCCTCTTGATAATTATAATAATCATAATAATCACTTTCATCATCACCAATGATGTTAATTGTCACTTTGATTAACTACTACTTCTGCTAGTAGTAGTAGTTGATTACATTAAATTGTTTACTCAAAATGCAAAGTGATTAAACTTAATTTTACAACAGCAATCGTCTAGATTGTTTAATTAACAAACAACAAATCATTTGATGGTTAATTGTGTTGATAATCAGTGGATATTCATGGTAATAGGGTTTAAATTCAACTATTAAAATTTTAATTCTTGTTAATTGTTCCAACTTTCAGATAGCTGCTCTTAGTGCAATATCAGAGGTAATTGAACACTTGGAGGAAGCAACAATTAAGCAAATTGTTATACCAAAAGCAAGACAAATACTGGAAGTTAATGATTCAATTCAGGTAAAATTAACTTAATTCTGACTAATGTTAACCTAACCCATGTTTTAATGATAATATTGATATAAAGTTGATCATAAAATCAAACATATCAACAATCAAAATATTGATGATATAATGATAACGATAAACAATTGACTTTGCCCTGAGGGTGACAAAACAAAAATTTGGTCAACAATCAGCTTAAGATCAACAATGAGCATATATCATCATCATCATCATCATTGTGATTGTTGATCAGAAAATTTTTTCTCATTTAAACTTTTCAATCAACTTTTTTTTTCTTTGGTTGTGTTTACCTTTGTGATATTATATCTAATTGTTATTATTAACTTTTCTATTTACCCTGTAGGTTCAAACTAATATACTAAATTGTGTTGCCAAGGTGATTGATAATTTAGAGAAAAATGAAATTCTTGATGATGTGTTACCTTTATTACTGGAAGCAAAATTAACTGAAGTTTCCGTTCTGACGCCTGTTCTTGGTGAGTTTTAATGAGAGTTTCCAAATTTCATGAGAACAGCAAAAAAAGAGGCAAAAAAGTTCATGAAAAAGTTCATCAATGTTCATTGTTCATCTTTACAATTATTAAATCAAAATCGATTTTAATTAAAAGTTAAATCATCAAAGGAGAAGGAGAAAAATCATTCTAATCAATTCTAATAATAATAGAAGACAAAATCTTTAATCAATTAAAGTTCTAACTGAATAAATTGCTTCATTTCGATACGTATATTATACTTTTTCAGTTCAATTCGATATCATGACAATACATTAGTGGGTGAACATGAACATCACCTGAACCTGAATTTATCTGAACTTTTTTTCTCTCCTCTTTTAGAATCGAAAATAAAATAAATGAAACTTTTTCTTTTCTCATTTTTTTTTTCTCTCCACTTTGCTTTTGGATATTCTCAATGTTCACACTAAATTCCTTCTTTGGATAATCATGATGGATTATCGAACTCGAAATGATTATTATTATTATCCTGGTCATCATCATTATATCAACAGCAATTTATCGTCACATGTTAAGTGACAAAAGATTTGGACTCAATGTTAATCTTTTAGCAACCAAAGTGATGCCCACACTGATTCCGATTATTGTTTCACCAAATATAACAGTTGAAGAGGTAAACATTTCCAACTAAAATTGATTATCTTATTGATTTTTAATCATCAAATTATGGAAACTGATAATCATGTTAATCTCCTGATTGTTTTCAGGAGTAAAATCTGAAATTATTGTTTGTTTATCGATTATCAATGTGACTCTCTTATTACATTGTATTAATGATGGAACTTTTTTTGTCTTTTCTTATCTGATCATCAACTAAATCTAATTGAAACTTCATGATAATGTTCAGTTTAACACTCTTGCTGATTTACTCCAGGAAATGTTGGATCACATTAATCGAAATCAAAGAAATAAGCTCAAATTGGAACGTATGAGCACGTTTTCAACAGAAAAGTAAGAGAAAAGAAAAGTTCTAAAAGTTCATTCGACATTTAATTTTCGTGAAAAAAGACGAAGAAAAAATTCGACCCTGAAATTGATTCGATCGAATTTACTTTCCAATCTATTGACAATGTATCTATTAATAATTAGGGGATAGAGTTAATTTGCTTTTCTTTCCTATTCTTGGAGAGAAAACTTTCAATCTATTCTATGGTGATCTTTCATAAATAATCAGAAATTCTGTGTGAAAAAAGTGATTTGTATACAATTTCATTCCGTCTTCTCAGGTAATCTGATTCTCTAATCATATTACTAACAATATAATATATTCATATGAGTGAGAACTATGAAGAGAGTCTGTTTAGCTCTCCCTTCCCCTGAATAGAATGATAACTTGAACTTAATTTCTGAATACATGATGAAACTTTATCTCATTTTCCATGGTGGATTTTTTTTCCTTCTTCCTGATAACTTATCAGAATCAATTCCCTCCGGAAAGAAGAGAGAAGAAGAAGATGAAATAATCATAATAATATCGATAAAATTGATTAACTAAGCAGTTTCCATGTAATCTGATGAAAAGATACAAAAAGATTTCAGAATCAGATTAAGATTCATGGGGAAACTCACGCACAGGGAAAACTAAAAAAAGTAACAATATTGTCTCAGTATTCATGAAGAAATTGTAATCCCCCCTGTCTATTAAATGCCACAAGTAAACATAAAAATATTAATAGTTCAAAGTTTAAAATTTGATAACAATTAGTCTAATAATTAAGACCATAAGTGTGTGGGTGAGAGAGAGAGAAAGTAATTAGTGTCACTAATAAAATGAAAGTTTCATCAATGAACAGATTTGGTAATTTATGTTGAAGATTTTGCTTTTGATCATGAAAGTTGAACTTTCCATGAACTGAATTGCTAATTACTGATTCTAATTTGATGTTTTCCTTTTAGATATCCCTTGCAACATAACCTTGACCAACCCACTGGTTATCCTCATCGACCTCCGTGCTTAAAACTGGCCACTAGACGTCAATCAATCTCAGTTGACGATGTCCTGAAAACTACGACCACAGCGATCAATTCAAATGCATCTTCACCTGATCTTAATTTACTTCGAGTACAAACTAACCTTCCTTATCGACGGCATTCTGATAATGCTATTGAACCACCAAGAATTTTAATCGGCTCAGCATCTCCCGCCTATGGTTCTGGAACTCTTTCCATGACCTCATCAATGGCTAATCTTCCTAGACGTCGACACTCATCCGTTAATCCAAATGAAGTTAAAGGTTTAACTTACAATTTTTTCAATCCACCAAGACCAGTTCATAAGGTAAATTAATGTTAATCCATTTTATCATTAAATGTTGATGATAATATTATAATATTACATATCAACTTATTTTATATTCATGAGAGTTATCATGTTGATGACAAGTTTGCATGACAATTTGCTCATCCCCATCAAGTTTGTGACTTAACAATGATGAAATGTTCATTTAACAATATTTTTCCATGAGTAATTAATAAATTCATGGTTATCATCATGATGATTATCTAGGATTAGATTAATATGATTAGTTAGATTTACTCAGAGTTTTCAAAGTTTTCCCCCGATAAAGATATTTTCATGGTGAGAAAACAAAAGGAAATAATTTTCATTCAATTCTCTGTGGTGTCTATGAGTTGATTTGATTTAATCCGGATGGTTATAAATAATTAACTTAATTGTGGAAATATATTTACTCAGAATCACTGAGCACAAACACCCACACATACACATATATATATATTATTACAATGAACAACCATGATAATAGATGATTACAATTAGGTTGACAATTAACTTTTACGCTCTGTTAATTGTTTGTTGTTAAATTGATTAAAATTGTTTGATATGATTCAGTTTCTTGTTTTGTATTAAATATTCTTGATGACATATTCTGTAAATATAGATATTTATATAATCACTGAGTCAGAACTTTTGACAATAATGATAATATTGTGAAAAGATTTTCAAGTTTTTTCCATGGGTTAAAAGGTCAATGGTCAACAAGGGCTTGACCATTGACCAATGTAATAGAAAATTTTCTCGAGCAGAGAAAAAGTTTCCTCAGAAGCTAAGAAATTGTTTCATTTATATATATAAATAATTTCCCCTGATTGTAGTTGATTGATTTACTTTCTCATGGTAAAGTAAAAAAGGTAAAAGTATCAATCATAAATAAACTATAAACTTGTGATAAAACAGGTTGTACAGAACGTTGTCATGGTAACCACCAGAAAGATTCCCTAGCATTTTCTCTGAATGGTATCGCCATCTCTTGATGTATCTTTTAAACTCTTTTTTTATCTATTAATTTATCGAATTTGTTTCCTTCCTTAGACTGGATCTAATTCTGCATTTAAATTGGACTTTCCGATTCCAGGTCGAACCTCACCAGGTCGAGGTCGCCGCTATTCCGTTGCCACAATAATCAATCAATCTCAAAGCTCATCTTCCACTTTACTTAATCAACTAGGAACCGGAATGGTGAGTCTAATTAGACTGGTTCTTAATTACCGAATCTAATTCTAATTTCATCTTACAATTTCAATAGCAACAACTTTTTGGTCGTTAAACTTGAAAAGGAAGCAAATTGTTTCCATTGATTGGGAATCGATTGAAACTTTGAACAAGAAAAGACGAGAAAAACTTTCAACTTTAATGCAACAATAACAACAATTGATAATTAATTAATCATAAAAACAATTAATCAATTTGCAATTACCCAGAAATCTAATTAACTGTAAATCCACTTCCCACTCTTATCATCATCATCACCATCATCATTACAAGTTGATTGTATTCCTGTTATCATTATTAATCCAACAACCTAAATCTCATCACCATTAAATCACTCGATTCCCTGTATCTTATTGTTACTCATTACTAATTAAAAATAAATAAACAATTTAATTTGACTGATTAAACTAAATCAACGCTCTTTTATTCAATTACTATCATCATTATTAACTTGATTAAAGATTTAATCTCAACAATAATCTATTAATTTATTAATACATGTAAATTAAAGTATTCAGAGATATCAGAATTGATTGATAATGATAAATTGTGTATGTATAACTTAACTGTTAATGAGATTTTAAGCAAAATGATTAAGAAATTATTTCCAAGTTGAATTTGAATTTGACACAATCTCATGTCAAAAGTTGTGAAAAGTGTCAGAATTTTGGTTTATTGTGAATCATCATGAAAAGATAATATCGGCTGATCGATAACAAGCAAACATCTCAAGAATGGTAGGTTCTAGAATAAAGTTTCAAACATCACTAAAAGTGCCATCGATCAAATATGAATGAATCTTTTTTTTCAAAATTTTCGAAGTTCAAATGCGACTATGGTTTGTATTTAAAGATCAAAATCGCGATTTTCCCTATGAGAAATTCTTAATGGGAAAGATTTCGTCTTAAGTCGTTTTAAGATCTTCATAACCTTACTTCAGGTCAAGATGAGTTTAGTTATATAAGATAATAGGTCAAAGAGAATAATTTTTTTCACAAAGTTACCAGTTCGCTTTTCAGGCGACTTCTCGAGAACCGTACGTCCCAGAAAAAAAAATCGAATATTTTTGGACTTGACATAAAATTTACTCTCTCAAATTTTTCTTGATGCTTTTTGTTTGCCAATCAACAGAATCACAAGTGTGTTGATGGACAGGCAAAAGGCTGGATAGGTAGTGGAGCTGTGGATTGAACTTTCCGAGGTGAAAAGACAGTGCAAATAATAAGGATATTTAATTGGTTGGTTGTTTGTCTTCAATGTTTTAATTCAATGTTGAATTTCAATAATTATTCATTTCCAGTTCCTGTTTTATCATTTAATGAGAAAAATTACTGAAAATTTGCTTGTGTGTGAGAGAGAAAGGAAGAGAAAATAACAATTAAAGATGGCGAATTGATGGTGAAGGTTTCGATTGATGAAGTGGATAAGTGGTTGTGCTTGATTTTAATGAAAATTTCATTTCGCTTTTGGTTGTTTACCATTTATGTCAATCAAGTTATTAGTTAATTAGTTTTGATTAGATGATGAGGAAAAGTTGGAAAAGTTAGGAATTGGATGAGGATAATTGTTAATTCAAATACAAGTTTTAATTCAATTTCAAATTACAATGTTTCAAAGTGCTGATTCCATAAAGTAGGAAAAAAGAGTTGAAAGAAGATGAAAAAGAAAGAAAGAAAGAAAGAGAGAAAGAAAGAGAGAGAGAAAGAGAGTGAATTTTATCAAGCCAAACCATCAAGGCCTAGAAGGCAATTAAGATAATTCTGTTAATTTTTTCCATTTTATCGTCAAATTCAGTTAAGAATCAAATATTGAACTTTTTCATCCATTGTGAGTTCCTTATATAAGTGAATATAATATTTATATATTTATAATAATAATAAATATCTGTTTATCAGCGTTTTTTTTATCTCCATCATCATGTGCTTTTCTTATATATATTATCATAGATGATGATGAAGATAATGAAGATGAGAGGAAAGTGAGAAGAGTTAGAGTGATGGAGATGACTGGATGTATATGAGATTTTCGAAGAGAGAAAAGGAGAAGAAAAAAAGTGGCACAGAATTTCATCATAAATGCGAATTGGATAAAAACAGAATAACGATGAGTTCTCTTTATATATTTCATGATAGATCTCAGATTGAAAAATCAGTATCACTAATAAAGATGATGAATTACAATCAAGGTGATGATGATCAAGACTGATAATCGAGAGAGCGAGAGTGAGAGAGTGAGAGAGAGAGAGGCAGTGTCGATTCCCTTTGATTCGAGATTAATTATTTTCGTAACAGGGAAGCAAATGATTAGAACTCGAGGAAAATGTTCTGATCAAGTTGTTGCACATTCGAAGACAATGAAACCAGGTTAATATATTCACGAGGAAAAGTTTCAATGAGACAATTAATTTACTTGACAAAAATTAGATTCTGTCAACTGGATTAACTTAATTGTCTTAATTGTTTGACATTTTTCCTTGGGCAAGTAAAGACCTTTGGTTTCAATTGGTTTGCAAATTAAATCAGGAAATTCAGGATTAATCCTTTACAATGTTTGATTAGTATTAGTTGGTAATGGTAATGATAATTAATTTGATTCTCTAAATTGTTAAATTACGCACATACAATTAAGTTAATTAACATAGTAACACACACACATAGATTATTATTTATATATATTAGTTGATTTAGTGAAAATTATAAATGATGAGAAACAATCAACTCAAACAATTAAAATCAAATCAACTTGAATTGATTTCCATTCACAGGTTTAGCCATTTTTTTATATAATAAGTTAACAATTAGTTAATTATCAAGTTAAAACAATTTGACAAATTTGATTGATATATATGTTATATATATAAGGATATGAGATTATCATTATCATTATAATTAGTTAATTGTAAATTAGATTTGATTTAAAAAAAACAAAGTCACTTGCATTTGATTACAAATTAAAATAGCAAAGTTGATTGAAAGATTAACGAGATTAACAAATTGGATTAGATTTACAATTAACTGTGATAATCAATATATATATAGTTTTGCTTGGTTTGATTTAAATGATTACGATTGATGGCAAAAATTAGGTTAATTGTTGTGTTTTCTTTGGGTTAATCATCAAGTTTATCAAAATGATTTATTAATTGTTTATGTGTATCCAATTCTGGTGCAAGATTAAAATGATTTGTAATCAAAAAGATTTGGAAAAAAAAAAAGTTGAACCTAAATTAAGGTGTATTTGTGTGAGTTGATTTAATTGTTTGCCAGTTGAACAATTAAAAGATGAATGAAAATAAAAAGGATCAAAATTAAATCACAAAATGGAAACAATTTAAATATCAATTAGATTAATTGTTTGAGATGATTGGGACTGATTTAGTTTCTCTGTTTCTCTCTCTCTCTATGTATGTGTGTGTTTGTAATTTAAAGTTAATCAACAATTAAGTTAATCACTTTTCCATCTTAAATTGTTATCATTATTATTGTGTCGGTGTTGAATTTATTATTAATTTCATTTTGATTGATTAACAACAATCAATTAAATTGAATCAGAAACGAACTGAGAAAAAGATGGAAATTCAAAAATTTATTCAATATTTGAATTGATAGAAATTCAGAATTTTCAGAATTTTATCTTTTCTTTTCCTCTGAGTTTAAAGATGATAGAGATAAGATAATGGGTGATTTCCATGATGGTGACGATGGCGACAATGGTGATGATGATGATAATGATGATGACGAAATTTATCTTCCTCTTTCTTTTGTTGTGATCCAGCTGATCTCTCTTTCTCTTTCTCTTTTTTTCTGGTTACTTCCGCATCCTCCCAATGTCTCCATAATCAAGTTGAGTTCAAAATTCAATTAATAGCTTTGTTGTTGTTATTTAAGGTTACTGATTGTTACCATGAAACAATCAGGCAACCAAATGATAATAATAATGATCAGAATTGATAATTGTTGTTGAATTATCTCAGATTGGGCTTGTCATCCAATTAATCAAATTGTATTTGTGTCAGGTTAATAATTATTGTCCTCATTTGTTTGTTTTTGCTTGATGATGATGATGATTGAAAATCATTGTTGTGTTTATGTGTGTGATTTTGTTTTTCATGGTGAAATAGTTTCAAATTAATTAGTTAATTAGGCGTAAATCGTCATATTTGATTGATAATCAATCATTAGCTTAAAAATGAAACCGATGAGGCTCCAGCTCGAGCTCGATGGAAATGAACCATTTGCCATTTCGATTCACGTCTATGCCAAACTCGAGTCTCTTCCGTTTGTTTAATCTGAGGAGCTCCAGAACTATTTTGTAAATCGAGAAAGAAAGAGAAAAAGAAAGAGAAAATTAGTTGCAATCTAGAGATAGAAATGAAAAGTTCAATTCTAATCTTAAGAGGATTGAGAAAAGATTTCAAATTGTATCTTCTTCTAATAATGATCATATATTATCATCGAATCATTTTGAATCAATATAACTAATCTGAGCGTTGATTAATACTAGTAAATTATATATTCCAATATTAACATCATCATGAAGATGAAAGAGAGAGACAGAGGAGACAGGGAGAGCTATGAATAACCATGAAAAAATCTTCCATAAAGATAACATTGGAAAAATAATATCGACCCAAAATTGTTTCCTCCATTTCAATTGAGATGATTATTTTCATGTTGATATGATTCAGTTTCATGATATATATTAAAGAGGTTGTTTCATGATGGAGGGAGGGAAAAGGAGTTTCCATCTTCAGGGAGTGAGAAATAAATCTCTCAGGTAATCACGATGAAAGTATCAACAATTACATTGATTGTCATCGATAAATTTTTTTCCAACAATTTAATTTGAAATCTTTTTCTTTTCCAAAGTAATTAGTTGACAATCAAAACTCTAATCAAACAGATAAATGATAAATTTTGAAATTCCACGAAAAAAAAAGTTTATATAAATTAACAATTTATTAAATAGATTGTAACTAATTCTCGTCTTGATCATAATAGAATTGAAACTTTTCTTTGCTTTTACAACTTGACCAATTAAGATAACCCAATCAACTGAACAATCAATTTACCAAAAGTAATAATAGTAATCAACTAATTACAATTCATTATATTGATCATGATGATGTTGGTGATTAACTTGTTGCATTTAACAATTGATTTGCAAATGTAAATCAAAATTGAAAATTTAGATTATTAAAAGCAACAAGTGATCAATAACTTTCAGGGGATGATTGTGTTGGAAAATCGTTGATTGTGATTAGTTAATTGTTGAAATTTATATACTTACGGATCTATGAATTGAGTTAAACGTATGTAAGCTATGCAGGCAGCATCATCGCCCATCAAATGTACAGTGGGGTTCAAAATGTTTGTATTGATGGTTTTCATATTCTTGGCAAGGATTGCTGTAATTAGAATGTCAGAGAAAATGATAGAGAGAGAAATTCTAAATTAATTGATTCTGTGGGTGGTATGATGAGTCATGGAAATGATACATGATGGAATCTGAAATTCCTAATGGAAAGATAATAACAATTTCTATAGAGAAAAAAAAATCATGGTAGCATTTTCTCCTCGTGTGATGAAACGTTTTTTTTTGTTTTCTGTTCGAATAAAAAAAAAGTTCTGTATCTAAGTATATTGTTCTTGATTTTATCTTCATTCAGTATTATCACTTTGATCATCTTTTGATATAATGATGATGATATCGATTGATTAAGAAGAGAAATTGATTTGCTACATGAGAACGAGAAAAGTTCAAATGGAAGAGTGGGAATTAGATTGAGAAACATGGTATTAGATAATTCAATAAGAATTTTCGTTGAAAAGAAAAAGGTAACAGGTTCGAGGTGGAACTTTTGTCTCTCTCTCTCTCTCTCTCTGTTTTTCTTCCAATTCTGTTCTATTTCAATTGGAGAATTCTTTTTAATTCCATGTATATATATCTATCGAACTTTTACCATGAAGATGATTCTTGAATTTCCTTGTGGCATCTTGAAAGTATCAATTGTATTAGAACTTTTTTTCTTATTCCTATTTATCTTTCTACTCATTATAACTTTTGATTCAATTCACACACTCACAGAACTTTTTTATTTTATATACTCTTTTTACAGGGAATAATCTTCATCTTCTCATCTTAACAACTGATATCATAAGATTATCATCTAATCATGATTAAGAACCTAATCTAATGGATGGAAAAATCTTATAGTTAAGATAATCAGATGATTTTCTGTTAGATGGTGAATCTCAATTGGAAAGAGTTGAGACTCGTTCAATATTGACCACTGATAATTCATGTATACATATTTCATCATGATGATTCGGGAACATTAACTTACCATTATCAAAGTAATATTTATGAAATTCAATTCCTTCCACTAGATTACCTAAAGTTTCCGGTTCGAAGGAGGAAACATTCGGGTCACAAAGTTTACTGTAAGCATCGAAATCGCCCGCTGAGATGGCGTCCAAAAGCTGTTCCGTTATCTTGATAACCTCTTGTTTACGTGCTAGAAAAAGGTAGATCGTAAGTGGGTTTGCATGTTGAAATATAAACCGGAAAAAGGAAGTTGACAAGATACAAATAAAAGAAACGAGAAGAATTAATTTTAATAAAATTATGTTAATAATGAGGAAGAAAATTTTGCTTATGCAATGATTTATATATTTACTACATTATCTCATCATCAACGAACACAATTAATGTTTCAAATTGAATCAATTGAATTAAGAATAGAGAAAGATGAGAAAAAAATCAGAACTTATCTGAAAGAGAAAATAAAATCAATCAAATGATGAATATAAATTGTTAATAGAAAAACTTTCTGAATCCAATTAGATTTGGAATCAAAAGGTAATCATTTTTTTTTCATCATCATGATTCTCATGGTTTCGCATGAATATCTTGAGATGCTCGAGATTCATCTTACTTTTATCTTCATTCTCTCTCTCTCTCTCTCTCTCTCTTTCTCGTTCATCATTATCATCATGTTTACACTCGTAATTTCATCAATATTTATACATAGATAATATCTTTTGGTATCATCATTGTCATCTCTTGGGTTAATTCATGTAACATTTATTGATGATGATATTGATAATGATGATAAGTTGTTTTGTTATCTCATCTTGTTTACTCTTCCTTTTACTATCATCTTCCTTTTTCATCTTATTTTGATTAGGTAATAAACCAAGATGATGATAATGATGATGATGACCAGTGATAATGTTGAGTGGGTTCCAATTCAAGTCAATCATGTTTAGGATTCTGGACGAGCTTTGAGAACAAGGAAAAAGGGATGAGGAATGGCGATAGAAAGAGAGGGAGAAGAAGAGAGAGAGAGAGAGAGAGGAAAATGACACAGGGACGAAAATGGATTTTTCAAAATGAACAAGATGAGATACTCATGATGATGAACATCTTCATGAGATTGAAGAGAAAAGACTGCGCATTCTCAACATTCAGATAAGTCTAATGATGATGATGATACTTGTGGAGAGGAAAAAAATATCGGTTAGTATCTAGTCGAGGAGGTTGAAGAGGAGGAGGGAAGGTGAAGGAGAGAGAGAGATAGAAAGAGGTTGGGAAGGTGGAGATGAGAAAAGCAAAGTGAAAAACAACTCTCCTGTTGCTTGGGAGTTGAAACCTAATCTGAAATGAAGCGAAATAGATTATAACTGAATTGGTAAGGAAAATGAAGGAGTAAAAAAAGTTCTGCCAGAATTGAAGCAAATCGAAGTATTCTCAGAATGGTAATATATAATTTGGTGATGAAAAATTATCAGAATGATGGAAAAGCAAATAACCTTGTTGACTTGATGGTGAAATTTATTCAACAAGTTTCTCCATCAAAATCAACTGAGTGAAGTTCATGAAGAAAAGAGAGAGAGAGAGAGTATCAAATGGAAATAAACAATTTTCTTATCATGAAAACGAAAACTTAAAGTTCAGTTACAAAGAAATCAAATGGAATTAAGAAAAAGTATATATTATAACATTTTCCAATTCTCAACTATTACAGTTATCGGTTAAAAGAGATAAATTTGAAATTCGATTGGGGAAGAGAAAGGAAAAGTTCTAATCAAATCGACAGAATTGCATGAAAATTGCATAAACGAAATCTGAATGATTATTAATTAGTTAATTAATTGCTTACGATCAATTCCAGTATATTCCCTTCTCACTGAATCCAATTGATTTTTAGTTTTGTTTACAATTAAATGAATCATTTGATGTCAATGATTAGTTAACATGGATAATTGTTGCCCCATAGTAATAATAATTAAATAAATTGTACATAAACACGATTAAATATACGAATGATGAATAATATTATCAATATGGTTGATTGTTGATTAATTGTTGTCATAACAATTTGGATAAATTGAATTTGATGAATGGATTGTTGGGATTTGTTTTTGTTTTGTTTGTCACCAAAAATTGAATCACAATTAATAATGAAAAAAATGATTCATGTTGACAATTTGACAGTCAGAGAGAGTGAGTGAGTGAGTGAGAGAGAGAGAGAAACAGGTTAACAAGTGTAAACAAAAAGTTGATTGTTGAATCAAATAAATTACGACCAACACAATTAATCACAATCAAAAGCAAAAGGTAAAATTGGTTAGTAAAAGTATTAGGAGATTGTATTAGTTGGGGTTGATGTTGATGTTGTTGTTGGTGTTGTTGTCGAATCCAATTGAAAGATGAAAAGAAAGAGAAACCATAACATATAAATATTATATTATTCAATTATTTAGTTAATCATGATGATGAAGATGAAGATAAATGATGATAATAATCATCTGATCATAATCAACAATAATAATATTAAAAAAGAATCACAAAAAGTGTCAATAATCAATTGCAATCGAGGCAAAATTAATATGAAAACAAAACAAGACAAAAAGTAATCAAGTTAATTGTCATAATTATAAGCATTCAATTAGTTATTATTATTATTATTAATTGTAGTTATAATTTGATGGATGATCGATAATAATGTAAATAGATTTTATCAACAAATACTTTCTAGCTAGGTTACCATGGTAACCAGAATTATCATTTTGATAACCATCTTAATAACTATTGAGATAACAGATGATAAATGTCAATAATTGATGTTAATTGTCAACTGGATTTAACTTATCTTTTCATTCAATCATCAAGTTGACAGGTAAGCAAAGGAGTTATCATATGTATAAATTTATTCAGTATATCGAGTTGTCAGAACTTTTTTGCATTCCGACTTCCCCCTGAATCGTGATAAAATATATATTTTATCAACTCTTTCTCTCTCTCTCTCTCTCTTTCCTTGATTCAGTTTACTTGTTTGTTCATTATACTTTTACTTTCCTCTTCCTAATCAAATCATCTCCATGAAAAATTCACATGATGATTCAATGAAAAGTTCAGGTATTAGAGCATAAAATGAAACGAAAAGAGGAAAAAAAAAGTTTTTCATCAAAAAGTTCAATTGAAAAGTTAACATGAAAATTATCAATTCTCATATTATATTATATATAATCATATATTGATCTCAACCAAATTTACCTGAGAGTTAATTGTTATAATTTAACCATAGAGATAATGATGATTCATCGATGGCTGGTCATCATCACAATTAAACCTAATTGATTTTCAGGGATATAATCATCATAGTGATTGTTTGTTTGCTTGATTGTTGTTGATTATTTGGTTCAATTGTTTGTTTTTCTATTTTCACTGTTCACGATTAGTTAAACTAAACATAAATTGTTTGGACAAAATAGCTCAGGTAATTTGAAACATTTCAATTTCATGCTATTCTGATATTGAACTTTTTTTTTGTTCTCTTCTCTCTCTCTCTTATTTTATTTTTGTTTTCCTTCACTGTTTTTGTTTCATGGGGTTCAATTCATTAACTATTCAGTAACCAGAATCAACAGAATCATCATCAACATGATGATATAATTGGATTAACAAAAGAAGAGGAGAAAAGAAGAAGAAGAAAAAAAGTTTCTTCTATTCATCATGAAGACATTCAAAGGTAACATTATTACCTACATGATTGTCGTAGTAATAATTGATTAGATAACGATAATCATCGTCATGAATATCATCATGATAACTTGGAAGAAGATTCTTTTTACTTTCACCATTTAAAATAGAAAAAGAAAGAGATAAATTCGAAGGTAGAACGAACAAAAAAACAAAAATCACAATTTTCTTCTCTTTTTTTTCTGTTGCTTTTCGTTCTCGATTAATTTACTCTTCATCTTTTATCGAATTAGATTTTTAGAACTTTTCTCTCATGATTTTCTCTCTTCTCAGCTTCATGAAAACAATCATGATGAAGATAATCATTATTCTGAGTTTTTCTTCAACAATAACGTATCAAGATAATGGAAGATGAATAGATGAACGATAAGATGATGAGGTGAAAGAGGAAGATGCAAACAAGAATAAAAATACTAGGTCATTGTTATATCTTTCTTTCTTCCTCATCTCATCTATTTCCTAGAAAAGAATAGACGAAAGAGAAAAAGAAGAAGAAGAAGAAGAAGATGATGATGATGATGATTATAAGACTTCCAATTAAGTTACCTTAATCTCTTTAACTTTTTTCTCTCTCCATCATCTTCAGCATCTTCATCCTCTAACCTTTACTTTCTTCACATCAAATAATCATTAGTTTTTTTTCCTCTTCTTATTTCATGTTCATCTTTTTCTGTTACACATTTATCCTATTCCACACCCTCACCATCAACCTTCACTACGAGCTTTTTTTTACCCACCGAGGTCAAAGGTATACAAGTGACAGAGAAAGAGAGAGAGAGAGAGAAAGTAATAATAATAGGATGATAATGATCACGATCACGATGATGATGATGATAAAAACAATGAGTGTTATATCAAAGGTGAATACAATTCATCTCGAACTTTTTTTCCAAAGATGAAGAGCAACAAAAAAATGTTCTTTACTTCACTCGACTCTTGTTCACATGCTGAAGCATCATCATGATTGCCGAGAGATAATTTCGAAAGAGAAAAAGTTTTAACCAAAAAGTTCTAAGAGAAAATTCGAAGAGGAAAAAAGTTCCATCTACTAATAATAACGAGTTGAAACAGTAATAATAATAATAGTATTACATGAGATTGAGGAGGTTGACATGATAAGTTATCTTTATGAACTTTTTTTTTTGTTGCTCTTCGACGATAAGAACAGTTCTGATGGACCAAAATTCTGAAGGTTATATATTACAACTGAAACTCGAAGCCAATTTGTTTTCATTTGAAATTCATGATAGATTTAAACAGAGACCAGGAAAAATAATAGAAGCAGAAAATTTGACTTGGAACCGGATTACTGGAAATTCAACTGAATTGGTTATTTATATTTATTTCATCATGATACTCATCAAATTGATCAGGAATCAACATAATCTTCATGATAAACATTTGATAAACTCTCAGGTAAAATTTGATAATAAATGTTAACCATTATTAATAACATTATATTATCATGATTAGTGTCCTTATGTTTATCATGTCAGAAAATGCTGATTGGCTGAAAAATTTTCCCTGAAAGTGAACCAGAATTTCAGTCTCAGGGGGATGAGGGAAAAAGACACAGAAATAGAAAGGGAAATAAAAATTTCTTCCAAAGATTAGATTCTCATGATGATAAAATGCTCAATTCTGATGATTATCTTCATCCGTTACTCACTTATCATCTCTAATTTGGAAAGGGATTAAGATGGTCAACCTTTCAAATGGTCAGTGATGGATAACCAGCTAATTTGAATATCTAATGGTTTTCCTCAATCATTAAATAACAAACTTATCAGATTAGAAAATGAAAGTTGATTAAAGATTAAAATCAATCGTTAATGATTAGAGTTAATCATAAAGGTGATTAGCTAATAACTTTACCAGTTGAATATAATTAATTTTGATTCAATTTTCATCGTCAAAATTATAATGACAAAGATTCACCTGATTGTAATGTAATTAAAATCTTAATTAATTAATCATGATTGTGTGTTTCCATTTAAACTGTTGTCAACTTTTTGTTTTTGTCTTTTTCAATTGTTTTTAATCAACATGAATCTAGTTAACTGGTTTAGCTAATTAGTCTACCTTTTCCTAGTTAACCAGGTAAGTTAATTAACTAAATTTTTTTTTGTTCAAATTCAAATTTTGTTGACATCTTCATCTACTAATTGTATATTTAAATTCATTATTTTGATTATATTAATTAGTGACTAATGATTAGAAAAAAAGTTTCACTGATTAATTGTTGCATTTACATTAAATAAATATCATAATTACTTGGAAGTTAATGAAAAAAATATAAACAACAATTAACTAATCATGATGAAAAATCATTGAGTTTGTAATATTTCAAGTTAATCTTTTGTTTCCCTTTGATTACCAACAATTAACGATCAATATTTTGTCACCAACAACAAGACAATCAATCAGAATGATTATTATCAGAGTTAATTATTGAATCAGTAATTATTGTTGTATCGAATATGTTTGGGAGGGAAAGTTCGAGGAAAGAAAAGTTCTAATAAATATTAAGTTTGGAAAAGAAAAAGAAAAAAAAAGTTTCCCCTCAATTCTGATTCAATTTGATTCTAATTATTGGTCGATTAGATTTTCTTTTACTTTTTAATTACTTACTCTGAGCTCGACTTCTTATTGGTGATTCGATGTTACAATTGACAGTGACCGATGTTGAACTTGTCGTATTGTTGGTCAACTCATCGGTTCGAGGGCCGTTCTTGCTTTGGTGACCTGAACTAGAAACAAATATTGGCTCTGATTGGGCGGACAAAACAATTAACACAAACAATTAATTAGAAAAAGCGAAAAAAAAATGAAACAAAATTTGCCTTAAATCCATTGGGTTAATTGTCCAAATGTCTACAAATTAGGAAGGTAATAATGAACATCTAACGGGTAACAATCAGTTGAGTGATTAAATTAATGATTGGAAAAAGTTGTCTTTATGTTAATGGTGTAAATTGATCATGACAATTAGTAAATTGTTGTGAGTCAGAAAAAAAAGTAAGACAAACAGTTAACTTTGAATCTCTCATAAAGTGATGAACTTTATTCAACAAAGTAACCAGAAAATACCATAGATAAGCAATAATATTATTCCCACCGGTGGGGAAAATGGAAACACCTACAAATATATTGCAAGGTAAGGGCGATGATGATGATAAGAGAAGATAATATTTTTATCATCATCATCTCTTTTTCTTAATCATCATCATCATGAGATAATAACAATTTAGATAAAGATTTAAACCTTTTCCGTTTCTGGGTCAATCCCTTTTTTTTGTTGCTCTTTCATTTGCTTTAAGTTTTTATTTGGTCAACACAAATAACTGGACACACAAAATTTTCTTGATTATCACTTAATTGGTCAACTCAATTCTCATTTTCAGTTTCTTGACCAAACAAAAGGTTTTTATCCTCTTCCTTTTACATCATCTCCTCTCCATCACCATAAACATTTCAACTGATAAACCCACCGCTCCTCCTACTCTACACACCTTTTTCCCTCCCTCATCTTGATCAACACAAATTCTGATTCCAATCCATTCAAACGTTTATAACTCAATATCTTTTTAAGGTCATTTCGAATCAGTTTTTCTCTTCCTCTTCCTCTTCCTCTCTCTCTATGACTTAACTTTTGAGATATTTTCTTAAGCTCAGAATAATATCCTTCTATCATCATCATCATCACCACATCATCATCAACAGAATTACCACCCCAACGATATGAAAGATTCTTATATAAATACATTCACATTCGTAACTCTCTTCAAAGTCCAACTTTTCTAAAGTAGTTAAGAGTTCAGTTCATATTATCTCCTTTCTTCATGATGGTTTTTTTTCTCTTCCTCTGTACCCTCTCTGTCCTTGATAATTCTAAGTGCTCTGTCTCTCTTTCTCTCTCACTACCAACATTTAGCTTTCCGAATGAGCTCTCAGAATTACAGAATTTTCTTTCTCTTTTTCCAGTTTCTTCCGTAGCTTTTATATCATATTATATATTTCAATGTGTCTCACTCAATTTGTGTCAACCTCTTTTATCAGTTTTTTTTGTTTTTATTGCCAGTAGTTTGTAAGTAGTAACATTATTAAGCCTATCTTCCTACTCTCTCTCTCTCTCTCTCTCTCTCTCTATCTCTCTCATCTTCTATGTTTATCATCTCCATCCTCATTTTGATCTGTAAGCTTAACAATAACATCTTGTTTTATGTTGTACTAAGAGGGAGAGAAAAAAGTTTTTCATCTCTTTGATGATTCTTCATGAAAACATCCAACAAATACATGATAATAATAAAAACTCATAACTCTCAATACTCAACTTCTTGGTACATCCTTTGAACATCATGTATAAACCCAACCCTGAAAGAGATAACAACAAAAACTACTAGAAAAACCCTCATGAAACAATGAACAATGAATACAAATGAATATCAAAACTAATCTCAGTTTTCAGCGAATAAAAAAAAGTTCTGTTTTTTGTTCATTTTCTGTCTAAATCTCTGTCTATTTATCTACATTATATATATAAATATACATTTTCCATGGTGATATGGAAAATATTTATTTTACTTCTCAAAAATTCACCTCAGCAAAAGGTTCATTGCAGAAAAAGATATTACATGGAAAATGTTTGTTTCCATTGAAAATCTATTGTAATAATGATAAATAATATCTAAGTTCATTTTTCCATGTCACCATGGCTCAGAATCTTAGATAGAATCAGATTTTCTTTTCTTCCTCATCATCATCTTAATCATCTTCTCATTCAATAACATTAACTATTTAAATGAATTCCATGAGATTCAGTTGAGTGTTTTCATCTTAATCATTTCCATTAAATGTTTTTACTTTTTGCTAACCAATTCTCTAATTCTTAAATATATTAATACATCTCAATTGAATGAATATCTTAATCAAGAGATAATATGATAACTTTAAGTATGATAATTGAATATTATGAGAGAAAAGATTAATAAATTGTTGCCTAAATTCATGATTCTAATCAACTAATAGTTGAAAGATATTCACAATAGGTGAACATTGAATAAGCAACATTTTCATTAGCATTCTGAATACTCATCATATTTATATACAAATAAACTATTCGCAAATGTGAAAACGTTTATTTGCCTCAAGGAATAAGATTATCATGTAAAAAGGGGGGAAAAAAGAAACGAAGAAAAAAAATTCAACAACAATGTGAATAAATACTAATTAATATTTAAGAATAAGCAATAGAGATAATTGTTGTGGTTAATCAGTTAATTAGAGTGGTTCTAATTTCTGTAAGCATTAAATTATCACTCATGATTAGTTGGGAATGTTATTATTAGTAATCATATAATAAACAAGATGAATGTCAAACTGTTGGGAGTTATGGTTAATATTACATGTTGACAATTAACAGATTGATATATTAATATATCAATAAAATTGAATGAGAAAATTGTTCAGTATTTGGTTCTGGTAACTAATGGTTATTGATTAACAGGTAATAAGAAATTAGGAAATTGGAGATGAAGAAAACATAAAAATAATATTTTCTCCAAGAAAAATGTTGCTAAAAGGTTCTGATATCATAAGTTAGAATCATGGAAATGATAATATAACAACATGATGAGGATGATAATTCAGAGGAAAATGTAATATAATAATAATAATAATAACGGTTATCAATATAATCAACTGATTGTGATAAAATATCAGTAAGAAAAAAATATTCAACTGTTTATGTATTATAGCAACAAGAGGGTATTCAAAGTTATTCAGTGTAAATGCTACAGTCTAATACCCTTGTGATAATATTGATATGCAAAATGATTTGTAATATGAATCAAGGTGAGAAAGTGAGTATTATTATTGTCACCATATAATATTATCACCATGCAATAATAATAATAATAACATTGGTTGGAAGTGGTTATCAGAATTCAAATAATGAATTTGATTTATCATTTTCATGCAGAAATGACAATTAACTTGAATTGTATTTGTTAAAAATAGTTAATTGATTTGATAGGTGATATAAAAAAATCGGAGGGAAATGTAAATTCTACCAAGGAAAATGTGAAATAAGGTCAAATAGTAAAATGAATATGAATATGAATTCTGTCCATACCTTGGTCAGTTTGAATGACAGTTTTACTTCGTTCAACTCCATGTTGAAGAGAAAGATCTGATTCGTTGAGATAATAGTAGTTGATAGTATAAGCATTTCATTCAGAATCCGGAAGCCGAATAGTAGAAGAAGAGAGAGAAAGAAAGAGAGAGAGAGAGAGCGAAAGGAATTCAAGATTCCAAGCACATTCATTTATATACATGAAATAGAAAAGAAAAGTTTTTTTTTTCGATTCGAGTTCGATAACATTGAGAGTGCAAAGAGTTGATTATAGATTTCATTCAGCATCATGGCATAGATTATGTTGGTTGCATAATTGTGATGATACATATGAGAAAGAAGTAGAAGAAGAAAAACAGGAAACGGAAATGATGACGAAAAAAAGGAAAGAAAAGAAAGAGATAGAAAAAGACAATATTAAAAATGATGAATTGTTTTGTCCAATTAAAATTGGTAATTAAATTTTTTTTTAAAAAACAAGATGATAAATGTGATGTTTTAATTGAACAGAAATAACAAAATTAAATTAAATCAACTGAAAATTAAAAGCAAAAGGTAAAGCGTAACAATTGAATTTGATTGTTTCTAAGTCTTAATTAATTGATTGAAATATTTTTTTCACTAAAATGATTAACTAATAATTAAAACTATTAACATGCTAAAGCTACGTAAGTTTTTACTATCTATTGATTAAGCGATTTGGGTAATCAGCACATAGATTAATATATTTAAGTACATATGTAAGCAATTAACTAATTGTGGACACAGATAATCAGCAACATTCAAAGACAAGAGATAAATTTTTCAAGCAATCAACTTAATTATCAGTAAGACGATCGTTGATTAGTTGACCTTAGGTAGTTTTTCCGTTAATTAGATAATCGAAACAAAAAACTAATCTAAGAATTTGAACTTTTCTTTCAACTCGAAACAAAATGATGAAAGTTTTTTTTTCTTTCTTCTCAATTAACTTCATGTATCGATAAACAATTGATTGATTTGTTTACAGTTGATTATCATGATGATTGATTTGATTGTTATTCATAAACTTGATACTTATTAGTTGATTGTTGTAGTGGGTAAGTGGAGGTTCAAGGTGAGGGAGAGAGAGAGAGAGCGAAAGGAATTCAAGATTCCAAGCACATTCATTTATATACATGAAATAGAAAAGAAAAGTTTTTTTTTTCGATTCGAGTTCGATAACATTGAGAGTGCAAAGAGTTGATTATAGATTTCATTCAGCATCATGGCATAGATTATGTTGGTTGCATAATTGTGATGATACATATGAGAAAGAAGTAGAAGAAGAAAAACAGGAAACGGAAATGATGACGAAAAAAAGGAAAGAAAAGAAAGAGATAGAAAAAGACAATATTAAAAATGATGAATTGTTTTGTCCAATTAAAATTGGTAATTAAATTTTTTTTTAAAAAACAAGATGATAAATGTGATGTTTTAATTGAACAGAAATAACAAAATTAAATTAAATCAACTGAAAATTAAAAAGCAAAAGGTAAAGCGTAACAATTGAATTTGATTGTTTCTAAGTCTTAATTAATTGATTGAAATATTTTTTTTTTCACTAAAATGATTAACTAATAATAATTAAAACTATTAACATGCTAAAGCTACGTAAGTTTTTACTATCTATTGATTAAGCGATTTGGGTAATCAGCACATAGATTATTATATTTAAGTACATATGTAAGCAATTAACTAATTGTGGACACAGATAATCAGCAACATTCAAAGACAAGAGATAAATTTTTCAAGCAATCAACTTAATTATCAGTAAGACGATCGTTGATTAGTTGACCTTAGGTAGTTTTTCCGTTAATTAGATAATCGAAACAAAAAACTAATCTAAGAATTTGAACTTTTTTTTCAACTCGAAACAAAATGATGAAAGTTTTTTTTTCTTTCTTCTCAATTAACTTCATGTATCGATAAACAATTGATTGATTTGTTTACAGTTGATTATCATGATGATTGATTTGATTGTTATTCATAAACTTGATACTTATTAGTTGATTGTTGTAGTGGGTAAGTGGAGGTTCAAGGTGAGGGAGAGAGAGAGAGAGAGAGATAAGAAAACGGAAAACGGAAGTAACCACTTTGGTTATTATCATCATCTAACTGAATACATTTATTAATAAATCAACATTGAATTGTTAGTATACATACTTAGTATTTATCAATGACAATTAACAAATTGTAAAACCTGAGGATTTGAATTAAGGTTGATTATTGGTTAGTTTTAAGTGGATTCAATTGTGTATTGCTAAGGATACGGAAGTGAATGGATAAGTGGAAGAGGGAAAAGGTTGATATTAGTATTATAATGAATATGAAGATGGAAAGGAGAATCAAATCTAATGATGACAATTACGAGGAACAATTAAAAGTTACAATCAAAGTTTTTTTTTACCAATGATTACATGGAAAATCATCTAAATCTAATTGTTCAATTGTGTTTTGTTCAATTTTTGTCTTCAACTTTTGCAATTACAATTAAATTTATATTTATATCATTTAATTTTGATCTAGATTTTGATTCACTTGGTTAATTGTAACAATATCAAAGAGATTAAATCTAACTAACAATTAAGACTTTAACATGATAACATGAGCTAATCTTTTATTTATTAAAGATTCAGTTTATTTCCTCAATGATAAAGTTACTATTAGACATGGAGATAACTTTTTATCATCATTATCATCATCATCATTGTTTAATAATAATAATAATAATAATAACGGTACTTTGTTACCTTAAATTACAGTTACTAAAGATGATGAAGATTCAAGGATAAATAAATGAGGAGAGAGAAAGAAAAAGTTCTGAAAATTACCAGAATTTTGGCTGCTTTTTACTATCTTTTATTATCTCTGGTTCATGATGAATATGGTAGAAACTCAGAATGCTTGGAAAATGAAAGTCAGGGTAATATAATATTATATAACATTCACCATGTACACATGGAAATAAATACATAATCATGTGATTAAATTAAGTTTTCAAGGGATAACTTTGAGAAAGAGAGAGAAATTCTGAAACTCTGAAGGAGAAAGATGAAAAAAAGGTCAAAAAGAAACTAGGGAATTGATATAATGATGATAATTGTAATTTAAATTGATGATGATGAAGATGATAAGATTCTGTGTACTGAACACTGAGTCGGAACTTTTTCTCTTTCTTTTCCTGTTTCTCTGTCTTCCATCTTGCCTTATGCTCTCTTTATTTTATTTTCTCTCTCTCTCTCTCTCTCTCTTCATGTTCAGTTCTTACTTTGGGTGTATGTTCATGAATTATCATCATCATCATTTCGAAACTTTTTCTTTCTCTTATCTCCTTTTTATCTGATTCGATAAGTTGATAATCTCCTTGTAACATTTAAGAGATTATTTGAAATCATAGATTATACAATTTCAGATAAGAACAAGTAGAAAATTCAACTAATATTATTTTCTATTCACTAATACCCTCAAGTCTCAGGAAACTGGACTCACAATTTCATACAGAACGATTCATATATATATATATATATATATCTACCTATGAATTTAGAATATATCATATATCAGAATGAATTCTGTTTAGAAAATGAGAGAGAAAAACATGTTCGAGATAGTAAACATTTTCGTCAGAATTTATTTTCCTTCATTCTTATTTAAAGAAATTGAATACTCTGACCTTTTCTATTATCTTTTAAAAACCTGAGTAATCACGAACAGGTAAACAAATTTAATCTCATGAGATATTATCATGCTAATTGAATAATCAATTGGATAAATCAGATTAATCGTCATTGTTGATTAATCCTTCAAGTAAATAATAAGAAAAGAAAATAATAAAAAAAAAAGTTCTTGTTAAAAGTTCAGTGTTTTCGATGAGAAATTTGTATAAGTATAAGTGAATATTGTTGTTGATGATGATGATGATGATTTTTTGTGTGGTTAATTAATTACCTTTAGCATCTTCATCTTCCAATGTAGTGTTGCTACTGTCCGTTGATTCTTTAACTTGAGAACCTTCTCCTTTCTTGGCGACAATCGATCGACCTTATGATGATAATATATACATCGAATATATAATATAAGATTGTAATAGAAAAACACAAAAGAAAAACACACGGAAGGAGAAAATGAACTCTAAGGCAACGGCGGTGAGAGCAGAGGAAGAGGTGGACATGGAAGTGGACACAGAGGTAAAGGTCAGTTCAGAATTATCGAACGAGAGAAAAAGAGAGAGAGAGAGCCAGAGGATAAATCGAGCAATTTTTTACTCTTTTTGGTGGAAAATAATATTTTTCTTGACTTATATTCTTAAGTGAATGTTAATAATAATATGCAGCGTATGTGATATGCAAGCAAATACATTGATGGATAACATTTAATTTGCACTAAATTAAAGCTTAATTGTTGCATGAATTAAAAATAATATCTAATATATGATGATAGTTAATGATGGTTAATGGATTTGGTTGTTGATTTTTTCTTGCTTGATTGTTAACGTTTAAAAAACTTGCATGATGCTGATTTTGTTTTGTTCATTTGGTTTTCAAATGAAAAGTTTTGTTGTTCATTTAGAGTGAGAGTTTATTGAGGAGTTTAATTGTTGTTAAATTGTGTGTCAAATTTATGATTACTTACTGGAAAAATTTCTGGTCGCCAACATGGTGGTCAATATTGCTCCTTTCAATTTACGCCGAGCATTGAATTTCTTAAGGCAATCAACGGTCTCTTGGCGGTGTAGAGTTGATGCAACTCGTTCTCGTTGACAGATCCATGGGTGTTTAAGTGCTTCGGCAGCGGTGATCCTTTTCTCTGGGTTAATTGTTAACATTGAATTGATCAAATTCTTGGCTTCAGGTGTAACTGTATCCCATTCAGGTGATGGATACTACAACACAATTAACAAACAATACAACAATTAACAATTAGAATCTCATTTTTTCATATTCACTATCCTTATGATCATCTTTCTTGCCATCAATCAATAATTGTTTGTTCAAGTTGCTAATCATCAACTGTGATTACGATTATGTTTACAATCATAATCATAATATTATTAATTTGATTTGATTGATTGATTATTTTTTCTTCATTTTAATCTGATTAGTCTATGAAGTTAATTATTTATGTTTTTTTTATATTATGTAAATTGTTGATTATTAATCTTTATGATGATGATTATCATTATCTAATTTGAATTTGCCTTTAACCAAAATTGTTGTTGTTTAATTTTCTGATTATAATTATGATTAAATTGCCTTGAAGCTATTTTTTTATTATCGCTTGATTGTTTTTACATTTGATTGTTAATGATTATCACGATTATCATGTTAATCTGGTGACAATTTAATCTTAAAGTTTTACATCAATGTAAATGTGTAAGCCTCACATTGGTTGGTTGATTACTTTTACTTGGTTCATTTTAATGGTTGATTGTTGCATATCAATTGATAGATTATTTAATTGTCTACAATTAGTGTCAATTTCTAACAATTTAGATTAACAATTTAACTTACATCATAAGCTCCTGCCTTTATTTGTGCATAAAGGCGATGTTGATCCTCGTCCCAAAAAGGTGGATAACCAACCAAAAGTATATACAAAATGACTCCTACAATTAAGGGAACAATTAGTTGATTAGATTAACAATTAAAAGGAAAACTTAAAAAAAATCAATTATCAACAATATTTAGAATCCATTTAATTGTAATGATTAAGGTTCGTTACAATTGATTTATTGATCACTGGGCTGTGATGATGATGAATATTATTTTTATAATTAATAATTAATGAAATACTATTATCAGTAATTAATTAGTTGATTGTATCAATTAATTTTATGCTCATTTTTATTTATTGTTCAATTTAATTGTTTGCTTGATATAATTTAGTTTTAAATCAATATCAAGTTTATTAAATTATCCAATTCCAATGATAATCCATAATAAATACTCATTTAAATTGACTAATTAATAATTTAATCGTGATAGATTTCATGTAATCAATATCACAATTAATAAATTATCATGTTACCAGTTATTTTTGCTGTTTCTGGTTCAATTGTGATCAATAATTAATTGTGATCAGAGTAATAATAATAGTATCAATCAACAATCAACAATCAACAATTGGCTTATTGTTGCGATTTAAATTACTATGGATTCCAAGTTTATTTATTTATAGTAATATAATTAAATTTTGTTATAAAATTTTCATTTTATTTTCTCCTGTTAATTAACTAATCAATAAGATTGATTATGATTAAATTGTCAATAGTATTTGAAAAGGATTCAGTTGGGAAAAAGTTTCTCAACTATAAGATTAACCTGATTTTCATGATTCGTATATATAAATTTACCATTATAATGGTTGATTAACTGATTATTGATTGAATTTGTCTATTTATTTAATCATTGAAATTCAGTGAAACATTTACATTTACAATTTAATTAACTTGGTAAACAATTAAATCATCTTCCGGGTTCACCCAATTGAGAAAAATGTTCATGTTGACAATACTAATTTGACGATTAATGATTTTATTATATTTTCACTTTTAATTACTCTGATTAATGATTTTCATTGATAAATAATTTTACCTTTTCTCTAAATTACCAGAAATTGATTAATCATCCTAATCATTAATCACAACAATCAACTTTCAACTATTGTTTACAATTTTTGTCTCTCTTTCTGATTAATAATATTAAAAGAAAAGAAGAAGAAAAAAGTTTAATCATTACTGACAATTAACTCGGAAGAAAACAAAATGATTTAATAACTTGGTAACTTATCAATTCGTACAATTTAAAATTAGTTAATTGTCGCTAATTGGAGAAGAAGAAAAAATTCAAATTATTGATTAGATTTTTGTTCTTCCCTCTCTTTTTTTTGTTCCAATGTCAATGTTATGGTTACAGAGAGAGAGAAAGAGGATCAGCTGATTGACCTTAAGGTCGAACATGAGTTTCGTTTGTTTTGTTAATTGTTCTCAGTTAATTTACTATTTTTAGATTAGAAGAACAATTTTACTTCGCAATTTGGTACAATTAAGTTTTCTTCGCAATTTTGATTCGATTAACCTTGGAATTGGAAAACTCTCTCTTCTATTTTGATGGTGAAAATTAAATCTCCTCAAGGCTATCGATTGATTTTCCATGAGTATAGAAAATCAAAGAGATTGTAAGTAAGAATTTCAGTCAATCCTTTTGGTTGTTTTTTCTTCTCTTCTCCTCTTATATTCTGTGAATTTATGTGAATTAATTCTTGTCTCTCTCTCTCTCTCTCTCTCTCTCTCTCTCTCTCTCTCTCTCTCTCTCTCTCTCTCTTCTATTTACAGTTAACAAGTTATTCTCATGAAAATACCAAAAGAGGAAAAAGAGAGAAAAAGATTAATCTTGATGATTGGTAACACCATGGAAATGTGAGTATATTAAATATATTACTTGTCAACACTTCGCTCATGTCACCTATTAATTAACAAATTGTCATTTTCTATTTATCTTAGATTGGGTCTTTTTTTATATTCTCTCCCACTCTCTCTGTCTCTTCATCTTCTGCCAACCCGTTTTGTTTTTCATCACCAATCACAGTAATTTTACAATTCTTTGTATGAATATCATGATGATCATCATAAGTGTTATATCAAGTCAATTATTCACAGAGAATAACAAGTTTGACATGATTATCAGAATAGAAGAGGATTTGTAGCTTCATCATCATCATCTTTGTTTCAAGCTTAAAGAGATGAAAAATGTTCATTAATTTTCTTCTTCCATGTTATATAATCAAAAGGTTCTATTATTTTCTCTCTCTCTCTCACACACTCACACAAATTGTAACCGAAAAACCCAAAATCTTTTGATACCTTTAACCAGAATATTTAACACCTTAATGAACACCAATTCTAATCTTATTCTTGTTTCTCTTATTTTCATATATTAGATTTTCATGGAATACAAATATTAATACTAATCAAGTCTCTATTTGGAGTCAACGGATAAGCCAAACAAACACTGGACATTGACTATTGAAGTTATTGTTTTGTATCATCTCTCTAATGATCTTCTAACAATTAGTATCCACATGTTATGTTTACATGTTGAGTAAACTCTCTGGATTGACGACATTTACTTATATCATCTGATAGATTTTGTGGTAATTTAAGAACGAATTGTAAACAAAAACCTATTGTATATCTAATTGATTATACGATTTTTGTTTTATTCTATTTGATATCGATATACACAAGGTAAGTGTTGGTAATAGAAACAATAATAATAATAATACCTCTCAAGGTGAATTATTATCTAAATGGATTTTCCTAAGTTAATCTTGTTTTCCTTTCTTTTCTCTAGCTTCTTTGTTTTCCATTCTCTCCTTGATTGTTTTTGATTAATTACTCAAAAGAGAGAGAGAGAAGGAGGTTAACAAAATGGCTGCTGATGATTGACTAACTTTAGATATGAATTGGAAATAAATTTGGAAACTTACCACAAGCCCATATATCAACTGGTTTACTATAAGGTTCCTTACGAAGTACCTCAGGTGAAAGGTAACCTGGTGTACCTGCAAAGCCAAACCAAGCTGATCGATCACCGCTAACCTCAATGGCCAAACCAAAATCAGCCAATTTAACGGCTGCACCTTTCTGTTTACTAGCAAGTAAAAGATTCTCTGGTTTCAAATCCCTATGTACAACGTTATTCATGTGACAATGATTAACAGATTCCAATATTTGTTGTATACAATGGGAGGCATCAGCTTCTGAATAGTATTCCCGAGCTACTATATCTTCAAATAATTCACCGCCAGTTACTAGGTCAAAAATTAAATAATGATAACCCTCCTCTTGGATGCTATCATGAAGTCGAACTGGAAAAGAATCAAAAAAAGGCAAACAAGACAAAACAGATAAATATCATGATGATAATATGTAAAAATCAGAGATATCGATCAACAGTGAAGAATGAGAGAGAAATGGTCAATCATTACAACTTAATAACTGCCCACCAACACCAAGAACATTGTTAATATCACCATAGACCTCATCTTCACCCAAACATTGGTTAGAGAAGGAAACAAATCCCTCCCTTCATTTACCCAACTATTATCTTCTCGAAAGTTACCTTTCTCTCTCACTCACTCACTCACTTTCTCTCTCTCTCTCTCTCTCGGTAAATTTTTTCTCTTCTTGGAATTGCTGTCTCTTTCTCTTTTTTTTCTTATTCTTCTGAAGAAGATACGATTTTCTTATATCATCTATTTTCTTGACATAGTAACTTTTTTTTCCTCTCTTTCTTTTGTTAATATACTTTCTTTTTTTTCTCCTTTTCTCTTCATAGGATATTCCTAATTTGAAAAGAAATGTCAACATAAGAATAAGACGAAAAATCCCAAAGGTTAGTATATCTATTGCTGGCTGATTCTCATATTATTGTTACTTACCTATGTTTGGATGATTTAATTTCCTACAGATTCGAGCTTCTCTTTCAAGCTTTTGGAAATCTATTTCCATGGTAAATTCAGGATTTTTCACCGATTAAATTGGAGAAAATTGTGAATCCAGTCAAGTGTCCATGTAGGAAAGCCCAGAAAGATAGAGAAAATGTAAAGAAAAATAGATAGAAAATAGAAAGAAATGAAAGAGAGAAAGAGAGAGAAAAAATATAAGACGAAGCAAAACCAGGAAACATGGAGAAAGATAGAGAAAAGAAAGAGAAACGAGAAAGATGATTCAATAGGAAAACATGGAGTGAGTATTGATTTTGTTCACATTGATTCAAAAAAAAAGGTATTCGTGATGTGAGGTCATCCATAGTTGAAGATGAAGATAAAGATGATGAGAGAGAAAGATAAAAGTAAAGAATCAACATTAGTATGTACATTTAATTATTCATATTAATGCATATGAAAAGTATCTCATCATCAACAACAACAACAAATGATGATGAAAGTTTTTTTTTCCAAGGAAAATGAATAAGACATTTTTTTTTCTTCTTCTTCTTTATCATGAAAATATTTCAATAGACAGAAGTAGAGAAATAGATGAAGGCAGATGAAGATGAAACTGTTGGTGACAAAAATAGGAATCGAGGAGAGAATAAGAGATTCTGACATGAAGATGAAGATGAAGATGAAAATGAAGAGGAAAAAAACTAGAAATCGGTTATCTTATTTTCTTGGCTTATCATTAAAACCTTTGGGTAAACATGATGATGATTGTTTGTTGTTGTTGTTTATGTGATCATTTCAATGTTGTGATCTGATTGTTGTTGTCTTTTACCTCGTGCTGATAATTTCTTGGTGTTTATTATTTTAGCTGCGAATTCAAGTCCAGTTGATCTTTGAACACATCGTCGGACAATTGAAAAGGCTCCTCTGTAAGTATGAGAAAATATATATACATCAATTAATGACAATTTAAATACAATAATAGTGATTAATTGTTTGTTTTGTTTTTTTTTTCTTCCTTCCAATTGTAGGTTATTTTTTTTTCTTCTTGGGTTTCATGATAAATTTTATATACTTTTCGCCTTTTGTTATGAATAAACAAGTAACCATATCGGAAACTGAATAGGAAATAATATGAGAAGAGGTGAAGCCATGCAAAAATTTGAGAACCTGAACTGAATTATTTTAAAAATGGTTGCTATTGTTTTCCACGGAGAGAAATACAGAGAGAGAGAGAGAGAGAGAGAGAGAGAGAGAGAGAGAGGAGATAAAAGCAAAGGAAGATGATGAAGATTCAGTTAGGATGAAGGCTTTTTAATAATGTATCATGATGATGATGATGAGAGAAAGAAAAGAAAGAGACTAAGTAGGACAGAGTGGAAAAGAAAGAGAAACAAGTTCGATAATATTAATGTACATTATGAGTTAACCCAAAAGGGATCATCAACATGGCTCGAGTTAAATATTATCTTTGGAAATTCTGGTTAAATATTAAAACCCTTTCTCTCTCTCTCATCTTCTCATCTTTATATTGTATTAATATTTTATCTTCTCTTTCTTTACTTTATCTTGTTTTCAGATTGGAAAGTTTGTTACATGGAAATTATTTGATAGAAGATGGAAAAGGAGAAAACCCAAAAAGAAAATGATTGAGGTCAATTGGTTAACATGCGATTACATGGAAACCAGAATTTGGAACCAGAGGTTTTTTTCCACCATGTTAATAGATTGTAATGATTAATAAGAAGCAATTTATTAATTTACTTCATTTCTCTACCTTCATAATGTGTCGTTAATTGTGTTCGCTTATAATTAACACTCTTAATTATTTCAGCAAAATAGACAGAGAGAGAGAGAGAGGAGATAAAAGCAAAGGAAGATGATGAAGATTCAGTTAGGATGAAGGCTTTTAATAATGTATCATGATGATGATGATGAGAGAAAGAAAAGAAAGAGACTAAGTAGGACAGAGTGGAAAAGAAAGAGAAACAAGTTCGATAATATTAATGTACATTATGAGTTAACCCAAAAGGATCATCAACATGGCTCGAGTTAAATATTATCTTTGGAAATTCTGGTTAAATATTAAAACCCTTTCTCTCTCTCTCATCTTCTCATCTTTATATTGTATTAATATTTTATCTTCTCTTTCTTTACTTTATCTTGTTTTCAGATTGGAAAGTTTGTTACATGGAAATTATTTGATAGAAGATGGAAAAGGAGAAAACCCAAAAAGAAAATGATTGAGGTCAATTGGTTAACATGCGATTACATGGAAACCAGAATTTGGAACCAGAGGTTTTTTTCCACCATGTTAATAGATTGTAATGATTAATAAGAAGCAATTTATTAATTTACTTCATTTCTCTACCTTCATAATGTGTCGTTAATTGTGTTCGCTTATAATTAACACTCTTAATTATTTCAGCAAAATAGACAGAAAGAGAGAGAGAGAGAGAGATAAACAACTTCGTAACTTTTAGTTACGATTTTCTCGTTATATCGTTCATGAGAAATTCATTTCTGAGTGTATTTTTATTTTCTCTCGTTATCATTGTTAATTGTTATTAGAATTTTATTTTCTCTCTCACTCACTAATTATTACTCTTGATTACTTTAGGTTATTTGTTTATATCGTGGGTGTGACCCTGTTATCGTTTTTTTTTGGCGACTTGAAGTATATGAAAATTTACATGGTAAAGTTCAGAATAGAACCAGAATTAAGTGAAGAATGAAATTTAATGAGAATAATAAACGAAAAAGTTACAATGCTAATGGAAATTATTTAATGACATGGAATCAATCATTTATCATTCTATTGGAAATTAAATTGTTGATTAATCGACAATCAAATTGATTGAAAAAAAATTTTTAATTCTCTTGTTTCACATTTCGCATTCTCTTTGGACTATTTTTCTACCATTTAATTGGATTGATTGTTAAATCACTTTACGGATCAAATTTCGATTGGAAGTTGATTTTTTTTCTTCTTCTTCTTTCCTATCATTTGATTCTTAATTGTTTAACATTTAGTTAATTGTTTTACTTACTTTCCTAATTCCTCTTTGAGTTCATAGTTATCAGAGAAACGTGTTGTTATTACCGGAGTTGCCATTTAATTAGTTAATTGTATTACAGTCTCTTGGTGATAATTAAGTAAATTGTGTCCAAAAAACAGCAAATAAATCACAAATTGCAATAATTAAATTTTCAAATTGTTTGTAAACAAATTTAAAGTTATTGGGTTAATGATGATGAATGAAAATTACAAAAGTTAACAACAATTAATCACACAATTAAAACACACACTTGGAAAGAGAAACGGATTAAAGGTGAGAGTTTGAAAGGTAATCAAAAGGTGAGATTAAGATGATGAAGATGATGATTAGGAGGATAAATGATGATAAAAGGATGAGGATGATATCCTTTTGGATGGTAAATTGTTGTTGTTGATTCTCTTTGTTGATTTATTTTCGATTCCTCGTTTTCTTTTTCCTGTTTTCTTTGATTTTCTGTTATTTCCTTTTTGTTTCTCTGATATTTTTTTCTCTCTTTCTCTGGATTTGTTTTTTTTTTCTTCTCAAATTCGAAAATATATCTTGTCTCTTCGTCGAAGCTTATATTTAAAAGAAAGAGAGAGAAATAGAGAGAGAAAGAGGGAAAGCAAATAGAGACAAAGATAGAAAGAGAAAATAGAAAGAGAGAGAGAGAGAGAAGCGAAAAGGTAATAATCCGAATCTCGTTTTACACTTTTTGGATGGTGAATGGAAAGTAATTGAAATTAGAATGTTCCAATTGAAACAATTACTATTAATTATGGAACTTTTGTTTTCTCCAACTACGATAAACAAAAACTGATATTGAATAAATTGTGAGTCGATAATAACAGTTGATTATAATGATAACAGAAAATAAAACCAAGTCACTTAGTTAAATAATATGATTGGCAGAGGAAACATGAAAAGTGAACATTGAGTAAGAGAGAGAGAGAGAGAGATGATATTAGACAGAATTTGGAGAAAGAGAGGTGAAGATGATGAAGACAGAGAAGTAGAAAGGATGAATGATGGAAAAGAAGAGAAGTGGAAATGATGAGGAAAGAAAAGAAAGAGAGAAAATAATCACAATCGAGATAATTTTGTAAATTGTTGGTGAGAAGATGAAGAAGAAAAGAATGTAAGGAGACGAAGATGAAGATGATGAGAGAGAAAGAGACAGAGGAAATTTTCTCGAATTCGAAAGAGTGACAATAAGAAAAGAGAGAGAAAAGTAAAGGCTATACTTGGATATTGAAGAGAATTATAAATTCGTATTCGCAAGCGCACATGACGAAAGTATTCGAGATTCTCTTAAGTTTCTTCTCTGTCGAACTTTTTTATTCTCTCTCTCTCTCTCTCTCTCTCTCTCTCTCTCTCTCTCTCTCTTGCGCATTTCCCATTTTCTTCGACATGTTTCCCTTTCATTATAAAATTCTATTTCTCTGTCTCTCTCATGTTCTCCATAGAAAAGAACCGAAAAGAAACCAGAAAAAGAAAGAAAGAAAAGAAAGAGAAAAATATTCTTATTTTCTCTTACCTTGACTGTCGATGTTTTCATGCGCTAACCCTTCGAAGAGAAAGAAAGAAATGATTATGATGATGATGATGAGAAATTATCTTCATGAGTAAAAGGAAACTCTATCATCATCATGATTATCGTTGATTCAAATTGAAATTGAGAGAACCAAAAAAAAAACTCAATTCGATACAACAACTGATGACATCTATTGGGTTAATCTAAATTATTGGGTACGATTAATTTTCCCTAATCCAGTTCAAGGATAAATGAATTAACCAATGAGATAACATTCAATTTGCTTCTTATTACCTTCCTAATTGTATTCATCCTTGATTAAACTTTTCTACCATGTTAATTGCCCTCAAGGGATGTTAATTGTTGTTCAATTTTCTTCCACTCTGACGTCTTCTCTGTTTTTCGAGTTTATATTTGTAATTATAATTAAACTTCTAAAAAGATAATATCATGTTAATGTATTAGAATAAAAGAAAAACAAACGAGAGAAAAGTTTATTAGTTTTCTCTTTTCAAGTAAAATTCTATTAAAGTGAAAAACAATAATCACAATCATCGTACTTGATTGTAAATGATTAATAAAGTGATTAAGGTCTAATTGTAAATCGAAACCGGTTCATGACAATTGACAATTTTTTTCTTCTTCTTCTCTTCACTTACCTGAGAGTAAATTTTACTCTTTCCTTTTTCTGTCAAATAAAAAAGGAAAAAAGAAAAGAAAAACTTGTTTTCTCTGTAATCAATTAATTAATTGCTAATTGATTACAAGAAAAATTTTCAATTAGAAATCAAATTAATTATTTTTGTTTTGAAAGAAAATTTTACTTTTGTATTGAGCGGTTTTCTATTTCTACCTCCAGGTGGCGCAGCTTAGTAACCATGGAAACAGAGTCGAGTTTATATGAAGAAACATGTTAACCGTTTCCGTATCCGTATGAAGTTAAGTTGAATGGTTTCTTGTGATTTGTTTATATTTTTCACTTTTTGATTTAGTTTAAATTTAATTTAATTAAATTCGTTGGATATTAATTCTGTGAATATGCATCCTCATCACGCTAAAATCGTTAAAAAGCCTGGAGAGAAAGTAGATGAATTTGAATCTGCAATTTCACAGGTAAGATTAATTGTTGAATCTGTTTTACCGGTAGTGTAAATGTGGTTGGTTTTAGTGTTTGGTTTTTGATTATATTGTTAATTGTTTTGGTTAATTGGTGTTTATTTATTGTAATTAATTGTCATTGATACTGATTGTTCTGTTTTTTTGATCTTTTGTAATTCTAGGCTTTATTGGAGATTGAATTGAATCCTGAATGTAAGGCTCAATTAAGGGAACTTCACATTGTTGGTGCAAAGGAAATAGACGCTGATGGAAGGAAATCAATCATTATTTGGATTCCACCTCCACAGCTTAAAGGCTGGCAAAAAGTTCTCGTTCCCGTAGTTCGTGAATTGGAGAAGAAATTTAGTGGTAAAACAGTTGTGTTTGTAGCTAAAAGAACCATTTTACCAAAACCAACAAGAAAAGTGAGGTCCAAGTCCAAGCAAAAGAGACCTAGAAGGTATGGCTTCTTTTACTCTAATTTCTTAACAACCTGTTTCCTCTATCAATCTATGTTTCTTTTTTTTCCAATATTAATTTTCCACGTATCGTTTTTTTTCTCCATTACCTTCACAGCCGAACTCTAACTGCTGTCCACGACGCTATTCTTGGAGATATTGTCTACCCTGCTGAAATAGTTGGTAAAAGGACTCGAATTTGTCTTGATGGAAGACGCTTATTCAAAATTCATTTAGACAAATCTTATCAAACCAATATAGAGCACAAAGTAAGTCTTATTCAATTTTCTTATTGACACTTTTACCTTTCCATCATTGACTCTTTTTAAAATCGATTCAATTTCTAATCATTTTTCTCACTTTTCTCTCCCACTTAGACCGATACATTTGCTGCTATTTACAAGAAGCTCACTGGTAAAGAGGTTAAATTCGAATTCCCTGAACCTTTGTTTTGATCGAAAAATATGTTGAAATAAAATTAATCACAATCAACGATTCATACATAACAATCACCTTTTTTTTCAACTTGATTACAATTGGTGATTATCAAAGCCACTCAAGTAATTAACATCCAAATGATAATCAGGGATAAATCAACTTTCCATTTGTTTTTCTGGATTAGCTTCATATTGATTACTATCTCGGTTATTTGACTCACTTTTACACCTTAATTATCTTTCTATCCAATCAATTGGTACAACAATGGGAGACAATGTTGACAATCAAATTTTGACCTTCCTTCAAGATTAGACGATTGTTGAATAATTTACTAATTATCTCTCAACGTGTTAATCTCAACAACTCTTTTGGTACCAATTATCTAAATGAACTTAGAATGTTAATTTAATCTTAAAATCAAATGTAATCCATTTTCTCTTTCATCGATTGTTACCTTAATTGTAGTAGACAATTTAACTTTAATATCAAATAGTTTTTCTAATTGTGTAGTCTGTTGATCATAATGATCGGATCAATTTTTCAACTAATGGCGACAAACTGAAAGTGTAACTGATGATGAATTGACAAATGTAAACATTCAAACCTCTTCATTGGTGATTGTGTTAATCACTCAATCACAAAGTGAACAATTAAGTTAATGACCAACAATTTTAATTGACTGGGTACTCACCCGATAATCAAATCTCCGTGAAAAATGATTAAAACTTAAAACTGCGCGTCAAAGGCAAACAATTAGATTTTACCTTCTCTGAATGTAAACAATTTAATATTTGATTGTTTCCATTTACATTTCCTTGTTATGTTAATCATGTACAATAATTTATTGATTGTTGTTATATCAATTTGCAGCTCTAATTGTGCTGCCTAATCTTGTGACCATCTTACCGTCCAGTTAGGAGGAAATGATTAATAACATGGGGCAGTAATTAACTGTTGTTGATTTAAAGCAAATCTCATGAAAGTGAAAATATTTAACCAAATTGAATTGAACAATCAGCAATTAGCAATTGATGTCGGGCGTTTACCGTTATTGTTTTAGTACATTTGTGTGTGTATCTAATGAGAGTAATCAAGAAATGAGTTTAATTAATGTTAATATTGTGGTTAATTGTAATTTAGATTTGTAATTGTCATAATATGAATAAAGAAGAAGGTGATTTGGGCAGTTTGTGATTAAAGGGCTTGATCATTGGAGAAACAACAATTAGTTGGTAATGATGATGGAGAGTAGATTGTTAATTGTCTTGATGTTCACTGATCTCGATTTGCTATTTGAACATTTCAACGAAAAGAAAGTGCGAGAGAGAGAGAGAGAGAGAGAGAGAGAGAGAGAGAGAGCGAGAGGTCAATAATCGTGAACGATGTAATGTCCAGTTCGTTGAGAGAGAAACAAAATTAAGATAATAATCTAAAAATATCGATATCATTGTTAATTGACTGTCGATTTGTTTCTCTTGGCTCAGCTTAAAGGGTCAACAATTAATTAATTGAGAGTGTTAATTAGTAATGACAAAGTTGGCTGGTTGATGTTAATGTTTGTAAAGATGAGATTTTAATCATTTGCAATTAAAATTGTTTACTTATTTCATTGCAATACTGTTAAATAATATTCATGCAACGTTACGGTTTCATGACAATTAACAGTTACACTTAATTTTCTGTTGATTGTTAAGAGGTGGGTAAGGTTTAGGATTAACTAAGATTAAGCTGAAAGAGGAGGTGGGATAAGATTTTAAGGTTGACAATATGATACTGATCACAATTAAACAAACTGGAATTGGACTCCGCCTGATTTAGAGGATAAATTGTCACTGATTGGGGAAAATTAGTCAAAAATATAAGCCTTTCAATTTCGTCTCTTAATCATTTGGTTGATTGTTAACAATACGAATACCAGTAAACTTTTTCATTCCAAAAGTGTCTTGACCATCAATCGGTTCTATCGAATATTTGTTTTTCCTTTTAAACTTTTCGAAAGTTGAGAAATCAAATAGTTCCAACTCGATAATTCTGCCAAGTGCTACGATAATCAATCGATATTTAATCAATCATCATGATGACAATTACTAGGAATTACTTGTTGTGTTTAAGTGTCACACTTTTGTCGGTTTCTTTGGTTTCCTCTGCGGGCTCATATTCATCTCATAAGGATGTCGACAAAGATTTGGCCTCAGCTCCGTCCGCTTATGCTAAACAGGTTAAACGGGACGATCAGCCCAAATTTTCAATCGGCCTTGGCACCTTGTCCCCGTCTTATACCCAGAAACTTGGACCCGATGGTAAAACTCAATTAGATTTCAATACCGATAAAATGGTTTCTCTTATTCAATCAGCAATGTTAATCACCAGAGTTTAACTCAATCAGGAAGTGAAAACAAAGCTACTAAGGTAAGTTAATTGTTAACCTTTCACACAATTACAATTAACAGATTCAAGTTGATTTGATTGAGAGAAATTAAAAAATTCTGATGAGACAATTGACCAAATTCAATTGTCTCAATTGATCCCATTTCCAATTTGATATATATAAAGTATTATATTAATTATATTTAATTTCATTTGATTGTTTTTAATTTTCTCTGATTAGAATTAATCAATTTCAATTATTACCTTAATTGTGTGACCTTTAATTGTCTTTTAAACTTATAATCTAAACACCATTGAATCTAAAGGATAATTGTCTTTTCCGTATGACCTGTTAATTAAATCATATTAATCAAATTAACTTTCAATGATTATTATTAATTACTGTTACTATAAAATCAAATCTAATCAGGAAACAAAGAAACAATTGAAATTTAATAGTCAATCAAATTGTAAACTTTAATTTCAATTGTCTTAAAAATCAATCAATCAGGTAAATCAATTTGATTTGAATACACAATTAACATTCATATTGGTAAATCAGGTTGATCATTATCTAATATTGATCACAATTAATGTTAAATTGTGTCCCTTAAATTGTTAAGCTAATATTAGATAATCAAATGTACCAAAGTTTAAAACAATTAACAAAAAACATATAATAATATAAGTAGCAATTAGTTTGATTGATAAATTGTTGAACTTGATCATCAACATGATTCAATTGGTGTATTAACAATTAACGCTTGAGAAAGATGATTTGTTTTTAGATTGTAATTAAATTGTTCAACACACAAACAATTAACATTAGTGATGCATATTATTATTAGTTAACAATTACCGGATGATAAACAATCAATAGTAAATTGTTTCAACAATCCAACCATGATCATCACCAAATCAAAGTTAATCATAATCTTGATCATAACAATTTTCAGGTCACCGGGTTTAACAATTGTGTTAATCATGTTAAATATAATTAATTAGGTGGGTGTGCCTTTGTTTATTATAACAATTAAATGATAACAATAATTACCTCTTGATTAACTTAAATCACCCTCAATCCCTTCAGGCCTTAAATATCAATTACCACCCACAATTTGATTAACTTGTTGATTGTAACAATTAATATACAATCAGAGAAATCGTTTCATTTCACTTTCAGGTCACTTCTTTGAAGTTGTTAATTGTTATCACAATTGAGTAAATTTTTAATCATGATTAACAAGCTGATTAAATTTTTCGCATTGGTAATGATTTAATTTTAACTGGTCAACGTCAAGCAATTAGTTGGGCACAACGAGTCACAATTAATTGTTAATCGTCATTATAATTGTCAAGCTTGAAGAGAAAAATTTTTTTTTAATTCTAATCTAAATTGTTGTACATGCATTTTAATTTTGATAACAATTAATTTTAATTCTTAATTACTTGTTAATCACAGGATCCAGGCCACGATCAAAACTTAAAGAATCACAATCTTGATCCATACAATTATTATCAAGTAAGTAATTAGTTAAGATTTTTGATTATTTAATCAATTAGACTTTTGATTTTTTTGGTTTACTAATTGTTTGGTTTTAATTGTTTTGATTTGTTTGACAATTAGAATCCTGGATCACCAAATATCAATGTTTACCATCAACAAGGTTACTCGGCTTATCCTCAACAAGTTAACGCTTTAGCTCAAATGTATGGCGCTGGTTCACCCGCCGCTGCGGCTTATAATCAGGGCGCTGGTGGCCCTGGACTTTTACCCTTTGGAGGGGCTGGTCAAGCCGGAGGCCTTGGTCAATACTATGGTCCAAATCAACAACAACAACAACAACAGCAACAACAGCAACAAGTTGGTTACCCTGTTGGTCAATATGGAGGATCAGCCGGTGGTTTCTTTGGACCTGGTCAAGGATTCACTCAAAACATTTCACCCAATCAAGGATCAATCTCACCAACCACCGCCGCTTCATCAACCAAACCCGAAGCCAAAGAGGATAATAAATCAAACGCTGAGGCAACAACCTCTTCACCCACTTCCGGTCAATTGAATACACTACCTGGAGGAATCTTCAACTATGGCTTCAGTCAAGCTCATGGTTTACCTCAAGCTGGTCAAGTAAATTATCCCGTTAATCAAATGAGCCAAATGAATCAAATGAATCAAATGAACTATCCAGTTAACCCTTACTTTGGAGCCGCTGGTGGGCAAATGGCTAATCAGGGTAACATCAATGGTGTCACACAAACCGCCATAAACCATGGTCCTGGAGCCGGTGTTCCTGGAGCCAACCAAGCCGGTGGTATGTACGGATCACCTTATGGTGGCTTCGGTATGGATCCTTACTCAATGGCTGCCATGTCCGGCTACGGTGGAGGACCAGGCGCTGATGCCTACAGTGGCTACGGTGGTTATGGTGCTGGTAACGGCTTAGGCGGCGGATCGGGAATGATGGGCTCAGCCAGTTCCCCTTACGCTTCACTTTTCCCCTTCCTTTGAGGCGGATTAACCTTACCACCCACCCACCACCCACAAACCCCTTGATCATCATCATCATCCTTCATCACTCTCGCCATTGATTTAACAAATCAATCAACTTAATTGTTGTCATTTCTTTTACAATAATTTTGTCTCATGTGTACTTAATCACATTACCTTAATTACTTTCTTTAAACTTTTTCTCCTACAATTTAAAATTATTATCAATTCATTGTCATTAATAAAGGGACTTTTTTTTTAAATCATCAACAATTTAATCATCACCATTAATCACTTTGATTGTCGTTTACTAAATAATAATAAATTGATTACCTCAAAAAATACAAATCGTTTTCACTTTTATTTATTTAATTTGAAATTCAATTTGTCCACAATTAATCAATCATATTTTTTTTGTATCAACAATTTTGATTAAAACTTCAATTGTAACAATAAACTAATTGTTTAATTTAACTTTTTCGTTGTAAATTAAATCAATCAAAAAGAAACAAAGTTTGTCAATTGCTTTTAATTAACCAAATTAACTAATTGTTCAGCTAACTGATTAGCTGATTGTTACTCTCAAGGAAACTTGTAATCAATTTTACATTTATCACTTTCTAATTGTGATAATTACGACAAATCTAATCAGTTAATTTACACTTAATCAAATTATTTAATCAGCTGATGGAATAGTGATTAACTTAATTGGAACATTTTTCTTTTAATATAAAAGTAACTCGTTGATATTTGCAAGTTATCATTTAGATATTGTTAATCTTTACAATTAACTTGATTGTTAGAAAAAGATTATTGATCAAAAATGAATTTAAAATTGTCTTTGTGTGTTTACTTGTTATTAGTTTAATCCTTTACTCCCAAGCTCAATCTGATTCACAATCAGAATCTGGAGGCGGCGGCGGTTCCGGTGGTCCACCCTCTGGCTCTGGTGGTGGTGGTGGTGGATCGGGTGGTCCACCTCAACGTCCAGGAGGTATGAGTAGTGGTGGCGGTGGTTCTGATGGTGGATCCGGAGGAGGATCAGGAGGCGGTAATGGTCAACAGTCAATGGGAAGTGGCGGTGGATCAGGTAAGCAAAAAAAAAATTGATCACTAATCTTAAATCATTATGATTGAATTGTTAATTTTGTTTTCTTTCATATCGATGATATTTGATTGGTTGGAAAATTGAATTTATCAAATTAAGATTTGAAGAGTAATTAATTAGTCTTTTAGTTTAAGTTAATTACTGTTCTTGTCTGTTGAAATTACACATTAAGATATTTGCTCATCCAAATCTGTAATTAAGTTGTAAATCAATCAATTGAACACCAAATTAATTGTTGTTGTTTACACTAATCAACTAAACTTTTTAAAGTAAAGTGAAACTTGCCCTTGATTTACATGATTAACAAATGTAATTGTTTAAATTAAATCAACATGACTGATTGTATGATTACTTTAGGTGGACAAAACTCTGGACAATCATCTAGACCCTCAGGAAATTCAGGGTCGAGCTCAAGTTCTGGTTCATCTAATCAAAATGGCGGAAAACGAGGTGGACGAGGCCGAGGCCGAAGTGGTGGACGGAGTAACAGCCGAAATCGAGGTTCTAACAACAATGGAGGCAATTCAATCTAATGATAATCTTAACGAACAATCAATCGGATTTATCACCTAACAATTAACTTGCTCTCGTTAACAAATAGTCCTCAAAATTAAAGCTCTGTTAAATTGATTAAACTTTTTCTGATCATTATCAACAAAAACTTAGATACAAATTGATTAGATTTTTTTTATCATTTAATTTGATTCCATTTTTTAATCATTTGCATTGATTTAAATTAATGGTAAATGTGAAGCTTACAATGATTTCGTATTGTCAATGTTTCCATTGAACTTGAAGTGAAAAAAGTGAATGATGAAAATTGATGATCACAAATGATGATTAGTAGATGATGATGATAATGAGGATGAATTAAGGTGATGATTAGGTGAGATCAGATTCAGGTAACAATTGGATTAATGAGATTATAAGGATTCCATGATCGCTGTGAACGGAGGTAGAATTGATTTACTTTTGGTTGTTTCCGCTTTCCGGGTGGGTAAACTTTTGTTAATTTCGCCGCAGGCGGTTGAGTTTTCTTTGTACTCGGCACAGATCAGTTCGAGCACATCGGCAGCGATCCCATGGATAAGTCCAGCGTAGAAAGTGACCGCATCTCGAGAACAGGAAGACTTTTGTCGACGAAGATTGGACACAACGCATCGTTTAAATTTGTAGAACGAACTGAACAATTCGAGAAATAGAATAATAACAATTTCGATTAGATCAAATTGTTGATATTTCTTTGAATTAGAATGGAAAATTTTTTAGAACAATCAAACTTACCAGCAAACGAATGGAATCTTTTTATCAGAATCTTCAGTCTCTTGGATTCCATAAAGATCGTCGATGTAAACGTCCATACATTGGTGACCTTTTTCGAGGTCCGAGTTACCACATTTTCCATGTTGGATGATGTCCGAACCTCCTTTCTTACAGTATTTCTTTTGCTGATTGGCTATTCCATAAACGAGTAGATTAGTGACCTGACGAGGAAAAGCGGCCAAACACCGTCGAGAATAATCCTTGATACATTTCTCGGTTTCTTTGGCAAGACTAGAGAATTGGAGAAGTTGATTGATTAGGTCGATATTTTCTCTCCATATCGTTTGATTGATTGATTGATTGATCAATTAGAATTGATGATTAAATCTTACCTGCAGTAATTTCTTAATCCATCTTCAGTCTCTGGAAATCCGACTGATGATCTATCACCGAACAGGAAAAGTCGCTGAGCACAAGAATCGACCTTTGCGTCTTCGGATTTCTTACACTTTGAAGAGAAACTTAATTCTATTGGAAGGAAGAAACAAGTTAATTGTTACATTGATCTTAAAGATAATCAACAGAATGGATTAGATTTTCAGAAGAAAATTGAAGATGAACAAAAATTAAACTTACCTGGGGCAAAGATTAGAACACAAGTAAAGGTTAAAATGAGATAATTCATTTTGATTTCGAAAACTATTATGATGATTAATCGATGAGATGACAATCGAATTTCCAAATTAGAAAATTAGAAAAGTTCTGATTTGTTGGTATTGTTGCTTTTTTCTTCTTATTCTTCAAATTAGAATTAATTCTCTCATCCATTGATGGAACTTATATTTATATTGAAAATCGACGGGAAGGAGGAGAGGAAGAGGAAAAGGTTGACCACAACCTCTTTTTCACTGATTATTCAGGAATAGAAAGAGAGAGTGAGAGAGAATTCAAGAAATTCATCCATCCGATCATGATAACACTTCCATTCCTTTGAATAATTCATTCAGAGGGAGGAGATAATTCTGAGAGAGAGAGAGAGCGATGTAAACATTATCATCATCATCATCAAGTTGTTGATCATTTTCCTTAATCACTTGATAGAGAAAAGGTTAGAATGTTTTTCTCCTTTCGATTCAAAGCCAAATTTAAACTAAATTAGCACGAAATTCAAGGTCTAGGTTGAGAGTACAATTAATAAATTGCTGAAACAATTTCTTTCTCACTCACTAACTCTCACTCTCTCTTCTGGTCAAGCAACTTTCTCTTTCACTGTTACTTTCTTGTTTTGCTATTTTTGTTTCTATTTTGATGATATTTCATCATCAATTGATTGATTATCGATGATTTTCAGAGAATAAATTTGCTCATCAATCCAATATAATTGATTGTAATCACGATTCAGTTCACATGTTAGCATTGTCTTTGTTTAATCACAATTTGATTCATTCAATTATGAGAAATGATTGACGTTTCAACAGAGAGAAATTTTGTTTTTTTTACTAATCAAATTTAGAATAAATCTTAAATAAAGAAATTAATCTTGAATAATCTATTATTAGATTTACAATTTATCAAAATAATCCAAAGATTAATCTTAATTCTGTACAAATAATTTATTTTAATCAAAAATAAATCGAAAATCATATGATATTCATAATTGGCGCTTTTCTAAAATGCGCTTTTTTTACTCATCGTTTTAATTTGATTCCATTTCTTTGTTTACTTATTAATTACTTAATTTTAATTGTCTTACAAAGTTTAATTTTCTCTTCATTAACTATCCAAGTTTAGAACAATTAGTTAAATCATCTAGCGATTGGAATATTTAATCGAATCTGCAAATTAATCACTGATTTTGGTGTTCCAACAATTAACCAACTTAACGTTTTCCTATTTTTGTTTTCTCGATCGGATTTAATTTGATTGTTTCATTTGTGGTTTAATTTTAGATTGTTTTTATATTTATTTTCATAGATGACCTTGTCTATTTTTGGCCTACTAATTGGCGATGATTATGGTTCCGTAATTAACTGTTTTGAAAGAAAAACAAATTTTCCGTTGGTTAAAAATGAGACAGAACTGGTTATAGAAATGGTTTCCCTTTCCCTTTCCTTTTCCTGATTAATTTTTATTGATTCTTTACAATCAAAGGCCTCAAGGTAAATATTTTTATTGTAACGGTAAAGGTTGTTATTATCTATTAATATCGACACTTTAAAAATCATACTCGTTCTCTAATTGTGTATTGTGATTACTGTTGATTGCGTGCTTAGAGTTAACTGTAAGAGAGAAGCAAAAAAAAAAAGTGTTTCTTAACCTTGACATGGATTAATTTTCATCAATATTGCTTGATGAGACTTGATTCTTGTTTTATAATTAGCATAATCAATCACAATTAACTGTTGATTGTTTCATACAATAGGATTAGAAAGAAAGTAACAAAAAAACATTCATTGGTTGAAATTTCTAATCATAATGTTGACACTAATTCATTGTTTTCTTTGTTTGAATTTAGATTTTCACCATCAATGGAAACTCAATGGGAGTTTAATAAGAATCAATTTCCAATTCAATTCTTTTAATTGTTTCAATCCGATTGGCATAATATCGATGATTTTGATCTTTATAGTGACAATTTTTTGCCATCTCTTTGATTTTTCTTTCTGGAATCATCTTGCCTTCGAGGAAAAGTAAATTCCAAGTTAGAAAATCAATTAGGATCCATTGACTTTTAAATGTAATTTCTGATTAATTTAATCCTTCAAGCATCAAACTAATTTCGCAATATTAATTAATCATTTTTTTTCTTCCAAATTATCTTCTTTTTAGATCTGATTCCTATGGTAGATAATATAAATACGCTCAGACTGAATTATCTAAATTATCAATTGGAAATTTGGTTTGGTGGAGATCGAAAGATGAGCATTGATTAACCTTCAAGCTCTTAATTGTCGATTTAATTGATTATATTCCAACTGATTTCTCAATTCTGACAACCTGTAATTAGCCAGTTAATAGTTAATTCTCAACGACGTCACTGGAAAAAAATATCAACACTTATGTAAAGGGTAAATCTATTACATAATAACTGAATAATTCAAGACAATTAGCTGTTAATTGTAAGTTAAATTGAATCAATATCAATGATGATCATATTGTTTTCATCAATCAATTTAACTTTTAAACAAATCATGCGACATTTAATTAGTAATCAATCAACTAATTGTGTCTAATGGTCAAGGATTGCAACCTAAGTTACATTTGCTAATTGTGAGGGTTAAGGATATATTATTATTAGTTAATCGTTGATTTAATTTGATTTTAGTTCTTAATCATTAACTTGTAGACCTTGAATCTTTTGATCTTAGGTTAAAGAGCTATTAATATATAAATCGTAATTACGATTAATCAAATTTAAATGTTACAATTTTTTTTCTTATAATCGATATATATTTTTATAAATCATCGAAACTTTTAATTACTTAATTTCTGTAAGCAATTAACTAAAATCAACTATAATCAAGTCTGGATTAAGGAGAGATAATCACTTGACCGGAGGCAGTGTCATTGAATCTTTGATTGTTTAATTAACTAATTTTAATTTTCTTCTTATTCTCTTTTTGTTTTCTCAACAGAATTAAATTGACCATTAACAATTAAATTAATCAAACAATGAACCTTGACATGGAATGGAATTGGAAAAGTTATTAATCGTATTGAATTTCATACGAGTTAAATTGTTATTTAACTTTTGTTGATTAACGTAACATAATCGGTAAACTTGTTCACAATTATCATTTATCAATCATGTTAACAATCAATGGATCATCAAATGCCAATGTAAAGTTAATTGTTACTTTAATAACAATTATGACGTTAATTGTTATCATTAGTTACCTTCCCAGTGTTTCTGGTTTAACTATGATTAAATGTGATTCTGTGATCAAAATAATTAACGCAATTTAATCAACAATCAGTTAAATCATCTTTTCCCTCATTCCAATGGTTCCTTAATTGTTGTAAGTAATTTTTAGATTTCCCAATCAACTGTATTTATAAATTGTTGCAACTATTTCCCAATGGTCATCATTATAATTAAGATTGATCATCATCATCATCATCATCATCATCATAATTAATTACAATTAAATAAATTGTAATATTTTAAACTTTGTGATTGCAAAATCATTAACAATTAATTGCTCTCGGCTAATTTAATACAATTTAATGAATTGTAAATATTTAAATTTCCTAATTGACATGAGCAATTTAATCGTAATGATTAACAATTTAGATGAAACAAATTTCACAGCAATCGATTTAAAAAGAATAGCAATTTAACCAATTGTGATGAATTGACAATTTGACTGACAATTTAGTGGTAATTAAATTTAATCTAATTGTTTCCAAAAATAAAGACAAATCAATTAACCAAATTATTAGTTAGACTAAATCATCAACCATGATGTTAAATGATTTACTTTGACAACGATAACATAGCAATTAGATGTGAAATAAAACCTTTAATTAAGTGTAACAATCAACAAAATGGAAGCCAAATTAACAAATATTTTCAAAAAACAATTAACAAATCGAGAGCAGTTTAATTATAATTAGATTGTTTCTCTCAATAAATGAACCAACACTTTTCATGTCAACAATTGAACATGTCAAAGGTTATCAAGTTAATTGCAAGAAAAGAGACTTAATGAAGATGGAATAATGAAACTAATTGTTGATTAAATTAATTCCCAACTCCAACTAATTGTTTTAATTGTCCTTTAAATCACAGATCCAAGAGCCTCCCCCTTGTGAGTTGAGATCATCTTGTAACTATGATTGGGATTAAATGTTTACATTTGATTCCTTACTTAGGATTACAACGTTACTCTGTTTTGATCTGTTCATTATTGTTACCAATTAATTTGTCTAAACAATCATTGGTCTCACAATTAAGTGGATTGTCAACAATTAGAGGTAAAGTGAAATCAACAACAACAACAACAATTAGTTCAAATAAAATGGATTCAATTAAAGAGGTTGATATTGATGAAAGAGGTAAATTTAAGTACATTTTGATTACGGTTAAAGATGATTCTGGAGGTGAAAAGTTAATTGTTCGTGGTTATCGAGATTGTGGTTATCATGCTGACATACTGGAACGTGTACAATCACAATTAGTTAAATTTAATTGTGATTCTCCGGGTGGTGGCAGAATTTCCCATGATCCAAATGAGAAAAAGCTTCTTGTCTATGGATATTCAATGGTAAAAAAAAATCTATAAAACAATCATATGTTTTTCCAAATTTGATTTGTTTTTTTTTTCTATTCTCTTTTCACACTTTTCTCTTATTCTTCTAATTTAGTAATTAATTGATTGTTTCTCTTCTTTTAATCATCTTTTAATCTTCACCTTGTGGAAAATAACCTTTCACCTTTTCCAATGTTGTTTCAACAATTTTGATAATCCAATGTCTCTTTGTTTATCTTTGCTTTATTTTCATAGGGTTTCGGTCGTGCTGATCATCAGAAAACTGTTGAAATCTTAAAAAAATCTTATCCTGATTATACCATCGATTGGTCAAATGAAGGTTATTAATCAAGGTGATTTATTTTTAATTCTTTGGCCTCAGGAAGTAATCAGCTAATCCATTACAATTAAGTGAAAATTAAGCCTTCCATAAGCATAACAAGTATTGAAAGTGTGTGTGTCTTTTCAAACTGTATTAAGATGACAGTTATTCAGATAATTAACTAATTGTAATTGATTGGTTATCAAATGTCACATGGTTATGATCACTTGTCAACAATTTAAATTGCTGCACAATCTAATAAAACTCATTTGACATGGGAACCAATTTGTTAACCTTTATTTTCACATCTCTTTAAGTTTTTCTCGTCATTTTTTTTTTGCTTAATTGTTTCACCTTTTTCTTTATTGTGATTTATAGTGATTCTGGATTTGATTTAATTGTGTCCATCATGGTGACAATTTCTAAAGAGCAATTTGACAATTACCTACGACAATTTGTTTCCATTTCCAAAGAGACATCAGAACCATGGGACATAATTGAAGCTCCAAATCCTAATAGTGATTATATTTATGGTTCAAGAGTAATCACCAAAATAATTGATTCTAGAAATGGTTCAGCTGATTGTGAAAATGATTTAGATGAGAAAGATTACATTTTAAATGATTATGATGACCAATCAACAATTTCTCCACCAATTAACCAACAGATTGTTAGATTTCAATATCATGTCATTTATAGTGAAAGTTTTTCTGTTCCCGTTTTATATTTTAACGCTTCTTATGCCAATGGATCAACAATTGGATTAGAAGAGATTTGGAAATTGATTCCTTCAGTTTATATTAATGATTCTTTTAAATCAAAAGAGGAACAATTAGAAGAATCTCTTTCAATAATCTCGCCCACTGAACATCCATATCTTGGAACTCCAGTTTACTTTATTCATCCTTGTCAAGTGTCCACTTTACTAATTAACGTTTTCCATGGTAAATCCTCGAGAGATGACAATCAATTTGATATTTTCCTTAAAACTCACAATATTTTAATCACTTGGTTATCGAGTGTTGGTCCACTGATTGGCTTGAAACTGGATCCTTATTATGCAGTCAAATTGGAGGAGATTATTAAAAGTCAAAGCGATTGATTAACAATCACGTTGATCTTTTTCTGGGTTAATCTTTATCATTGATACAAATTAAATATTTATTCACATGATTAAGTAAAATGTCTTATTATTTTACTTTTACAATGCACAGACTATTTGTTTCTGTTTTTTTTTATATTTACATGAGGATGATGATAGAGAAATGGAGAGATGGAGAGAAAAAATGATAAAAAATAATTGAGAGCTTTAAACTCTTAAAATTTCTAGAAAATTTTTATAGCAAATTGCGATCCAATCAGGTTGAGTTGATGCCCATTGAATTTGATTAATTTCTCCTTCAGCATTGTAAGCTAATAATGGATCTTCAATTGCTCGTGGCATCTGAGAGATGTCCCAAATTAATGCTTGTCGATCGTCCCCTAGTATTAATAGATAAAAGATAAAAGATAATTATTAGGGAATTTAGGTAAGGTTGATAATCTATGGAAAGGTGATTAAAATGGTTAGATGAATTTACCTGCAGTGCATATGTGACATGATGAATGAGGTGCCCAGGCTATTCCGTTGACACAAGCTCGATGATTGTTAAGTCGGGCAACGGGAGTACAAGCAACTCTTACATCTAAAATGATTACTTCTGATGCATCCATGGCGAATGTTGCTAAATAGTTTGGATCTTGCTTATTCCAAGCTAAACGTAGAAGAGGCTGATGACTGGGATCTTCATAAATGATTGTGGAATGTTCCAAGTGTCTGAGATCAAACATTCTAACGGATCCATCAGCTCCTACCGAGGCGAACATGTCTCTACCTCCTCCAGCTCTACTAAATGCTATGTCGTAAACTTCCTTATCGTGAGCAATTAATTGAGTTTTTACATGACCGGAGACAAGATTAACCCTTCCCAAGACTTGACCGGTTTCCAGACCCCAAATGGTACAAGTTGTGTCAATAGATGATGTTCCAATTAGATTCTGGTCAACTTCGTTCCAATCAAATGAAGTAAGGGGAGCACAAAAGTCGGAGTTTTTATTCTGAGAAACAAAAAAACAAAGTAAATTAATAAATCGAAACAAATATTTAAGGATGAAGTACATATTAAAGATTGTATCTGATCTTCAAGTGTTTTTTGATTTGTTTGTTAGAAGATGATAAATTATTTAGACTTACATTATTTAACAAACATTCTAGACGAGTCTCACCGGAATCATTAATTCTCCAAACACGAAGATAATCTCCTGATGTTGCTAATAAATCGGGATAAATTCCCTTAGCATCAGGAATCCACATAATTTTGGTTGTCGGATATGGATGGTCAAAGGTTGATTTAGGATAAAAATCTGATGATGCCTCATCTAGAGCAACAATTTGAACTCTATTGTTATATTCTTCAATAAAAGATCCAATTGCTAATCGAAAACGTTTATCAGGTCTAACTGACCAATTCATTGAATAAACAGTCCATGGAGCAACATATTTGTAAATTTCTTTCCTATTCGATGATACGTTAGGTCCAACATTATTAATTCCACCACTGTTTGTACCAGGTAAGCCCGAATGTAGAGCCATCATTTGGAAAAGAAGAAACAAATCGAAACAATGACAATCAGTCAAGTTTTAAAACGACAGAGATAAAGAGAGAGAAAATCACCAAGACAATTGCATAAAGAAAAATTTAATTGGCAGAACAAAGAAAAAAAAAGAAAACCAAAGAAAAGAGAAAAAAAAATTCTAGAGTTACTCTGTTCTTCTATCAAGTCTTGAAGAAACTTCACTTATTTGAATAGATTATCATTCGTTCACATTGTTGATTAAACTTAATTTCCATGAATGGTATAATTTAATTACAATTAGATAAGATTAACGGACGAGTAAAAGTTAATTGTTATCAAATTTAATGAATTGATTAACATCGAGTCACAAATAGACTTGAATTGGAATCAATCAAAATCTAATCTCGGATCCGATATTTTCTCTGAAATTCGACCATCAGATCCACCTGGTGGGCTACATTTCTACTAAATCGGTGTTTACATTTTTTCAGTTCTTTGTAAATAATTGTTACTATTTGGATGATTACAACTGAATTAAATTTAATTTGTTTTCACTTTTTTTCTGTTTATAATTTAGCGAATTACTTGTTTGAATTGAATAACCATGTCGGCAAATACGGTTGTCGATCCACCTAAAAAGCGTTTTTATCGACAAAGAGCTCATACTAATCCGATTGCTGATCATTGTTTTGATTATCCTGTTAAACCAGATGAAATGGATTGGACTAAATTGTATCCTGATTATGATTCAAATGGTGATAAAAAAGTTGAACTTCTTGATGTTGGCTGTGGATATGGAGGTTTACTGGTTACATTGGCTTCGGTTTTCCCGGATAAATTATCACTTGGAATGGAGATCCGAGTAAAAGTTTGTGATTATGTTCAAGACCGAATCAAATCATTACGAAGTGAATTTCCTGATGAATATAATAGAATTGCTTGTATTCGTAGTAATGCAATGAAATATTTACCAAATTACTTCTCAAAAGGACAATTAAGTAAAATATTCTTCCTATTTCCTGATCCTCATTTTAAAAAGACTAAACATAAATGGAGGATAATTAGTAAATCATTGTTAGCTGATTATGCTTTTCTTTTACGTGTTGGTGGAATTGCTTATTTTGCCACTGATGTTGAACAATTATACACATGGATGGATAATCATTTCAAGGAACATCCACTTTTCACCCAATTAACTGCCGATGAAATTTCAAGTGATCCAATTTTCGCCAAATTATTTGATTGTTCCGAAGAAGGTAAAAAGGTTACTCGTGCTGGTGGAAAAAAATTTGTCGCAGCCTTTAAACGAATCGAAGATCCATTTTTAGGCTGAAAAAAAAAATTAATCATCAACAATAATTCCAATCCAACACTAACAATCAACTTAATCATAATTTCATAAAATCAAATGAACAAAACAAAACAAAACAAAAACAAATCAAAAGTTCAACTCACCAAAACCAACACCATCAATAAAACTCCTCTAAACTCATGACAATTATCAATTAGCAATTGAAATTTTCTCAAATAAAATTAAAAAAAATTTGTTTATTACAAAAGGAAACAAATTTAATTACAATTAATAATTTCCCTCAAAAAAAATGAAAAATTTTCTCTCTATTCTCACAGAAAGATTAGTACGAATAGACTTTGGGCTATTCTCACGAAAAAAGTGGTTTAGGCTTTTGGTGTGAATTCATTTTCTCATGTGAATAATTTTTGTTTTGTTTTCTAATTAATTAACCGATCATTTATTAAAAGTATTTAAATTAAATAATTGGATATTTTTTATTCACCACCGTCTCAAGCTGTTTATTTTTCCGTTGTGTGTGTGTGTATACTAAATGTATACCCTTGTCAAAGAGATTCACAGTTCAACTACGGTTGAACATTGTATATATTGTCATTTCTTTAATTTGAGTGAGAAAAATTTAGTTATCGCTTCTTTTAACCAATTAAAGGTTTACCGGCTTATTGGTGAGGATACAAATGAAAATGGATCTACCTTAGACACTAATCAATCAACAAACATTAATGGAAATGGTTTACCTACAACATCATCAACATCAATTAGTACAACTTTAAACGCTTCCAATGAGCCAACTATAACCGGCATTGAAAGCGGTGATAAAACCAATAATAGTAACATTAATGGTGGTGATAATTTAAATAATAAAGTTAAATTAGAATGTTTGAAAACCATTCCATTGTATAGTGAAGTATGTTGTCTGAAAAGTATTAAATTAATTGGTTCTAAACGTGATTCACTTTTGATAGCGTTTGCAGGTAAGTTTTGTTTTCTCTGAAAATCTTTTTTTCCATTTCCATGCTTTTCTTTTTGTTTATCTTAATTGTTTCTTTGTTCATTCTCAATTCGCAATTCGCATCCTTTTCAATTCTACATTTTATCTTCTATTGACTCTTATAATCTGATAAACTCTCTCTTTCTCTCTCTCTTTCTATTTACTGTTTGATTTAGATGCTAAATTGGCTTTGGTTGAATATGATCCAGCAGATCATGATCTTAAGACTCTTTCATTACATTATTTCGAAGATGAAGACATTAAAGGAGGTAGAACTCAATATCCACGAGCTCCTGTTATTCGTGTTGATCCTGAGGGAAGATGTGCTGCTATGTTAATCTATGGGCGAACAATAGTTATCATACCATTTAGAAAAGATTTAGGTTCCATTGAAGAAACTGAGACAACTACTGTTCCTGGAATTGGTAAGGAAAATAGTAGTAATAATATTCCTGGTCCTGGAACATCATCTTCTCAACAATCTCAAGTTACACCAAATAAATCATTTGGTTTAGGAAAAAGTAGAACCTCTTCAAGTTCATTAGATGGTGGTGATAATACTAATCAAGCCAAATATCCTGTGATGGCTTCTTATAAATTAAATCTTAATGATAAACAATATGCAGAGGAAAAGATTCACAATATAACAGATTTTCAATTTCTAAATGGTTATTATGAGCCAACATTATTCATTCTTCATGAACCTGTTCGTACTTGGGCTGGTCGAGTTGCAGTTCGTCGTGATACCTGTTCAATGGTCACCCTATCATTAAATGTCCACCAAAGAGTTCACCCAGTAATATGGTCAACTAGTCATTTGCCTTTTGATTGTTTTGCTGCCCTACCGGTACCCAAACCTGTGGGTGGTGTAATTATTTTTGCTGTTAATTCATTAATATATCTTAATCAAAGTGTACCCCCTTATGCTGTTTCTCTTAATAGTTTTGCTGATTCAACAACCGCTTTCACTAAGACAGTACAAAAGGGTGTTAAATTATCCCTTGATTGTTCAAAAGCAACATTTGTTAGCAATGATAAGCTTGTATTAAGTTTGAAAGGCGGTGAACTTTATGTGGTCACTTTATTTAGTGACGGGATGAGGTCCATTCGAGCATTTCATTTTGATAAATCAGCTTCAAGTGTTATATCAAGTTGTATGACTATTTGTGAGGAGGGTTACCTTTTTTTAGGTTCTCGATTAGGAAATTCCTTGCTTCTCAAATATACTGAGAAAATTGTCGAAAGTCGACCTAAGACGGCAAAAAATATTCCCAATTCGTCGGCCAATGAAGATGATCCTATGATGTGTGCTAGTTCACCGGTACCTGAGGTTTTAGGAGAAGAGGTTGACCCAGCAAATGAACCGACTCTTTCACAGCCGATAAATAATAATAATAATAATAGTTCAACAACAACAAATATCAATGAATCAAATGAAGCTGATTTTCTGATGGATTTTATGGATGAAGAAGATGACAAATCAATTGTCACCTCAACCTGTGAACCTGCCAATCAATTGACCCAAGAATCTGATAATATGGACTCGGAAGATGTTAAACCGTCCAAGGAATTGCTGGATCAATCATCATCATCATCATCACCTTTGGAAGATAATATTGAGATGGTGAAAGTGAAAGAGGAAAAAATTGATTCAGAATTAACAGCAACCAATGTTAATATTATTAATGATTCTGTTTCTGTTTCTGTTTCTAATCCTGAAATTAAAGATGAATCAACTTGTAATGAAGATCATCCTACCAATGGTATTCCGGATTTTGATGATCCATCTAATGATCAGTCAAATGATTCAAATGATTCTCCCAACTCTCCTGATAGTCATAGACGTAGTCCCGTTAATCAATTGCACAACGAAAGTACGGTAGACTCATTGTTCAATAACAATTTGGATAATAGTAATTTGGACAATAATACAATGGATAATAGTAATCTTTATGGTCCATCAGAAAGTCAATCAAATTATGTTAATGAAAATGATCATCAAATGACAGATTTAGATGAATCTGAACATCCGATAAATGATTTTGATGAAACGGTAAACGACAAACCAGATGACATTGGCGATTGGGCTGCTGGAGATGTCGCCCTGATGAAAGATCCAGATGAACTTGAGGTCTATGGTCCTGAAGATGATGACGAAGAACAACTGACCACAAGTTTCTCCTTCGAACTGTGTGACTCTCTAATCAACATTGGACCATGTGGCCGAACTTGTATGGGTGAACCAGCCTTTCTACCTGAAGAATTTTCTCAAAATTCAGCCGATCCACAAGTGGAACTTGTTACCACTTCAGGTTATGGTAAAAACGGTGCTCTTTGTGTCCTTCAACGAACAATTCGACCTCAACTAGTGACAACATTTGGTTTACCAAAATGTATCGATATGTGGACAGTTCACAGTCCATCATTAGGTGGAACAGTTAATGATCTCTATAACGGATACCAAGATGGCGATGAAAAAACTTCATCCAATTTTCATTCCTTCCTAATTCTTACCCGACCTGATACAACTATGATACTTAAAACGGGCGCTGACATCAATGAATTAGACCATAGTGATGTTTCAAGTCAAACTCCGACCATTTTTGCCGGTAATCTTGCCAATGGTAAATACATCCTACAAGTTTCACCGATGGCAGTTCGTCTTCTTGAAGGAACCCGACAAATTCAACATTTACCATTAAATCTTGGCTCACCAATTGTTTTCTGTTCACTGGTTGACCCTTATGCCATCATTTTGACCCAACACGGAGCTATGGCACTTCTAACTCTACGAATTGATCCCGAAACATCAAATTGTCGGCTTGCAGCTTCACTTGTTTCTCTTACACCGAACAAGGCCAAAGTTTCCACCCTGTGTATCTACAAAGATGTTAGTGGCAAATTTACTACTCACTCAAGTGATACAAGTACCAACGAAAATCAATCTCATGATAATTCATCGAAATCAGCTGATGGTAAAGAAAATGGTTTTGGATCATCAGAATCTTCACAAGTTCCTTTAATTGCCTCAACCATTGATGATGAAGATGAACTTTTGTATGGAACTTCGAGCATTGAAATGATTACAAATCTTCCCGATGTTGCACCAAGTGGAACGAATTCCGTTACAAATGAACCTTCGATTTCAAGTCAACAAAATACTGAACAACTAATTTCTCCTAAAGTGATTCCCAAACAGCCCGAATACGAACCAACTTATTGGTTATTCACAATTCGTGAGAACGGTGTTCTTGAGATATTTCGTATACCTGATGCCACTTCTGTTTTCTATGTGAAAACCTTTCCAATGGGATGTAAAATTTTATCGGACATGATTCCAGGCGATGAGGTGAATCGATCAGATTCTGGTCTGTTACCCGTTGCTCGAGAAATCTTGGTCACCGGAATGGGTGTTTCTTGTTCTCGTCCCATTATGTTTGCCCGTTTTGATTATGAAATTTTTATCTATGAAATGTTTCCCTATCACGATGCTCAAACTCCAGGTCATCTCCAGATTCGCTGGAGGCGGAAAGAAAGAACGTTAATTGTCCGTGAACCTCGTCTAATTCGAACAACGGTAACACCGCCAGTTAACACTCGTGGTAATGTTAACCAATCATCTTCCTCTCAAAGTACAACCGCTCAAAATTCAAATGATTCGCCATCATCTCCAAACATTTTGAACTTTGAGAAAATGCACCAAAAATGGTTCCGTCCTTTTAACGATGTTTCCGGTTATTCGGGAGTCTTTATTTGTGGACCTTTTCCTCATTGGTGTTTTATGACCTCTCGAGGTGAACTTCGTATCCATGAAATGAACATCGATGGTCCAGTCATCTCTTTTGCACCCTTCCATAATGTCAATTGTCCCAAAGGTTTTCTCTATATAAATGCCAAAAGTGAACTTCGAATCGCCGTTCTACCAACTCATGTTACCTATGATGCACCTTGGCCTGTTCGAAAGGTTCCTCTTCGATGTACAATCGATTTTGTCAACTATCATGTAGACTCTAAATGTTATTGTGTTACCACCTCGACCCAGGAACCTTATAATCGGGTTGTTCGCGTTGGCGGAGAGGAAAAAGATTACGATGTTCTTGAACGCGATTCGAGGTACATTTGGCCAACTATGAATCGATTTCATATTCAATTGTTTTCACCTGTTTCATGGGAAATGATTCCTGGAACTAAAATAACTCTCGATGAATGGGAACACGTTACATGTATGAAAAATGTAATGCTCAGTTCAGAAGGAACGGAAAGTGGCCTTAAGGGTTATATCGCCGCTGGTACAAACTTTTGCTACGGTGAAGATGTTACCAATCGTGGGCAAATATGGATTCTTGATATAATCGATGTTGTCCCCGAATTGGGTCAACCCTTGACTCGAAGTAAAATCAAGGTTGTTTATTGTAAAGAGCAGAAAGGTCCCGTCACCGCGATCTGTCAAATTCGTGGTTTACTTTTAAGTGCCGTGGGACAGAAAATTTATATCTGGCAATTAAAGGAATCTCAGCTTGTTGGTGTTGCCTTTATCGACACTCAGATTTACATCCATCAAGCAGTTTCCATGAAAAATTTAATCCTAATCGCCGATGTGTACAAATCAATTTCACTTCTTCGCTACCAAGAGGATACCCGAACCTTGGCCTTGGCCAGTCGTGATTGGAGAGCATTTGAAGTTCACTCCTGTGAATTTATTGTTGACAATAATCAGCTGTGTTTCATGGTCGCCGATGGGGATAAAAATCTGCTCGTGTACAGTTACTCACCCGAATCACGGGAAAGTGTCGGTGGAACTCGTTTATTGCGTCGAGGTGATTATCACCTTGGCTCCCATGTAAATTGTTTTTTCCGTATTCGTTGTAAATATCCATCAATCGTCACATCTTATTTCACTTTTGCATCATCTCTTTCACCCCAACAATCATCATCATCATCTTCACATTACAAAAATACCTCTTCCATTGCCTCAACCACTTCAACCTCAATCACAACAACAAACAACAAAAACACCGAACCAGTTATTGATTTAATCGAAGCCAAGAAAACAACTGAACGTCGTCATGCCACCATTTTCCCGACACTCGATGGAACAATTAACTTTATGTTACCGGTATCTGAGAAAATATATCGTCGCCTATTTATGCTTCAAAACACCATGAACGCTCATGTCCAACACACCGCTGGGGTCAATCCAAAAGGTGTTCATATGGTCAAATTTTACAAGAAATGTTTAGCTAATCCTTGTAAGAATGTATTAGATGGCGATCTCCTTTATCGTTTCCTTAACCTTTCAACTATCGAAAAGGCGGAACTTTGTAGAAAGATTAGTTCAACACCCGATCAGGTAAATTTCAATAATATCTCTTGACAATCTATTCGATTTGTTGATAATCTATTTTAACTCTTGTATTTCTTTTTTGCTCTTACCCTTACAGATAATTGATGATCTATCGGAAATCGATCTGATAACCGGACATTTTTAAGATTGGAAGATCCTATCACCAGTTTATCAGCAATCAACTAAATTACAGCTCATTTACTTCGTGTAAAAACTGATTACCTTTGTAAAAATTAACTTTTTATTCCAATTTGATGCTATCGATGTGGCTTGATTTCTCTCTCTCTCTCTTTGTCATTTTAATTAACAATTAGTATGTTCAATATATTTAGGAAATTATCATCTTCACCTTAAACATGTTTAAAAGCTGATTTGTTTGTCACTCCTTAACTTTTCCTTCCCTTAATTATTTTCTTGTCACAAAAATGATAACAATTAAGTAAACAATCATGAAACAATTAACAAAAATGAATTAGTGATCCATAAATTATCAATGAAACCGGAAAAACAAATAATTGTTAGAAAAACAGAAAAAAAATTGAGATCAAACCTATTTAACTTTCTAAATGATGAACTAAATTAAGTATTGAATATAAACCAACAGAAACTTTAATTGTATTCGAGATTTAATTTTGATTTTTATTTTTTCTTTCAACAAAAAGTAAACAATCTAAATTCCCATTTAAAATAAACAATCAAACGAAAACAGAATCCCAATTGAAAACGTGATACTTTCCTCCCAATGTAATAATAAGTTAAACGTTCGTTTAATTTTGTCAACAATCAAACGAAACAATTTAAATTGTTGTACTACAACTATTGGTCAAAGAGTAAAGGAAAACTTTGATTGGATAAAAGATCCAAAGGTGATTATCTTCAATATCTTCACAAGTGAACACCCAACTCTCTTGATTTAGTCTTTCCTTTAATTGTGATAGTTAAACATTAACTTTTTATACGTTGACTTTTTCCTTAATTCACCAACAATCAACTAATTAGAAACATGTCTTGTTTCACTACACCTGAAAGAATCACAATCGTTAGACTTTACTACCAAAATCCAAACAATTATGAAGAAATTGCTAATCAATGGGCTTGTTACCATAGGAAAAAAGCTAAACCAGGAAAGGCAGTAATCGACAGGTAAGTGATTAACTATCAACAATTAAAGAATCAAGAGTGTCTCTTATAATCAAATTAACCTTTTCTACTTTCAAAATTTTTTCCCTTCGATTCTCAATCAATTCTTGATTGATTGTTTTCTTCCTCTAGTATTGTTGCTAATTTTGAGAAAACTGGAACAGTTAAATTTGATTTCAATGCTTCTCTTAATCCACTTACCGGGGAAATGATTCCAATCAAAGATACTAATCCATCACCTTATATGGTACAAACACTTCAGCACTTAAGTAAACCCGATCCTCATGTTAGACTTGCAATGGCAAAGTATTTATTGGAAAGCGAGGAGACCAACACTCTTAAACTTGACCACATTTGGTTCACTGGACATGCCACTTTCTATTTACATGGTTACGGGTGTCGGGATGTTTACCGTTTCTGGGGAAGCACCAGACCTGAGATTGCAACGGTTACCCCGTTGGATGATCTTTCCATTTCCGTTTGGACCGCGATTTGTGGTAAAACGATTCTCGGTCCATATTTTGTGGCCACAAAATTCACCCCTGATGATTATCACGATTTCCTTGCGCACCAGATTCTCCATGATATTCGTTCTCGAGACATGGACACCATGGAATACTGTTGGATGCAAGATGTTCCCGATGACCTGAAGACGGAAAAAATTTTCTACCTAATTTGTGCTCGATTTGGTGATCAAATGCTCGCCGATAGATCAAATCAAATCTGTAACTACGGAATCGATTGGCCAAGCTATTCACCCGATCTGAACCCGATTGACTTTTTCTTGTGGGGATACGTTAAGGATAAACTCGATGAGTACCGACCTACGACACAGCAAAGCTTGGAGCAATCAATCGGAAAGGCATTTAGAGATCTTCGTGAGAATCCCGACCTACTGATTAAAAATCTCGATGTTCTCAAAAAGCGACTCGATCTTGTTAAGAAATCGGCTGGATGGTTTTTCGATAAGACATTTTACTAAATTGTTTCTTCGTCAGTTTAAATTGTCATCGTCAATTCTAGTCAGCTAATTGTTTGATAATTGGAACGACAATTAGTTAGTGTCACTCTTTGTTTCCCTCAAATTTAATTATTACATGACAATTCAATTCATTTAAAATCAAAATCTTGTACTAATCAAAAAGGGAAACAAAACCCAATTCAAGTTGATCTATTTTTCTAATTAATCTTTTAAATCTTATCAATCCAATTGTATTATCAAATGACATTGTGATTTACCAGTTAATTACTTTGTTAACATGATAATCAATTGATTTTTATCTTCTATTGTTGTTTTATTATTCCCTTATTGAAGGTTATTAACAACCAATGGATAACCAATAAAATGATTATCTAATCAGTTATACAACTTTTCAAATGATCAACTATAATTAACGGTCAATTGTTATTGAGAATGAAAAAACAAATCAACTGGTAGTAGACAATTGTAATTGTGAGTATATTGTATCTTTATAATCAATAATATTAATCAGATCGAAATGATTAAATCCAAGGTTCATAATCGGGGCACGAACTGTAATCCTGAGCAATTAACTCTGGTTCAGCGAAACCAAAGTCGACAATTTTTCTCTTCAATTGTCCAAGTAAATCATCGTCCATTGATTTGGTTCGAGATCGAATAACAATCCTCTCTAATTGAATTAGATGACAGAATTTGGAAAACAAAAAATTACCAACTAAATTAACTAAATCAACTGTTCCTTTTTACCTTCGTGAGTTTTTTCATCGTCACTGGCTAAACATCCAACCTCAACAGCGTAATTATCATAATCAGTGTCCAAAATGTAAACTGGATTATTGTCTAGAGACCAAATGATTGATTAGGATAAATTTTTCCAACGAAACAATTAACTTACATGCATCGGCGAAAAGTTTTGCATCAACATCGTAATCATATTGGTAAAGTCCAAATGAACAAAATACTTTGTATGGACCATCCAACGAATAGTAATTAACATTGAATACATGTTTGTCCTCCATGTAACTGCGATACAGATTCAATGTACAGTTCAAAACTTTTGGACAATTGCGTTGATTTGGGTCCACGTAAATATCGTACCATTTACCTAGGTACTGATGGAGAAAGTGTTGATTGTCAATTGTTGATTGTTATTGTTGGTAAGAAATGAATCAATATGATTTACTTACTCGTTCGGTGTCAATTGTTTCAATATCTTTGATTTTTATTGGACAAGGTCCATTTACTTTTTTTGATTGTCCAGTTGAAATTAGAACTGTGATTAACATGAACAGGTAGAGATACATGATTTCTGTTTCAACAGTTTGAGACAATTAAATGAAGATAATGAGAAATCAACTGAATCAACTTTTTACTGTTGTGATCGCTTTTAAATAACAAGAGTTAATTGTCAATCAGCCTTACAGTTGGATTGAACAATTGTATCACAGATCTGACAAGATTTTATATAATCAATAGAACCTCAAATACACCTTAACTGTACTTACAATTAATCAAGATAATCAAGTTAATCACAATCAATTTATTTCATTTTTAGAGATTTAATTTCTTCCAATTTTAACAATTAAGGTTTAAACATCTCGTTAATTGTCTAGCAAATCAAATTTGCTTAAAATTACCAAAGTCATTTAAATTGTTGACGAAAAAAATTGATCTTAATCACTAATTAAGAGTCAATTATAATAACAATTAGTGTGGGAAAATTAGCTAAATGATGAACTTGAAGAGGTTGTTTTCTAATTAATTACTGATCGAATTTCTAAATTGATTATTGTGAAGATTAAACTGACGAGAGATTTTTTTTAACCAGATTAACAGATGATTAAATGAAAAGAATTAAATTATTCTAGTTTAATGAAAACAAATCGAAAGAATTTTTTTTATATTCTAAATTAATAGTTGGTCCCTTTTCTTTCTGTTTTTGAAAGTTTCCAATTGAAACTTTTCTCAGAGAATTTTGAAAAATTATCAAGTTGTTTTCTCTTACAAAAAGTATTTATTCAGAATGATCGACCCTTTAATTGGTGTATTTTCTGTGTCATTTGTTGGAATTAAGAAAATTAATAAAGAAAAGGTTAATGTGTCTACAATTCCTGACGATGTTGAGGTTTACTTGATTTCAATTTTTTTTCAGACAAAAAGGTTCCCCTCTAGACTGGAATTCGGATTTAAAACTGATCACTGAGCTTTTTGACATTCATGTTGGAATTAAATGGAACATCCCGACGCTCAAGATCCACGGCAACGCAGTTGAAAACGCTAATTCAAAAGCAAAAGAAAACACGGTTATGGGCCAAATGGAGAATCGACTCAAAAAGATTAACTGATTGGTTATATTGATCTCTTTTTCTTCATCATGTAACAATTGAAACACTCACCAAGGTTACCCTGTTCTTAATATAAGCCACTAAATCATCACAATGTTTCCGTTAAATTACACAATCTAAAAAAAAGTGATTCTCTCACAACTGTTGGTAAATTTATTTTTCGGGTTGAAAGAGAATAAAAAAAAAGAATTTTTCTTTTCTAAATTAGTAATCGGTCCCTTTCTATTTTCTCTATTTTCGTGTAGGTCAAAATTGGTTGACCAATGGTTTTACTTTGATCATTTGAATGATTCCCTCGTTTTTTGTTTGTGTTTTGATTATAAAAATTTTGATTCTCACGTTTGATTGAATTAATCAATTTAGTTAATTGTCACTTGTTTTCATACTGTGCGTGTAAACGTTGAAAGCTCCTCCTTTTTAATTTAAAAAGAATCACAATCTGAGCCTTAACAATTTGCCTACACAAACAGATAGAAACACTCACACCTTGTTTTTCCCCTTTGGCTTAAAATGTGTTCACTTCGCAATCAATTTAATTCCATTGGAATCATTTGGTTTACTTATCGTTTCTATTTGATTAACTTTTAGTGACAATTTGTGTGCTCCATGGTGATGGTGGTTTAATTAATCTTCAATTTATATAAACATCTATTTGGTACTATAGAAATCATCTTAAGGTTTTTTTTTTCTCTTGGAAAAAAAAGAGAGGGGGGATGTGAAAGAAAACGAAAACAACATAAGAAGACAACATTGGAAACTCATTAACTAATTATCTGGTTTATTCTATTTCAATTTCAACTTATATTCATCATCATCATCTTCATCATCATATACTTATCATAATCATTATTCATCATCTAAAGTCATTCTTTAATCATGTGTTACCTTTAAAAATTGATTCTTTTTTTGCTTCTTATCTTTAACCCTTATGATTTAAAATATTATATTTATATAAATATATAAATTGTTTTTCTATATAAAATTAAGCATTATGGGTAATTGGAGTTCCTGTTGTCTTCCTGGTAATAAAAATTTGGACGATGGTGATGGTGAACGTACTCGTATTCTAAATGATCCAACTGGTGATGGTCGATTTGTTGGTGAAGAGACTTGTTACACTGGAGATGGTGTTGCCATTAATTCAAAACAATCAACCGATTATGGGACAATCAATAATGGTGGAAGTAAAAATAACGAGCAAAGTAATGCCTGGCATCGAATATTGAATAAAATGTTGGCCAATGTGATTGATGTTTCAGCTGATGTTCCACCAGTTGAACAAAATGAATACACTGAAAGGACTCGCCTCTATCAGAATAAAATTAACCAACTACGACAACCACTTTACCTTAAATATCGTCTATCCAATAATAAATTAACAATTCTAAATGGATCAGGATCTGGTTCTAAACGATTAATCGACAATTCATCTGATTTAAGAGACTTTCCAACACCATTTAAGACTATCTCTGAAGAGGATCTTACATTAACCAACCTGATCTCTGATAAAACATTAATTGCTGTTAAGAAAGGTTATGCTGTTAATATTGAGGAACAACTTGTGGTACAATTTAATCCATAATCAAAAATCTTCCTCTTTCCCTCTAATCAAATGGAAAACAATTTAATTTTGTAACCATTTTCCTCCTTATATTTGGTTAAAACAATGTTTTCTAATCTACATTAATGGACTAAAGCCAATGTTGTTCAATCATCATCATCATCATAATCATCATAATCATAATCATCACCATCGTCATCATCTTCCATCATGAAGAGATATACCATTTCTACCTTATATTTTTTCTCTCTCACTCTCTATCATCATAATACATTTATTTTGTTCTCGATTAAGAAATCAACAGATTAATCATTTACACTAAAAAATGACAACGATTTTGCATTTATCATGTTGTTAAAAACTCCAGATACCTGATACTTAATGACAGTCGTATTGCAAATAACCTTTTTAATTGTTCCTCTAGATTTTTTTATCTATTTAGTGAGACAATTAACTGAGAAAATGTTATATTAATATAAACATAAACCTTCAATAATCTTCTGTATCATTAACATTTCAGGTTATTAACTATTGTAATTACTTTTTCTTTATCATATTGAAGGAAAACAATTAATCGTTGTAATATAGTTTAATAATTAAAAGAAAACAATCCACAAAACCAGATTCATCTGGAAGCTCATTAATTGATCATTTGTGTGTTTTAATTGATTATCAAGTTAATTGTAACATTTAGATTAGTTTAATTTTGTTATTTTTCAATTTTCAATGTTTGTCAAGGTAAAATTGATCAAGAGTCGTGAATAAATCTGTCATTTACGTGTTATATGTATGTAAATTTTTACAGGAAATGATTATAATTAGATAACTACAATTTAAATTAATGTGGATCAGAAAAAAAAGAAACAAAATGATTAGTTTTAAACTTTTTCTTTTGATTCTTTGCTAAGAAAGGTTGATCTCCATCGCCACCATGTTACTTTCATACGATCCCAAGCATTACCAACAGAATCAAGTGCTGGTCTAACATCGAGAACGGCAAAAGCGGGATTAATCTTTAATTGTTCGGGAACAATTGGACCACCATCATAATAGTCGATAATGTAACGAACATCTTTACCACACCGATCAACAACCCAATCATGACGATCAAAAGGTAACTCATATCCCATCCAAGATCTTATTCTGGCTCTTGGTGTATAATCAGTTGCTCGACCAGAAAATCGTTTCAATTTCGGACCAGTCGGACATTCACCAGAATGGAAAGCATTTTCCCACTTCAAAATCTCCTGCCAAGCAGCTTCATTATTAGCATTGTGGATCCTAATTATGTGACTCATATCATTTTTTTGAAGTGGTTCTAATAAAAGATAAAAGTGAACAAAAATATTTGAGGTAAAGATTAATTGATGAAGAAAAAAACAACCAAATGATGTAATTTGAGAGATTGTTCAGTTGAATATAATTTACCTTTCTCATGTTCACTTTGCCATTTCCAACCTTTTCGTATCATTGCATTCCAGAACATTTGCTCCGATGGATAGACCCACTTCTCATCCGCTCCAGCTTTGGGTATAGTTGAAACCTCTCGTTCAACCGATAACGGAAATGGTTGTCCTGGTGAAGGTTCTTGACTAGCATTCATAGGCATCATATTATCAGGATTCATCTTCTCCCCACCACCAGTACCAACACCACCACCTCCTACATTATCCTGAGACATTGGACATCCACTTGGAATCGCTAGTCCATTACCATGATTAACTGGACATCCACCACCACCAGTTGACCTCATGGCCGATGGAGGTTGACCAAGTTTCACCTCAACATTACCAAGAGGACCATCAACATTAACCGGTGCTCCCATCATAAAATAGCAAAGGTAACAACTATTTCCACGTGTGAATGTCAAACAGAGAAAAGAACGAAAAAAAACCAAATTTAATTCTTTAATTAAAACGAATCAAATTAATGAAATACCAAACACAAGCAGAGAGAAGAAGAAGAAAAAAACACAAACACAAGGTTGAATTCGGAGCAGCATTTAGACGGACACTTTAAAAGTCACACTTATCTTTCAATGAGAAATTCGATTCTCTTCAATTCAAATTAACCGCGAGATTTACACTTCCACCAACTAGCGACATCTATTTGCATCACATGACAAAAGCTAAACAGCTTAGTTGGAAGTTTTTTAATTTCTCTTCATTTGTCTCTCTCAGTGATTTTTTTGTACATTTAACCTGCCATACAACTGGACAATTAAACAATCGGTGTTAAACAATTAACTTCAGATGTTTTTCTGGGATTGGATAACCGGTGTCCTCGGTTTTTTAGGTAATAATCATTTAACCTTTTCGTTTTCCAAATGTTTTCCTTATTATTACAAATTATCATTGAATCGAAATTGTTTCTCTTTCACTTGAAACCCTCAGAGCTTTTCCAATATTCTATTAATCCACCTTCAGAATCACAATTTTACTATTTTTGTTCAATCTTCTTCCCCTTTCTCTATCTCTCACCTCTTTCCCTCTCTAATAGAATCATATTTATTTATTCTAAGCCTTTCTAACTCACCAATTTTCCTCTTCATCCTATCTCTCTTATCTCTCTCTCTCTCTCTCTCTCTTTCTTTCTCTCTCATCTCTCTACCTCTCTCATAATTTTTCCTCTTTCCCCATTTGTCTGTCTCTCTCTCTCTTTTTTTTGTTCTTCTCTTTCTTTATTCTCTGTCTATCTGTCCTTTCTACCTGTTTTTTAATCTGTCTTCCTCTCTATACCCTCTTCTAACATTATCCCTTGACGTTATCATAATTAACATTTTATATTGTGTCTTTTTGCTGTTTTTCTTATTGATAAATATCTTTACAGGCCTTTATAAGAAAAGTGGTAAATTGTTGTTCCTTGGTTTGGATAATGCTGGTAAAACAACGTTATTACATATGCTTAAAGATGATCGGATGGCTCAACATGTACCTACACTTCATCCAACCTCAGAGGAATTGGCCATTGGTAACATAAGATTTACTACTTTTGATCTTGGTGGTCATCATCAAGCCCGCCGAGTATGGAAAGATTATTTCCCTGCTGTTGATGCAATTGTTTTCCTCATTGATGCTCATGACACAGAACGATTTCCAGAATCTAAAACGGAATTAGATAGCTTACTAACTGACGAGCAATTATCAAATGTACCTGTTTTGATACTTGGAAATAAGATTGATATTCGAGGGGCTGCTAGTGAAGATAATATTAGGTCATATTTTGGTCTACATGGTGTAACCACTGGTAAGGGAAAAGTTTCCCGATCTGAATTACCTGGTCGTCCAGTTGAACTATTCATGTGTAGTGTGCTAAAAAGGCAAGGATATGGTGAAGGCTTCCGGTGGATAGCTCAATATATTTAAATTAGGTCAAATTTAAGTAATATACAAACTTGATATATAAAAAAAACAGCAAAACATAAACAACAACAACATCATCATCAACAACATACACACCACCACAACCACCACCTACTACAACTTATACATAAACTGTCAAAATTAACTTGCATAAAGTAAAAAAAGAGTAACAAGAGAAAATTTTATGAAACTGGATTAAGAAAATCTATATAAATGATCCATTTTCAACTACAATCTTTTTTTTTCATTTTCATGGAAAAATATTTGAAACTTTCAACAGTAAAAAACAAAAGCAAAAGGGTTTGAAAATAAAGGGTAAACCACAGATTCCTTTTAATATAATTCGTTTTTAACATGAAACATTTGTAAAACTTAATCAATTTCACTGTTATAACAAACAAAATTAACTATTTACCATTTTTGCTCTTTTGTAAATTTTAAATTTTCAAAAGAAAAAAAAAATTCTCGGTCAACAAACAATTGAATTTTCCAAATGAATCACGTGTGTTTGGTGCTCTCTGTATGGTTGCCAATAGCAACCGAATATTTTTGTCACATTTGTTTATTTTTGTTTCCAAAGAATCAAAACAGTTTCAATTAAATAGAATTTGTTTCGTTTTCCTTTCATTGAAATAGTTAATTGTAATTCTATTCTAACAATTTATTCTCTTCCATGATGAGAGGTATAAATCGTGTTTCCTCTGAAATTGGTAAATGTTTAATTCCCAAAGTTGGTGATCGGACAGAGATAATCAAATATGCTCCTCAACGTCTTCCACCGATGCCCAGTTATCGAGATCTACTGGCCATTTATGGAATCCATGGTAAGAAGCAATTGTCTCAAAATTTCCTGATGAGACCATTGACCATCCGTAAATTGGTTAAATACAGTTGCATCAAGCCAGGGGACACAGTGCTTGAGATTGGCCCTGGTCCGGGTAACATAACCAGAGAGATACTTTCCCAAGGGCCTAAGGAATTGTTTGTAATTGAAAAGGATCGCAGATTCTTACCAATGTTGGAAATGTTGTCCGATGCCGCTTATCCTGGACAAATGAAAATCTTACTTGGTGATGTGAGAGATTTTAATATGGAAAATTTTTTCGATCCAAGTTTAAAACGAGATTGGTTGGACTCACCGCCGTCCATACAGTTTTTCAGTAATCTACCTTTTAATATCGCCTCTCCTTTGTTGATTAAATGGTTGAATCAAATTCACTTGAGAAAAGGTGCCTTTGCTTATGGTCGAGTTCCGTTGAGTTTAACTTTCCAATGGGAAGTGGCCCAAAGATTGGGTGCTGATATTTTACAATATGGACGAAGTCGAGTTTCCATCATGACTCAACTTTACTGTAAAGTCCATCGGAAATTACTTATTCCGGGCTCTCATTTTTTTCCTAAACCTCAAGTTGACGTTGGATTAGTTAGATTGTTACCATTGAGAACTCCATTGGTACCTACTGAGATTCCTTTTAAAGTGGTTGATAAATTTGTTCGAAATTTATTTCATCTGAGGCGAAAATTTATTCGAAGATCGTTACATGTTCTCTTCCCATCATCTGAGAGACAATTGATTGATAAAATTTGTATCGAAGCAGGAGTATCGGTAGATGATACACCGATTATGCTTTCTAATCAAGAAATTGCTCGAATGATTCAAATTTACTACGAGATAATCAAAGATTCACCAGAATTAGCTGATTACGATCATACAACTCGGAAAAAAGAACCCAAATTGATACGTGATCTTTTCTCCGAATCAAATATCTCAGTTAATCCTAAATGGGAACGGAAAACAATCAAAAATGAATCAAATCCAATTGAACAATAGATGTGTACAAATGATAGAAAAATTAATAGTTTATTATTTAAATTGAAAAAGAAAAGAAAATACAACCAGAATTCTGGTTTAGTCACTGAATGTGATTTGAAGTTTTGTTTTGTTTTAAACAATAAAGATGAAAATGTAAATAATATAAAAAAAATGTAAGTTAAATTATACATGTATCACAAAATGTAATTATAAAGGAAAAACTCTTTTTGGTTAAATCAGTATTCTTGAGATGGTGATTGATTATTGTTTACATTTAACCGGAAGAAAGTTCTCTGAGTTTTTTCGGCTCTTTGCCGACGGTGTTTCATTTTTTTCCTTTTCTCTTTGGTGAATTTTAAATTTGTTCTTAATTGCATTCAAGTTATCGTTGGGACTTAGAGCAGGAGATGATCCAGAACACTGGGTATTTAATGCCTTTTCTAGATCACTAATGAGATCGGAAACTTTGGCGAGCAGATCGTTTCTACTTCGGCATTCTCGCCTTTTGATTATGGTTCCATCACGAAACACGAAGTCTTTAGATAGAACTCTTCGCAGAGATTCAATATTTGCGTTCATGGACTGACGCCAACGTTGATCAGCCAGTTTTTTGGAAAAATCATTTTTCCGAGATTTACATTCTCGATTATGAATCGTGATTGGGTTTTGATTTTTTTCTGTAAAAAAAACAGAGGGAACATCAAAAGTTGAGAGAAACACAATCAACAAAGCCAATTACCTTTCTCTTGGTCACTTTGCCATTTCCAACCTTTTCGTGTCATCGTGTCCCAGAGCATTTGCTCCGATGAATAAACCCATTTCTCTCCAACTTCAGCTTTGGGTATAATTGAACCTTCTCGTCCAACTGATAACGGAAATGGCTGTCCTGGTGAAAGTTCTTGAATAGCATTCATAGGCATCATATTGCCAGGATTCATCTTCTCCCCACCACCACCACCACCACCACACCCAGCACTTTCCTGAGACATTAAATAACCACTTTGAATTGCTGGTCCATTGCCATGATTAACTAGACATCCAACACCACCAGTTGACCTCATGGCCGATGGAGGTTGACCAAGTTTCACCTCAACATTTCCATGAGAACCATTGACATTAATCGGTGCTCCCATAATTAAATAGCAAAGGTAACAACTATTTCCACGTGCGAATGTCAAACAGAGAATGAACGAAAAAAAACCAAATTTAATTCTTTAATTAAAACAAATCAAATTAAAAAAAAAACCACAAGCAGAGATAAGAAAACACAAGGTTGAATTTGGAGCAGAATTTAGACCAACACTCTAAAAGTCACACTTATCTTTCAATCAGAAATTCGCTTCTCTTCAATTGAAGTTCAATTATTGAAATTCAACTAAATTTAATTAGGAAACTTTTGGATTTTAAAAAGTCACAAGTGGAAAGATAAAGCAGAATTTAGCTCAATTGGCTAAATGCCACACTTTATCTTTCGGGGTGAAAATGAAAAAATAATTTCGATAAAATTAATCAAACTAAATAGAAGAACAATAAATTGTTGAGAATGAATTTTGTTTTTGCCCGAACAATTAATAGAAATTACAATTAAATCAACCTGAAGATATTTCTTTCTGTCTCTGAAGTTTTGGAAACGAATAAGAATAAAGAAAATAATTTTTTTTTCTCTTCTTTTCAACGTTGATTGATTTTCCATCACATGCTTAGGGTCTCAGTTAATTGTTAATTAACTGGACTCGACATTGACCCAGATCATACATAACTGTAATTATAAAGGAAAATATTGAATAATCATTTTTTTTTCTTACTTTCGATTAGTAAAATATTAATACTAATAATCAATCTACTCTAATTTACTTATTAATAACAATTTATCCACCTAATTGAAGATTCAATTAATACCAAATTACCTTCAGAAATCATCTAATAATACAAATCATTGATTGATAAAATTGAAGGTGAGGATAAATGATCAATTGATTGGTGGTTAATTTTTTCATTTTAATTCATTAGGTTATATTAATATTTCATCACAATCGTCGATTGATTGATTAATAAAACCAAATCAACGTAACCTTAATAGTTGATTAAGGTGGAGTAATTATGATTAGTTAAGAAGATAAAATAAATTAGAGAGTAGATAACGTAAAGCCATAGAAAAAGAGATTAAACTTGATTGTTGATTTAGACTCTAAATTAAAAGTGATGAAGGTTAAATTATTAATTCATATTCTTAATTGTTGTAAAAGAGAGCAAAAATCTTGCTCAACGAGTTGCAGTTTCCAAGCTCCATCATCATCATTATCATCTTTGTCTTTCTTTTTCTCAACAAAGGAGAATAAGTGAGAGAGAGAGAGAGAGAGAGATTATCATCATCATTATCATCATCATCATCATCACAATCAGATGATATTAATTGCTACTGGAAAGAAAAAATTTCAAAGAAAATGAATCGGATTGAAAGAGAAATCAAGAAATTTAGAACTGAATGAAAATAGAGAAAGAGATGGGAGAAAGTGAGAGTCTGATGAAGAAAGAGAGAGAGAGAAAGTTGATGATGATGAGGATGATGAGAGAGAGAGAAAAGAGGAGGAGGAAGATAGAAAGAAAAAGTTTAGACAGACTTGTCGAAAGAAAAGAAAGTGATCTTTCATTCGGACTGGTTAAAGTGTTTAGGTGTTGGAAACTGGTGGAAAATGAAAGTTTTCAGTTAATACACCGAGAGAAAAAAAAACCACAACATCATCTCCACCATCACCACCACCACATCCTCATCATCCTCATCATTTTCATCACTCTCACCATCCTCATCCTCATCTTTACTCTTGTATCCATTTAGTGTATTTACCTTTTACTTATTAATCGTATTAGTTAATCTCAACTCGACAAGATTATCCGATTTTATAAATAATAATATTTCATTTACTCCTAAATGAACAATCAGATATTCACCATGAAACTTTCACCATTAACAAATTGTTCACATCTAATTGTTTTCCTAATCAGTATCAACTTAATTGTAACAAATTGTTCCGCTTATTATCAATCACCTTCCAATGTCCACTCGTCAATTCAACCTGGACTCTGGCGAAGCAGTTTATCCCAAAGTAGTTACTATTACGCTGATTATAAGGTTCCAATGGCTCCAGTTTCTCAGAAAAAATATCTCCCTGATCACCCAGAATGCCCTGATTCTGGTGGAACCGTTTGCAAGGATATTCCCGATTATCCCATGTAAGTTTTTGTCCCTCGAATTTGAGAAAGAAAAATTCAAATTATCACTTTCCTCATCTTCTTTACACTTACAATTAGACTTGGACATTAAATTGTGATGTCCATTGATGCTTTTTGTTTCCAGTTTATTGTTTTAATTGTTGTGAACAATTTAAAAACTTAAATTGTCCTTTACTTGGATTGTTGATTATCATTATTATCATTATTATTATTATTATATTGTATTAACCCCATTCACTATGAGAAACCAGTTGATCTTGACATTCAAACTGTATGATTATCAGTTTTCAACAATTAAGTAATTTAATTTTAACAATTACACGATATTTTTGTGAGATTTAATTTTGTTATTGTTGTTTTTAAATTGTTCTGTTAGGAAACAAAAAGGATTAACAGCAATTAGTTGATTATCGTGTGGTTAAACTTAAATTGCCATAAGCTAAATAATATCTGTTGAGCTAAATTGTTGCTGTTAACTAATCACAATTTTCCCATTACAAATTCAATTGAACAATTAATTTCCGTTCTTTTTGCTTCTTAATGATCAACAAGATGATTTGATATTCTGTTTACCTAATTGTTACAATCAACTGATTCAATATGAATTCTCTTATTGATAATCTAATCAATTAAATATTCAACTTATTGACAGTTGATTTACTTTTTGATTGTTGTGATTTCTTTTTGACCTAATCATTAATTTCCAATCTAAATAGCAAATTTATTAAATCCAGTTAATCTTAATTCCTGATTAACATAAAAGGAAACTCAATACCTTAAATAGTTCCTGTCATTAATTTAAATTGTAATCAAAATTATTCATAAATTATTATTATGATCAATAATTAGTTTGATTGGTAAGGATTTTATCTGATAATTAAATTGATTGATTGAATAACCAACAATTAAAATGTATATTAATTGTAAACAAGTTGACTAGTAATCAATATCTGAACCTGTTAATCAAAGTTAAATTGTTGCAATCAAACTCAATATTAACCATTATCTCATTAATTTTACTTTGAAATAATCAGTTAATTGCAAAGGTAAATTGCTAACAATTTAAGACGATTAATGTAAAATTTTTTTAACCAGAAAAAAACTGATTACAATTAGTAAATCACTTTATTGTTGAATTTCAATAATCAAATTGACTAATTGGTTTGCACTTTGTGGTTTAAAATTAGGCTTTGAACTGAATTAACTGATTACTTATTATTAAAGTAATTTGATTCTGATCACAATTTAGACCAATAATATTTCATTGAAAGATGAAACTTTTAACAACAATTAATAGAATTAAAATTGAATTAATCAATTTTTTCAAGAGAAACAATTAAAACTAATCCAATTGGTTAATCTTTTCCCAAATTTAATCAATCAAATTTAGATTGATTAACAATTAACTCCAGCTAAATGTTTACATTTACCAAATTTTCAAAGTGGATATAAACTTACAATTGTAATAATTTAGTTAATCAACAACAATTTAACAAACTATCGTAATAATTGATTACGATTTTGACTTCCTTCTGTATTTAAAGACTTAAATTGCTGTTAATTGTTAGATGATGATACTTAAATTACATTTTGTGAGTGTGTGTGTTTGCTAATTGTTACGTTTGCTTGTAAATTGTAATTACAATTGTATATTAATGATTAAAGTAAATTGTTAACAATTTAGTTTTACGTGGGATCACATAACCTTGGTAAACTTGATTAACCAAAATAAAAAAAAACTATTAATTGTGAGAAAGTCACAATTTAGTAGACCTCAAATCACCTAACTAAATTTAGCTGATTGTGATGAGTTGGGCCAACAACAATCAACCAACAATTAACCATAATATTTATGAATCAATCAATTAAAACAAAAAGTCAAATACAATCAGTTGATTCTGATAATTTTAATTACTCTCAAACTGTTAATACAATTATAACATAATTTAGTAAAAACTAATTGTTATTAAAAATTGACAATTAATTTGATTCCTTTAATTGTGTTTACCTTTGAAATTTGTTTTTCCACCACCATTGTAATAATGCTCAAGGCTCAACAATTAGTTAATTGTTAGAGAAGCAGAAGCAGAAATTGTTTCTCATTGAAAAAATTTCCTCTTTGAATTTACAATTAGATTTGATTACCTTAATTGCAATTAAAGTGTATAACTGGATTAACTGTTGATCTTGCAACGAGAAAACTTTGATTTAGTTTTTTTTTGTTTAATTGTTAAAAAAATGCAAATGATGAAGGCTAATAATTTAGTATCCACTTTGATAGTGATTACAATTTAAATTGTTGCAAATTTTTCACTAATCTTAATCATTGGATTAGTAAATTGAGTGGCAAAAAAAAACCCTGAAATTATTGCCAATCAAATAATAACCAAATTAAATCACAATTTAATCACAACCAATGGCAACCTTGACATTTACCTATTTAATTATTAGTTTAATTTAATTAACTTGAAATCAAATTAACCCATGATATTTCAGAGAGAGAGAGAGAGAGACTTTGATTGTAAATTAAATTCAATTGAATTAAATTGATTGTCATTTATAGGTTTAAACTAATCAACAATTAAAATCGAGAAAAAAAAACGAAATCAGCTGATGATTTGTGGCCTTGTTTGATTAATTGTTGTTGTTTAGTTAAATCAGTCGGAAGTTTAATTGTAACTATTTAGATATTTAAACCTGTTATAAAGCTTAATTTGCTTACTTAATACACTTTAATTGTTGATATATTTATATACATTTTAGGCAAGGTCAATTTAATAAATCAGACTAATCAACAATCAACAAATGATTATTATGATTGTTAATCAACAATTAGAAACCTGAATGTAAAAGTTTCAACCTTAATCAAGGTTAAATTATACACTGGATTTAATTTTCACTTTTAATTTAGTTTCTCTCTTTCTCTCTATTTTTCAACAATTTAAACTACAATTTCCAGAGGCATTTAACTGTTTGACCTTCGGTCAACAATTAGTAAATTATCATTGTTAATTAATCGATAAGTCAAAATTTCCATAGAGTAAATTGCTCCAAGTAATTAAATTGTTCCCAGAATAAAATTAGATAAAAATCAATGAACTTAAAAGACCAAATCAAATCAACAATTAAGAGACAACTAAATTAACCTTACCAAAGGTAAATTATAATTACCTATTCCAGAGTAATAATAATAATCATCATCATTAAGAAAACAACAAAATCATGAAATGAACATTAATTAACAATAATTAATCTCAAGGTGATCAAAGAAACAAAAAAAAAGTTAATTGTAGTTTGTAAATGATTAAATGATTATCATATTGAAAGATTTACACATTGACCATCAAAACATTCAAATTAACTGTTTTCTTAATTGTATTGAACAGTGAACATATTTACAGTGTAATCAAATCAGCTCGTGCAAATGGATTTAACTTCACGAGCCTATTTGTGGACGAGTCTAAAGGTGACCTGGAGCCCAATTTAACGGCACCCGTGACGGTAATTGTGCCTCGGGAAAAGTCCCATGTTAAAAGTTACATTGTTTACCAAAGTTCATTACAATATGATTATTTACCTCATCATCCATATCAGGAAACTCATCATCATGGTTTCTCATTACAATCTCATCAAACTTATCATCAACCCTTACAAGATGAACTTAATCAACATCAACAATTAACTGACAACAGTTTCAATGATAATCATCATCATCATCATGATCACCATTCATCAGGCTGGGATAATTTTCCTCTTGATTCAGTTCCACCACCTCCACCAATACCTTCACCCTCTCACCTGGGATCATCATCATCATCATCTCCATCCTCATCCTCATCTTCATCTTCATCTTCATCATCTCAATTTCCTTTATCACCACAATCATCCAAAAGATTCCCTTCGAATCCCTGGAAACCAATCATTCAATTGGCTAATGTTACCTCAATTTATCGTCGAAAGCGACGATCAGCAACCTCGAAAATGTCCAAAAGGGTCAAACGTCAATCGATCAATTCCCTCGAAGGGGAAGAGGTTTGTCGTACTCGGACAATGTACATTACCCCTCGAGCCGCTCTAAGTGACCAATCTGAATGGAAATTTGTTGTTAATTTAGCGGAAAAAGACACAAACCTCAAGCAAGTGATTAAAGTTGATGTTTGCCAGTAAGTTGATTCAATTCAAGCTAATTAATATTAACAATAATAATAAGACAATTAACCTTAACAATCAATTGATCTTGAAAAATTAACATCAATTCATTTCAACTTTTTAATTTCCTCATAAATAAACTGATCCAAAGCAGATAATTAAATCATCACCACCAATAGATTGTTTAATCATCTTAAATAATCACAATTTATTTAATCAGATTACAATCCAACTTTAATTTTAATTTCTATGTTTCCTTAATGTCAGTAACTTTTGTAACTTTTTAATTGTTACAATTGAGCAACAAGTTAGTCTGTTAACAATACAGATTATGAATGATCATTGATTATATAATAATTTTTACTCTTTCATTGATTATCATTATTATTATTATAATTTAAACCCACTCACTTTATCAACAGGTCACAATTAAGATCGTAATCAATGAATGAATTTGTATAATTAACTTAATTGTTGATGATAAACTTGTAGGCCAAACCGGAAATTTAAATTTCTAGTAAATTCTTTTAATTAGTTTTACGTAACTTAAAATATCAATTGCAACAATTAAACAATACTGTTTGATTATTAGGGATTTCCCTTTAATTGTTAGTTAAATTATGAGAGCAGGCGTCATCTGATTAACATGAGAACTCAATTCCAGTGAATGGTTAACCTTGATTATGTCAATTCACTGATTCACATGATTAACAATGATGATCAAAACTACTAAATCACTTGATACAATCACCTTAATTGTTGCACCTTAATCATACAAAATTAGTAAAGTAAATCCTTCCGGGTTTTAATTGATAACAGATTGTTATCCAACTAAGACTAATCAACTGTTACAATTTAAATGTAATCTCTTAACCAATGAATAAAGTTGATTATGAATCTAATTAAATTAACTTTAAATGAGTTTCTATTAATAATAATTGGAAACACTTAACAAAAAATTTAGACGGAAGTTGTTGATTCTAATAATTGTTATCACCACTTTGATTAGTAAATCATTGATTAACTTTGGTTAAAGTTAATTGTTGTGTGAGTCTTTACAACCTAATGGATTGTAAAAAGTGAAAAAATAAAGAAAGTGATTAGTTAATTGTTGTGTTACAATGTCAATTGTGTCTTCTTAATTTACCATTAGTGTTACCGGAGTTTTTTTTTTGCTTCTTGATGTTTTTTTGTAGGTCAAGTAATTGTGATGCAACATGATTATAATTATCTATTAATATTATCATTATAATCACTAATTGTTATTGTATAATCATCACAATCCACTTGGAGCGTTATGATAATCAAATTAACAAATTAACTCGAAATTGTTTATTGTTGATTTTCCTTCAAATTGTTAATCACTCACAACATTTTATCCTTCTCATGAATCTTAAATCATTTGGAAACAATTTCAATCCAATGAGTTATCAAGTTAATTGTGCACAATTAAAATTCACTTTTTTCCAGCCGATTGTTAAACTAATTGTTGTTTATTAATTTTCTTAATTGCAGACAAGCTAATTCACCTTGTTCATCGTCGATTTCCCTTCCCTTTGGATTCAAAAGTCGATGTAAACAAAAGTTCATCAAGAAAAAACTTCTTTCCCTCGATCCGGATGGACAAAGTACTTCGAGTGAAAACTTTTTCGTGCCATCATGTTGTGTCTGTGAGATTGTTAATCAATCAACAAGATGAACTTTTCTAATTACAATTAACTTAAATTCTCTCCTCTTTTTAATTCACTATTTTCACTTTTTTCTTGCTTTGTTTGTTTGTTTGTTTCTATTTCCATTCCACCACCGTGATCATCATCATCATCTTCATCATTATCAAGTGTCATCTCCATTCATTGGATTTATAATTTACCTTTCATTCATTAATCTTACTAATTGTTGATTGTTTTCCATCAGGCTGATTGTGTGTGTTTAAATTGTTCCCGATTGTACAAAATTTAGATTATAAATATTGGAATCAAACAATCAACCATATCAAATGTCAGTAGTAGTTGTATCAGGTAACATTAATCAATTCAACTTTACTTTTAATTAACCATTAAGATTGTTACGGTTACTTGATATCTATTGAAATTAGAACTTTTTTTTTCACTCATTCGAAGAGATAAAACAAAAATTCGAGGCTCAGGAAGTACAGTTAATAATCAAGTCTCTCATTGTGAACAAGACTCAAGACTTAAATCTATCAATTAACTAATCATTTAGTAAAAAAAAGTACTTCAATAATTTCAAAATAATTCATCTTTAAATTGAACATAAAGCAAAAGTTTCGAAAAGAAAAAGAAAAGTTCTAAAAATATTTCCATTCGATATTCGATATGTTCAGATTTTCATGCGAACAATTTATTCAACTTTAATTAGCCCAAAACTAGAAAACATAAATTAATATCAGTTTCAAGTCTAATTTCAAAGTGTCAACAATTAGTTAATCAATCAACAATAATTTGATTAGAAAAAAAAATCATTCAATCATTTGAAATGAAATTTTTCTTAAACTTATCTTTTCCTTAATGAAAAACTATTTAATTAAAGATCATCATTTTCATGTATTAAATCAATTACCTCTTATATAATAATCAATAAAAACTAATTAGCATTGAAAAGTTAAATTGTTTCAACTTAATTTCAATCTCAATGACAATTAATTAATCAACATCAGTTGGTAGCGCCATCTATTGACTGAGAAAACAACTAAAACAAATTAAATTTTTCCAACAATTAAAACTAATCAAACATTTGATTTAATTAAGAGAAATTTTTTTTTCTAACAATTTAAAAAGGATAACAAGTGTTGAAAGAATAATTTTAATGAATAAAATGTTAATGAATGTTAAGAATTGTGGTGATAATGAACTGAATTGGAATATGAAAAAAAAAGGTAAACTCTTAATGGGAAAAAAAGGTAACAAGGAATAAAAATTATTCTCATGGTGGAAATTAATGGAAAGAAGGTGTAATAGCCTTGGAAGATAAAGAAGATAAGAGGATCATGATGATGATGAAGATGAGGATGAGGATGGGGATGAGGAAGATGATGTTCTAAGGAGATGAGATTGCGCTCACATTATTATCTCTCATTGATTGTTAACAGTTTAGTTGATTCAGTTTTCCATTTTCATCAACATCAGAATCACAACTTATCTGAAAATATAAAGAAAAATAAAAGTTTCCTCTTAATTGTTTCATCGAGTGATTTTAATTACCACCGACAGATTAATAAGTTTTAATTGTGTTCCATTTTGTTGTTGATTAATTGATTCGATCAACGTTCTAACTGAACATTAAATTGTAACATTTTCGACTCAACTTTTTTTTTTCTTGTGATTTTCACAATTAAAACAATTTCTTAACCAATATCATGTTTAACCATTGAAATTAAGCCTTCTAATTATGATTGTTAATTCAATTGTAAGGTTAATTGTTTCACTTTCAACGTTATTACTTTCCAATGTTCATTTATCAACAACAATTGGACCTAAAATCCCAATCGGTAAGTTTAATTGTGATCATTTTGCAATCAAATCAAATTGAATTGATTTTTGTTTTCTCAATCAAATTAACCCTTACAGATAAAAGTTTCATCTAATTAGCCAGAAGTGATTAATTATAAACACCATCCTAATAAGATTAACACTTAATTAACAAGTGTAATAATCAAGCCTAATTAATAAATGGAAGGAGCAAAAAAAACTAATGATTGTTGAGAAAATAATTAAACCAGATTATGATTAAAAGTTTTACTAATTAAAAGTGTCAAAATTACAGATTAAAGTTAATCAATGATTGATTAAAAAGTTAGATCAAATCAGAACTTTAAACTCATGGGAATTCAGGGTAACAATGATAATGAAAGTTTCTCATCGGAAGTTACTATGATTGGAATATGAAACTATCCGGAAATAGTTTTTTTTTGTCATGAAAAAAAATGAATGATAATTAACTTGATTTAGAAAAGACGATCAAGTTGATTGGGAGAAAAACAATTGAACTTTAAATCCACAGGTTGGAAGTTTTGATTAACTTTTGATTCCAATGAACTTTTTTGCATTCATTCAGGGGGAATTTTCACTCCAGAATCAAATGAACTTCAGAGTGCATTCAAATACGCGATATTTTTGCATAACAAGAATGAATCATCTCGATTTCAAATCGAACCGATAACCGATGTGATCGATACCAATGATCCATTTAGATTTACCCGTCAAAGTAAGTTGATTGTTGATCTTTTCTAATTAAAATCAATCATGTGTCTATTTGGATCCTTTCAGTTGATGATTGAAATGAAGATAAAATAAATAATTCATTTACTATCATGGTAATCATGATGATCCAACTGTTCAGTATATCAAAAGCATTACGATTATTATTATTAACACCATTCAAAGGGTGACTGAGGATAAGGTGGGTTAGTGAATCAACAAAAGATTCTGAATGAATTTCTGGTGGTGATTGCAGGGATATTATTCATACTGAACTTGGAATTGGAGTGAATTTTTATATAATATCTTTTTTTCATTTACTATGTTTTTCAATTTACATTTTCACTCCTTGGGAATTGGGTGGAAACAGGTTGATGTGTAGGCGTTGATGAGGATGAAGATGAGGATGATTAGAGTTGATTGCTTTGTAAAGATGAGGATGAGGATGAGAATCATTTAAATCTTTTGCTTCCCTATTAACTGATGGTTACAACTTAATCAACATTCATTTAGGAATATAAATCCAGGGAGAAACTTTTGCAATTCAAATTTTTTTTTCACCTTCCATGTAATTCATATATTACATGGGAAGGATATAATTCCCATGAATAAATACCCTGAATAGCCTGGTGATATTATCTTTACATTCACAGATTGTTCATCGTGAATATTAAATCCAATCAACTTTATCTTTTCAATTTCATTTTCAGGGTAAATTCACCCAAAATTAACAACTTTTTTCAGCTCTTTCTCCCTGTTTATCATTAGTAGTATTCATATTTATCAAAATTCAACCAAAATCAACATGATTGTCATGATAATCAACGTGAATAAGTTTCATTTGCTTCTAATTGATTTTCACCGTAATTTTGATCGATGATTCTTGGTAAAGAGACGATCTAATTAATGATTACCTGATTAACCATTGAATTGATTGTTCATCAGATGATCAGAGAAGTTAATTAATGATAGTATTGGTTATGAAGCAATCGATTGTTGATTTCTGCTGAATCCTCAGAATTTCATGACTTACATTTGAATGATTTTCTTTCAGGTCATTCGGTTGTTTTTCAATTTCAAAACAATATTACTTTAAATACGATTCTCAAGTTTTTCATTATCATTGTTGAGAAGAAAAAAAAGTCAAACGCCCTCAGGCAATTGAACAGAGGGAAAAAATAATGACTTCTTGTTGATTCTCAACTTCAATGAACCATTTTCAATTTCAACTGATTCAGCTGAATGAGAGATAAACAGAGATAGAGAAAAAAATTCAGAACTTTCTTCTTCCCCTTATCTCCATTTACAGGGAATCATGATGATGATGATACATGAGCTTTGATGAATGAAACTGAATCTAGACTATTATCATTATCATGGTTTACTTGATGATAATTCACTTGAACTTTTTAATATTAACCAAAGTATCATGACGATAATAATCATCATCATCATGTAGATACTTTAAATTATCATTGAGTCGAGAAAAATGAATCTTCATTTTTTTTTAAATGAACTTTATTCAAAGTTCATTAAGAATCAATGCAAATTCATTTTATCAGGGAAAAAGTTTTCTTCCAATCAAAATGTTACCAATTTTGCCCTCGATCTTTGGATTTGATTTAGTAATTGTTGGATTGTTACTTTTGTTTTATTTAATTGCTCTTAATCGGGACATGATAAGTTCACCATGATCATGAGGGTTTAATCTTGAAATTTCATCATGATAATATGAACAGGTAACTAATTCATGATAATAGGAGAGAAAAAGTTTTTTCAATTGTTTCCCAATGTTAATAATGTTATTTACTATTAGTTAAAGTCACGCAATCAACAAATTGCACTTTTGTGATTTGATTTTCTATTATTGTAACGATTATCATCATGAATCCGTATCCTGAATCTTTAACTGAGTTCATGATAATATTCATTCATTTTAGTTCCGGTTGTCTGAATAACACTAACAACTAAATTCTGAGCATCTAATTCAATTCCCAGTAGATTATTGGAAACATTGAAACAATTTACAGTTTTCCCCCCTGAGGGTTGATGATTAATTTTAAATTATCCAAGAAATTATCATCAAGAGTCTCAAAAGGTTCAATATATATAAATGAATATTATTCTGATTCAATTTAATCGTAACCAAGAGTAATTCAGCTGAAAGGAAAACGAAAAGTTGAGAAAAAAAAAGTTCAGCAACAATTCTGAAGATAATTAAGATTCATTGAAATTCATTGAAAAGATTCAAGATAAGGTATTGTTCATGGAGATAAACTTGAGTGAAACAAGATGAAGGAAGATAAATCTGAGAAGATAAAGAATTCTAATCTTCTTCTCAATCTTCATCTCTTTATCTTCATCAAGTTGAACTTTTTCTCTCTCCTGGAAACAGAATTAACAAGAGTAAAAAATGAGAGAAATAAAAAGATAACAAGATATACACTTTTCTATTTTCTCTCTCAATCTTATCACCATCATCATCTTCATCTTCATCTTCAAATGATAAAGATGAACATTGGAAGGTGAAAATTGAGTTAGATGATGAACTTTTTACCTTTGACCATAGAGAATGTTAATTTTTCTGAATAAACAACATCATCTATTGTGTTCCCATGCTAAGAAATTTAATTTACCGTTATCATCACAACTTTCATTTAATCTTCATCAGCATCATGATCATCATGATCATCATTTTCTTTGTTCAATATAATCCATTGTTATTCAAAGTTGTGAGTAATAATAAAACACCAAGAATGTCATGGAGGTGAAAAAAATTCACCCTCAGGTTATTTCTATGCTAATGGAATGATAAAAAAAACTAATAATAAATGAATTCTGATGATCACCTTTCATGATAAAAGTGATGAAACATCATTCTGAAATGTCGTTAATTAACTGAGGAAATTGTTGCCAACTAATTGGCCTCTTAAACTATTGTCTTTTCAATCAACAATTAAGACACACAAAAGTTGACATGAACTTTAATTGTTATCCATGAATATAAATAAGCTCATTTCTAGATTATTTCCCTGTTAATTATAATTCTGATCATCTTAATTTTCAGCTACAATTGAAAGGAATTAATAAATTGTCTAAGAAATTCATCATCAGTTTAATTATTAACATTTAATTGTTGATTTAGTTGTGAAATCCAATTGAGATAATTGTTGATTTCCAATGAATTCTTTGTTCAATTCATCCTTCCGGATCAAATTAGATACATGATGTTTTTTTTACTCTTTTTTTTCTCAATAAAATTTTCATGATGGAACTTTTTTTCCTTACCTGATATTCAGTGTGCCTACAATTGTCTCGAGGTATTTTCACCCTTGTCACACCCATAATTGGACCATCATATGAAACACTCGTCTCATATTCAAATACCTTCCAGGTAAGTTTAATTAACTCTCTTCTTTTTCAATCAGCCTCAATAATCAATATTCAGCCTAATGAATTCACCTGAAAGTTTCATGATAACATTTCCATATGAAGAAAAGGATCCAATCAGAAAAGTCTAATACTCATGGAAATCTGAAATTGAAGGTGCTTCCTTTGCATAGATAGTTTTTCCTCCATCGCCTGATCCCTCATCTATTTGCCTTCAGGGTGAATTCATGATGATGATAAAAATAATGATGACAAGGATTCTGATGTTTCCTCTTTTTTTTATATCTCTGATTTCATCTTGTCTCATTTAGACATAGAGGGAAAATTTTACCTATTCAGAGTGTGACATTTTGCTTGATTCACTCTTGGAAAACATTGATGACAGGATGAAGAGATGAAAGAGAAAAAAAGAAAAGTTCTGAACAGCAACATGATAAATTCTGAATAGAAAAGGTCTGAAAAAAGTTGATGTAAAAGTGATAAAAGATTATCATTAGATGAATCAACTGTGAATGAGAATCGGGCTTAAAATTATTTGCTCAAACTTCATGGGAAAACTGAGTCAACTTTTTTTTTCCATTCAATTTGAACCAAGGGAAAAAACTTTTTCCACTCTAACTTTCCACCCTCAGGCAGAGTTGTTAAAGTTATTTACCAATATCAATGTTGCTATTGTTATACTAATACAAAATGATAACATGTTTGTTTATCATGAGATTTACTATCATGTCCACTCTTTGTCCAGAACTTTATCTAATCTGTTTGTAAGTTCATGGGGTTAATCATTTGTCTGGTTATTTACATTAGAAGGAGGAAAATAGTTCCAAATGAATTTCAACATGAAAATGGAATTTTTTTATTCTCTTTTTTCGTTCTTTTCGAATTTCAGAAAAGTTCATCATATTGAGTTTGAGTGAAATATCAATTTTCTGATTACGTTGAAGGAAGTGCAAGTGTTTCTCAACTTCCGATCTATTAAATGATGAGAAATCACAATTGAATCTACAACCAGAACTACCATGAAATTCAAAGAAAATACGAAATTCTCTTACTTATAACAAGGTGAGATTAGATTATTTCTGAGTTTCGAATGAATTTTTTTCTCTCTTTTTCTCTTTCACTATTTCATTCTCAGGGTAAAACTATTTTCTTATTGTCTTGGTGAAAAGTTCATCTTAAACTTATGAATTTCAAAATGAATTTTTATCATGAAAGTTCATTGAATAGAGTTTATTAAGTTTTATCATGAGAAAATTTGAAAATTTTTTCATCGGTAATATTGAAATTCAAGAGTTTTAGTCTTCTCAATAAAACATGATGACTTTTGAAAAATTAGTGACATTTTTTTGCTCTGAGATTCATGATAATAAACATGATACTTGGATCAGTAAAGAGGTCACAGGTTATGAAACTAAGATAGACAAAAGTAATGCGAAAAAATCAGATCTAAAAGCTAACAATGTTCAGGGAATGGAAAGTTAATGCCATGGAAATCATGAAATTACACCAACATTAGAAGTGGAATAAAATTTTCACCAATCAGTTTAATCAATCATCCTAATGATTATCAGTTTCAATGATAATTACAATCAATCAAAAGTTGATTTCAATGAGTTGGTAATAGTTTTTTTTTCATCTTCTTGTTTGGTTACATGAAAAATGTTACAAAAGATGAAAATTTGATCGATTTCATGAGAGGTTCAGAAATTTCTTACCTATTTTACCTTGAAGATGAACGATAATCATAATGATCCATCTTCAGGGAGGAAGAAAGTAAAATCAGATTAACAGATTATCCATCATGGTTATAATCAGATTTATGATAAGAAATTATTTTCTATTCTCATTCTCAGATGCCTTTTATTCATCCCGGTTACCCGGAAACAAACAGTTACAATTATCCCAATTTCGGACTCAACATCCGACCGGATTACATCAAGGCCATTGCCGAAGTGGTTAAACTGTACACATGGAAAAATATAATCTACATTTACGATTCGGACGAAGGTAAGAAAATCGAAAAGTTCTGAAAATAATTGACAAGAAGAAACTTTTGTTAAACTTTTCCTTTCCTCCTTCAATTGTTATTCATAAATAAGCAACAAAATCTACTCGAACTTGGCCTAGAACTTTATATATAAATTTGATATTCCAAGTTTGTCTTTGAAAAATTTCACGAAAATAACAACAACAATAATAATGATAATTCTCAACTGAATTAATGGAATCGAGAAGAAGAAAACTTTTCACTTACATGATGGAAACTTTTTCGCAAATTGTGAACTGAATTTGATCAATTGTTCGTCATTCGATTATCGGTCAGAAGTTTATTAAAATTTAATCATGATGGAGAAAAGAATCTGGTAAATGATTAGATTATCATGAAGAAAAGAGTAACTGGAAACATGAATATTAACCGATACAGAAAAGAAAGTAAAAAGTTGAGTAAACAATTTCAATCGGATCATTAAGTAAACACTAAACCATTATCATGAAATTCAGAGCCTAATGTTTCAATCATTATTCAAAGTGATTACATTTTGAAACATTATCATGTGTTCACAGCAAATCAACACCAACACCCACAAGATAACACTCACTATGATTTTAAATCAGTTGAAATGAATGTGAAAAAAAAATCGTATTTATTGTTACCTTATTGAATTATTATCATGACAATCATGGGAATAGGAATACAATTGAATAACATGACAATTTATATAAATGATAATAATGGAAGGTGAAACTTTCCAATGGTCAATTGTATGAGAGAAAAAAAGTTCTGACCAGATTTCATTCAGTTCTCAGTCAAGAACTTTTTCTTTGCTCAACATTGGGAAGAAAAAAAGAAAACACTCTTTTTTTTCATATCGTATCATTGAATCAGAATCATTTCCTTTTCCTGTCTAAATCAAATATCCTTTAGATTTACCTGAAGATTCAATGGAGATAAAAGATTCAATTCTATCCACTTATCATTCATCTGATACTCATTCACAATTGAATATCCACCTACACCCAATTCTCAATCCTCGAATTCAATGACATTTACCTTTGGTGGACTCAAACTGAGCTTAATGAATGAAAGGGAATAAGAAAAAAAAGTCTCCATGCTGAGGACTTAAAGAGTATCAGTAGTAATAAAACCTCCGCTTCTGAGCCACTCAGAAGCGGAAGTGGGGGTAAAATAATTATCCTGAAAATGAAAGGGGGAAATAATTCAATAATAATCATAAACCAGAAAAAAAATGTTCATTGAATTTCGCGCTCTTACAATATACACGTACATGATACTGGATTCATTCTTGAATGAATCTTTAAAGATATTTTTGTTTACACTCCTGTAGCTGTTTCATTGTGAATTCTTTTGCTAAAATCTTTTTCAAAACTGAATTTATATTATCAATCATGTTTTTTTTCAAACTACCAATCACTTATCTATTCATTCTGGGTAAGAATTTTAATAAGAATGTTTTTATATTAAGACTAACGCTTAATCATTTTTCAATCATTAAAGGTATGGTTTTTGATGAAAATCTAAATTCATCAAGCAACGCGAATATGAACAATAACCCTCAAAGTAGATCTGGTGAGTTGTTTTTAGCCTAACATAAGTTAATTTAAATCATTGTTATAGTCTAAAATCATGAATTTTGATGAAATGAGGTGACCCTCATGAATAGAAAAAAACACCATGCACCTAATTTTGACTACAAGACACTATTAAAACTCCGATTTTAAAAATTTTTTCAGTTGAATCTGAATGATAGCATAGTGGTAAGACGTTAGCTTTGTGTATGCAAGGGAATACGTTCAAACCACGGTGGTGACAATTTTTTTTCTTTTTGAATAAAACTTTACCATGACTATTAACATTGATTATGAACATTTTTCCTATATTAGCAACTGATCAACAAAATGAGAATCCTCAAACGACCCAACCGGAAGCTCACCAACTCACTGTGGAAGAGGATGAAGAGATCAGAGAGACAGAAAACCGATTAAATGAACTGCGAGCGGCCAGACGAATGCGTTTGGAACAACGAATCACTGCTCCATCAACATCTGAAACTAGTTCTGCAGGTGAGTTTGCCTTAGGAATCAAATATAACATGTCAATTATTGTGATAATAAAAATAGATTATGTTCAAGTCGTCAGCGACAAATGATTAGGGTGTCAAATGATAGGAAGTAATAGTAGTATTAATCGACATGAGTTTCAATCAATTTGAATCAGGGGATAAGATTTTATCACCTATTGGGACTTAACATTATGATATTAGCTACTGACAATAGATTATGTTCAAGTCGTCAGCGACAGATGATTAGGGTGTCAAATGATAGGAAGTAATAGTAGTATTAATCGACATGAGTTTCAATCAATTTGAATCAGGGGATAAGATTTTATCACCTATTGGGACTTAACATTATGATATTAGCTACTGACAATAGATTATGTTCAAGTCGTCAGCGACAGATGATTAGGGTGTCAAATGATAGGAAGTAATAGTATTAATCGACATGAGTTTCAATCAATTTGAATCAGGGATAAGATTTTATCACCTATTGGAACTTAACATTATGTTAATAGCTACTGACAATAGATTATGTTCAAGTCGTCAGCGACAAATGATTAGGGTGTCAAATGATAGGGAATAATAGTAGTATTAATCGACATGAGTTTCAATCAATTTAAATTTGGGGATAAGATTTTATCACCTATTGGGACTTAACATTATGATATTAGCTACTGACAATAGATTATGTTCAAGTCGTCAGCGACAGATGATTAGGGTGTCAAATGATAGGAAGTAATAGTAGTATTAATCGACATGAGTTTCAATCAATTTGAATCAGGGGATAAGATTTTATCACCTATTGGAACTTAACATTATGTTAATAGCTACTGACAATAGATTATGTTCAAGTCGTCAGCGACAAATGATTAGGGTGTCAAATGATAGGGAATAATAGTAGTATTAATCGACATGAGTTTCAATCAATTTGAATCAGGGGATAAGATTTTATCACCTATTGGGACTTAACATTATGATATTAGCTACTGACAATAGATTATGTTCAAGTCGTCAGCGACAGATGATTAGGTGTCAAATGATAGGAAGTAATAGTAGTATTAATCGACATGAGTTTCAATCAATTTGAATCAGGGGATAAGATTTTATCACCTATTGGGACTTAACATTATGATATTAGCTACTGACAATAGATTATGTTCAAGTCGTCAGCGACAGATGATTAGGGTGTCAAATGATAGGAAGTAATAGTAGTATTAATCGACATGAGTTTCAATCAATTTGAATCAGGGGATAAGATTTTATCACCTATTGGAACTTAACATTATGTTAATAGCTACTGACAATAGATTATGTTCAAGTCGTCAGCGACAAATGATTAGGGTGTCAAATGATAGGGAATAATAGTAGTATTAATCGACATGAGTTTCAATCAATTTAAATTTGGGGATAAGATTTTATCACCTATTGGGACTTAACATTATGATATTAGCTACTGACAATAGATTATGTTCAAGTCGTCAGCGACAGATGATTAGGGTGTCAAATGATAGGAAGTAATAGTAGTATTAATCGACATGAGTTTCAATCAATTTGAATCAGGGGATAAGATTTTATCACCTATTGGGACTTAACATTATGATATTAGCTACTGACAATAGATTATGTTCAAGTCGTCAGCGACAGATGATTAGGGTGTCAAATGATAGGAAGTAATAGTAGTATTAATCGACATGAGTTTCAATCAATTTGAATCAGGGGATAAGATTTTATCACCTATTGGGACTTAGCATCTTAATTTCATATTTCTTTCTTCTCATCCCAAGAAAACAACACGTCCGCCTCTGATGAAAGCCCCGGTCCTCTTTCCATCGTATCAGATTCTCTGCAACAAGACATCACGAGTGAATCAATAGGGACACAAAATATTGATCAGCAAACTAGATATAATTTACGCTCAACAACGACCCCTTTGATTCCATCTTCGCCTACATTAGCACCTTCGGTCCCCTCTACTTCAGCTGCTAATTCAGATGAGTATAACGAGGAAGAATATGTTGGTGGTCATGCCGAATTGGTTTTACGATACCCAACGGGCGAAAACGTAAGTTTACTGATATCCACACAATTTATCGACAATAATTTGAAACTTTTATCATTTAGGTGCGGACAAATCAAATAGTAAAGTTCAAAAATCTATCCTATGCTGAAAGTACTCTTATTGAAATCATTGAATATCAAGGCAAACCTTATTGGAGAGGTCGCTATAAAGACCCTCTTTTCGAACAGAAAGATTTAGTTGATTACGATGAGAGGAACAATACATCGTTGAAGCGTAGAAAATACGAGGATCTTCCAGAAGAAGAGAAAAAACAACTTGTTTTTGTCAGCCAAACCCAGAAATTTCATAATGATTTCATCAAAAAATACCCTTATGCTTTTGAATGCGGTTACTGTTTCACTACTAAATGTAGAGCTGACCTTCTTGTTCGTCACATCTTTGGGAGAGACGATTCTACAAATAGATTCGCAACTGTTTGCTCGAAAAGGATCGAAATCGACAATTTAATGGCGCGTGATATCCATAATACTCCTCTTAGAGATCCATGGGCGAGAATCATTATAAACGATCCATCTTATGGTTTTGATGATCCGATACCACGGAAAATTGTGCGTGAATTCAATCGGCATTTTACGAAAAATCACAAAATCACCAATCCTGAAATAATTGGTGATTAATACAATTCATTCTTTTTCATTGTAATACATTTGTAATACATAAATTTTGCTTTTATCTTTTTTACTTTTATAAATTTGTAATCATTAGAAATTTGTAACCATTGGTTATTTTATCGAAATTGACAAAATTAAACAGCACTACTCAAATGATTATCTATTACTCATCATTTTTTCATTGTTTATTTCTTTTCAGGTGCCCTACAAGGTTAACACCTCCACGTGGTGTAGGGTGGGTGCTTAATCGAAAGCAGCTAAGTTAACCATTTTATCTTTGCTCTTATCAATGAATTATAGCTTTAAGATTAACTAAAGGATAATTAATTATATTTATAATAGACCCTCAGGTTATGTTAGAGATTCACCAAAATGCTATCAAGATGTTGCAATAAGTTTAATTATCCCCTTAGGATAGGATTATAAGATTATCTTAAAAAGAGATAAAATGTATCTAATTTATATGCTCAAGGCAATGATCGTCAATGAAGATAATGTCTTGCAACTGAATAAAATGACGAGCGAAAAATCATTTTCTTTCATTTTGTTTTTATCCTTTGATTGAAACCTTGAACAAATCTTGAACCTTAAAATGGTGAGTTTTGTTTCTTTTTATCTTGGTCAACCGTTAATATCATTTCTTTCTCTTTTTTCTTTTTTCTTTTTTCTTAGGATTTTTCTTACAAGACTGTCAATCTTAATGATGACACCTTTTGGAAGATTCTTTTCCAGATAAGGAAGGCGGTGGTTAAGTACAACCATATCGATCTCCATGCTATGTACAAATCCTTTCTCTCCTACTATGATTCCATTAAAACAATGGAATTACAACTGGAGACAAATAACAAAGATGAATGGGCGAACCTTTGGTTAAAAACCGAGATAGATTATTTTAAAGAACAGTTGTGGGAAGACTTCATTTTAATCAAAAAAATGTGCATTTTTCTAGAAACAAACCAATGAATTAATTAAGACTGATTTAAAAACTGAATTAATTAAAAGTGAATTAATTATAATTATATCGATCTGTTTCAAATTTTATTATCTCAAAATCGCGATATCATTGATGCATTCAAGACAACCTTCACCATTGCTATATAAAGAAAAATTAAACAGTGGAAATTATCAAAGCAAATTTATAGCTTGAAAAGTACGCTTCAAATTAAATATTTCAACTAACTAATAATGGTGAGTTTATTCATCTATTTTTCTAATTTAAATAATTGTTACTTTACTAATTTAACAATCTTTTTTTTACTTATTTCAGGAAAACATCGAAATTGTCCCGGTTATGACCGACTTGAAGTTTTGGTTACTTCTACACAATGAAAAAGCAGCTGATGAGTGGTTGACCGACGAGAAAAAACAATTCATCAATGATTATGCTACAATATTTGGTCACAAAAAACTATTAGAAATTGAAATGCGATTCAATGGACGATCAGAATGGGAGAATATGTGGATCAAATCCGAAATTAATTATCTTGATTATCTTTTGTATATTGGATTCAAAAAGTTCGAACGTAAATATATCAAAGAAAACGTAAATCGATACCACCCAGATATACCTAATCATATCTAAATCTGATTTGTACCCAGAATGCACTACCTTTTTGTTTTTTCATTAAACTTTTTCTCTTCTACTTCAATCTCTTGTTTAAACTCAGTAACGTGCGCAAAAAACGGGATAAATATCAATTTCTTTCTAGATTTTCCTCAATTGATAATCATGTTTAGTGATGAGATATACCTAAAGTGTGTGAAAGAAAGGTTAGAAGATGAAGAAAAAAATCGTCATCCTCATGATATTTTTCGGTTTGAAAATCCGTGTTTCGGTATAAAAGAATTTGACCTTTTTCCTTTAATAAATCGTGCCTGTCCGCCAAAGTTTAGACCAAAAATGCGGATTATTTCATCTCCATATGGTGAGTTCTTATTTGTGAGAAAATTTATTTTCATTGTTTTTATTTAGTAAATGAAAATTTAGGTAACAACGATTGGCGATGGCAATGGATGTGTGTTTACTGTGGTTTGTGTTTTTCGAAAATACGGAATATAATGTTACATGTTGTTGGTATTGACATTGATGGTGATCGTCAACCTCGAAAACCAGGGTGTATGGAACGGATAAAGCAGAGGAACTTAAAATCGTGGATGGCACATTGAGCCAAAATCCGACCTTATTTTGAGCCAGTTAATCTTATTCCATCCATAAAAAACTATAGTTATTCCAGAGAGATGAAACTTCAATTTACTAAATACGCTTTTTCTCTTGAGATAGCTTTTTTTGAATACAAAAAATATGAACAATTGTTTACAGTTAAACAAATAGATTATTGTTTTTCTACATGGAATAGCAATGTGGAAGATGTAACTCAATATTATCATTCCATTCGAGGGTATTTTAGACCAGACTTAATCATTGATCATAAAATACATAAATCAGCTCGGGAAAAACTTGCAGAGGTTAAGCTCCGCCTCAAATTAAATGATGCACGGTGAGTGGTTGTAATTCAAATGATAAATTTAACGGTCAAGGATGATATAAAACCCGAGATCTTGAAAGTTTTTTCTCATTCATGTTTCATTATTTCTAGTGTTTGGGGATCTAATTGTAAGCTAACTGTACCAGAAAAATGGAATTATCTCATGAAGTAAGTTTATCTTTTCTACCTAAATTGATTTTAATATTTAATTTTTTGTTTTAGTTTGAACAAATTATGAATAGATACAACATAGATAACTATTCTTTTGATCCTATGGAATTGGACGGAGGGCGATTCGAGCGACTTTGGGAAGAGTTTATCGATAGAGAAAGGCGAGTGAGGAAAGTTGTAATGCGAGGAAGAGTTAAATCTAAAATTATCGAACTCTATGGAAAAATAATCAAACTTGAAAGAGCAAAAAGAAAATTAGTTAAAAATTCTAAAAACTTTATTGTTATATCAAGAATTAATGAAACCATTTCTGTATTGAAAAGAGGTGTAAATCACTGGAAGTTTTATTTAAAAAATTATTAAATATTGAAATCAATTTTAATCTTCTTTCTCATTCATTTATCGTGTAATTTTTTAATGTATAACTAATTATCTATTTTCAGGTTATGAAGTGCACTTGTTGCTTTCATTCATATTCTAACCTCGGGGATTATTTATCTCATCATTGTTGTGTGGGTAATTGTAAAAGAATGGACATTTTTGACCAATCGCCAGCTAAAAAATCTAAGGACTCTTTTGTTTGTCCAAGTTGTCAATTTGAAGCTGAAATATTGATCGATTATTTATCTCATGAGTGTAGTTCAACAGATGATAGACGAATGGACATTTTTCTCCAACAAGAATCAATTATCAGTGATATTAAAAAAGTTAAGCCAACAAAAAACAAAGAAAAAGTGAAATTCAAGTGTCCATCCTGTAGACATTATTTTTCCAACAGATACAGACTCAATGCCCATAAAAATGTATGTTCATCACAATCACTTATGGAATTACCTAGACCATCGGAATCATTATCATCATTTACTCTTAAACATTCAGCCTTCCGTAAAGTTTTTCGTGTTTATCAACGCAAGTTAGATGGATTAATTGACATAGATCTTGTGAAAAAGAGGATACAACTTCAACTGTATAATCTACTTCTCTCATCGTTACAGGAACTAGGTCCTGTAAAATACATGATTTTCTTAAATGTTATGTTCCAAAAAGTGGGTATGGATGAAGTAGTCGAAACAAATATTCCATCAATATTCAAATCACTATTACCAGCAACTGATATTCTTCATTCTATAGATGAAAGTTTCTTGGAAATGAAAGAGATAATCGAACAGTTCACTGAAAAGGGTAGTGGTTTCTGGATAATGGACATTCCTGAGATGACTATTTGGATTGCAAAATATAAACCACATCGCGGAGGTTGCTTTGCAAATAAGTTACCCCAGGAATTGATAAGCAAAAAGTGTATTATAACGATCGAATGTGACAATGATTGTTTCATGTACAGTGTTTTATGTGGTATTTACAATCCGAGTCATCCATCAAGAATAACCCAATATACTAATTTAATAAACCGTCACAACTTCCAGAAGTTCAGAGGCAAAGTTGACATTGATCAAATCACCAAATTCGATCGAAAATGAAATAAGTGTAAGTGTTTTCACATATGATACAAATCAAAAGTATGTTGTACCACTTCGAGTGAGTAACAAACAAGCTCCTCACCATGTCCGTTTATTTTGGTATGATGATCATTACTATACAATTTCCAACTTTCAAAGACTTTTGAACCGAAGGAGTGGGTGGCATAGAGCTCATTGCGAGCGTTGTCTTTCTGGTTTCCGATTTCAATGGCAGTTAGACAATCATCTAATGGATTGTTCAACTAAACCTGCGCAAAAAATTGTCATGCCATTTCCAACTGAAAATAAACCAAGAAGGAACTTTTGCGAACGTAAAGATCTTAAAAAAGAGGTCAAACACCCGATCATCGTTTATTGTGACTTTGAGTGTCTTAATGTTCCAACCAACGATCCTAAGAAACCATTTGTTCATTTACCTTGTAGTTATGGTTACATTGTTGTTGATTGGAACAAAAAAGTAATTGATAAACAATTTAAACATGGTGAAAATTTGATCCCTGACTTTCTTGAAAATCTTAAAAAGTCAGCGATAAATGCTGCTTTGTACACTAAACAAGCTCAAAAACCATTAGTGATGACAAGTGAAATTGAGGGTGAAATGATAAATGCTATCAACTGTTGGATATGTGAGAAACCATTAAGGACGATCAGTGGCTGATCATGATCATTTCACTGGAGAGTTCAGAGGTGCCGCTCATAATAACTGTAATGTTAATTATCAAATTCCATCGCGAATTCCAATTATATTCCACAATTTGAAAAATTATGATGGTCACATTATCATTGACACAATCAACAGCTCATCATTCTCCGACAATCTCAAAATTATACCCACAACTATGGAAAAATACATTGGTTGGTATGTGGATGAGTTCGCCTTCCTAGATTCCTATGGATTTTTACCTGCTTCTCTCGATACATTGAGTAAAAACTTATCAATTGATGACAAGAAAAAGTTTCTAGAACAAGAGTGGTTTGA